GTCTTTAGCCTCACGACTCATAGCACTCTAGGTGGCGCTCCCCTCGCCAGCACCCTCTGTGGTCACGCGTCCATCGCTTGTGCCCGCCGCAGCCCCGTTCCCGGCCGGGGGCTGGGGCGGGGGGGGCGGAACGTCGGACACGTCGTACTTGGAGACCATGTAGTACATGCCGTCGGTGCGCTGGTACTCGATGTACGGGCCCAGCCACTTGGGTTTGCGGCCCTCGTCACGCAGCCGCAGGAACTGCGCGTTCCGAGCCTGCTTGAGCTGACGACCTGCCGGGGTGAGGTCATCCCGGAAGGTGATGCCGATGGCCTTAAGGGCCTGGCTGTGTCGGAAAAGCATACCACGGACACGGGGGGTGACGCCGATGGTGATGTTGTATGTTGGGGCCGCCTGGTTGGGTCGTGGCTTCTCAGTGCGTACTTCGACGCTGAGGAAGGAGGCCTGGAGGCTTCCTCCACTGGCATCGGAGACGACTTGGGTGATGGCTTCCGCTGCTTGCTTAGCGGTCGCGAGAGCCAGGACGCCAAACGCGATCAGGGAGCCGGAATCGTAGTAGGCAGATTTGCCGGTCAAGTTCCTACGCTGTTTAGACCCGGTGCAGTCGGTCGCAAACGTAGGGGCCCCCGCGAGCTGAGACTGCACAGTTTCGATGATGAACTGCGCGGCCCGAACTTCGAACTGCTTCATTTCGGTCTCCACCTTTTTGGTAATTATTTCCGGAATATTCTTTTCCAGCGAGTCAACACAAGCAGCCAGCGCATCTGTCTTGCTATGCAAGGAGTCGAAGGACGCCTTGGTCTGTGTAGCATGGGTCTGAAGCAGCTTGTAAATCTCATCTAAAGATGGTTCTTTCTGAGTGGATCGCGTCATGGAGTCGCCTGCTGCCGCCTCCTCAAGGGCAGCGGCCGAAGGCGTAGGGTACTCCTTGCCGGACCTCAGAACCCGCTTAGACGGGCTTTGTGGGCTAATGCCAGCTGTTCTACAGATTCTGGATCGCTGGCAAAGCCAATGCGAGGGGCTTAGCTGTGATGTTGCCAGGGTGGTGTGGTAGGCGTGAACTATTGTAAACTATTGTAAACTATTGTAAACCATTGTAACAATTTATGAGCACCTTCCCAGTTGCTTAGCTCTCTTCCCAGTTTCAAGTGTGCTGCCAGTCCACATGAACTTTCGACACCCTACAGTACAGTAGGTGCCGTGACATCACAGTACTTCCCGCTCGCTCCAGCAGTCCTGTTCAAAACCCATATCAGCATGTGTCCTAGGTTCCCTCAATACGCCTAATAGCAAAACGGTCATCAGGGCTGAGCCGCCAGGTCACAACCCGCCATGCAGCACAACCCCGTCCCTATCTACTCTTCCCACAATGCGTACCCAGAATGCGCATTCCGTGGCAGTTAAGGCTTCACTACCGCCCCACGCTACTGCCCTCAGGCCCACCACCCAGCACCTGGCTATCACAAGCCGCTGCCGCAGGTATTGTTCAGCTACAGCTCTACACCCTGCACTGGCCGCTGCCGCACCCCTCTACATACACACTGTGCACATTGCAACACCTGCACACGCAAGGCTTGTATCGCTCGCAAGGTAACACCTAGAGCCGCTGCCTTTGCTGTTGCACCGCAATTGCACACATTCCGTGTTCTGCTTTTCCTTTTTTGTAGTTTACACACACACACACACAGTCAGTATGCACAGCAATGCATACACGTCTTTAGCTAAAGTCTTCTGTTCTCAAACACACACAGTCACACACACACACGCAATCCACCGAGCAATCTGCTGAATTATATTCTGCAACACGCATTCCATCCCTGATGTCTCTTGGTCTCATACAAGCACGCCCCATGTACACACCCACACCCACACCGCCAGAGTCCGGCCACACCAGCGCCACACCCAGTGGCCCAGCTCGATGGTACCAAGCCCCTGCTGTTCATGCCCACCCCAGCGGTGGTGGAAGGATGCGACGGCAGGACAGCACGGCTTAGTGATGCCCCGTGCTGCCGGGGAGCACCTTGTCACCACCAGCAGTGCATGCGGCAGAGGCTGCGGTAGTGCTGTGGTATGGATGACTGAATGCGCAGTGCACACGGTCAAGGAGCACCAGGTGTGTGCGCCGGTTGCCTCACTCCCTAACCCTCAAAAGGCCGGAACCTGGCCAGCAACTCCTCCTTCGTCGGGGGTCGGAAGGACTTGGGCGGCTCCTTGAACCCCAGTGGCTCGTACACCTCGGGCAGCTGCAGGAGCGACATGAAGGCCTGCACGCTCGTGTTGTCCCGCGCCGCCTCCAGAATCCCCTCATCCCCGTCAAAGCTCTCTCCGCCAACCGAGCCGCCTGAGCTGTCAGCACCGCTGCTGCCAGACCTTCCGTGCCTCCTGCCGCTGCCAGCCCCCCCCCAGTTGTCGGCGGCATCACTATGGCCGCTGTCACTGCCAGCCCCCCTGCCTCCACTGCCGCTGGCGCCTCCCCCGCTACCGTGGGCCCCTTCCCTGCGGCTGTTGGTGGCGCCTTGCCTGCCGCTGCCAGAACCTCCCTCATCGTTCCCGGTGGCCCCTCGCCCCAAACCTCCACCGGTACTGCTGGCCTCTTCAGTCCGGCTTGTCTCCAGCAGAGCCTGTATGAACCCAAACATCATGCTCAGAGGGCTCCTGTCCGCCGCTGTAGAGGGGGACTCCTCCAGCACAGCGGGAAGTGGGGCCGGCCCCACCACATGAATGGATCTCTTTGGTGTGTCTGCATCCTTGCGGCCGGCGTGCACCACAAAGTGTCGGTTGAGGTCACCGAACAGCGCGATCATGTCGTCTGCATTGGGCAAGGTATGGGAGCAGCCAGCTCAGTGGGAAGCAAGTATGGCATTGTGTGGGATGGTGTAGCGCTGAAACCTGTATCGATTCCTGCACAGGCCTGTGTCAATCCAGCGCTGGTGGCAGAGCATGCCAATCGGCACTCACCAGTCGGCCAGTCCTTCATCTGGTTGATCGCCAAATACTCGAGCAGCGCCTGGGCACGCACACTCGGCAGGCCGTCCTTCAGGGCCTTCTCGGTCTTGGCCTCGTACAGTGCAATGACTGAGTCAATCATGGACAGCAGTGCACCAGTCGTCGTGCCCGACGTGATGCGCAGCTTACACCCTTCAAACAGCTCCGTGCCTGACGTGACGTGCAGCTTACACCCTTCAAACAGCTCTGCACCGAACTGCTCCTGGCAATCCTTCCAGGCTGCCTCAGGGATGAAGATGTAGTCCGTCTTGGATGTCTTGATTACGATGTTGATGTCGCCGCAGAGGACCCCACCCGCCAGCCACTCGATGGCCTGCACGGGGAGGACCACCACGCCTGCAGGGCAACAACGACATGGGATTGGGCACAGCTTTAGGAAGGTCATTAAGTGACGGGCACAGATCCCGAAGGCCACAAACTGACGGGCAGAGGTTGACACAATGACAGGTGCATGAGTCCCATGCAACCCCATATATGTGAACAAGATGTCCCACTACCACTCCTCCGGCATGCACCTGAGCGCCCTGCATATGCATACTCATACCTGCTGGGGTGATCTGCTGTAGATGTTGCACCGTGCTCGTGATGGTTTTAGGCTCATCCTCACCGGCCCTTCCCCAGCTGAACCTGGACAGCTTCACGGGAGACCAGGGCTTCGCAAATGGACAGCAGCACAGTGCCTGAGCAGCTGTGACGTAGTTGAACCGCACGCCCACCGCCTCCTCTATCTGCTTGTGTTGTGTCGATGAGCAGGATGACGGAGTGACCGTGACTATGGGGACAGATAGCTGGAGGTTCTGTGCAGCCGACAGGCAGGGCATGCTTGGACGGAGTGGTTAGGGTGTGTTGTACGGAAAGGAGCAGTGCTCGCAGGCAAATGAGTGCACCAAAGGTGATAGCATACCCCTTCAATTGCGACCCTGCACAACAAGGGCCAACCCTCACCGTCAGAGTCGCTTGAATCTTGTTAAGAGAGGACATCGCAAGCTTCTCGAATTCCAGCCGCATCCATGTGCCTCCTGCACAGCGGTGCGCAAGGATGTAGATAGCCATCAAAACTGAGCAGCACAACATGCAGCACCATGCTGTTTATATATGTTAGACCTTGTTTGACATCACAGCCACCCCAGGCGCCTCCTTCCACATGTGAGCACGGAATGGCATTGCCTGTTGTAGGAGGATACGATGTGGTATAACGCACGCAGCATATGGTCCTGCAAGGGGCCCCATCCTGCACCGCAGCCCCTTGCCACACTCGTGTCGCATGCATACCCTTGGTGCATACCATGTCCCAGCACCCCGCCCACCACCTGCTGGTGCTGGTGAACAACTGACGCACCCTGCACTGCCCAATCGCCCCTCTATGTTCCTCACCGGCAGCATGCCCCCCGCAGATGCAGGGGCCAGATCAAGTTGCTGCTTGGGGCACTTCAGCCGCGACACGTGGGGCCAGCCAGGCTGCACCTTCAGGCGCTTAACGCAAGAGTGAACCACTGCAACCACGCCCAGGCCAACACTGGCCACAAGCCCGACACCACGCACACCGTGGTACACTGTCGCCAGGGCGACATCGTTGCGTTCAAGAAATGTCTTTGTGCATTGCTTTATTTCATCCACGATGCTGACGCCATGATCGACCACCAGCGCCAGCACCATGAGCGGAATGCCAACCCAGGCCAGGTGCAGCCCGCCTGTTGAACATGCATAACAGGGAAAACAAAGAAAGCACACATGATGCAACAGGCATAACACCAAGCTATAGGTGACAGGCGCAGAGGGGCGGGCGACGAACACGCTGCCGCTGCGGAGGCAGAGGAGTGGCAGGGAGGGTTAGCGTGCCACAATCCACAATGCACTACACCATAAACTACGCTTCGTCCTGGCCTGATATGAGTTGGCACTGAACACCGCATTTTCCCAACCCAGCATGCACGCTTGGACCCATCTACTAGTCCAGTCCTGTTTCCCAACACCCCACCATCAAAGCCCACGCAAGCTCACCCTGCTGGTCACACGGGTGGTCTGCGTCTGGCACCACGACGGTGCTCACACCTGCGGAGTCGCATGCAAGGTGTGTGTGAGTATGTATGCAATGAAATCCAGGAAAGCAAGGCTACACGTTGTTTTGAGAAAGGTTTCGCAGGATGGACCTCGTTTAGCCTGGACGGTTGTAGCAGCTGACCGCTGAAAAGGTCTCTCGAGTTGCTGGTGGTCGCGCTCTGCGCGTATTTATAGCACCGTACTGTGTACCGGTTGCTATATTCCCCCCCCTTTGAAGGGAACCGTCCCGGGCCCTTAGAGCCTCGTATACCGCCAGCCTGTGCCTACCTTCGCCTACCCTCGGGCAGTGGGTAATTACTCCACATCACGTCATGTGCCGGCTCACATGCGCCTAGCCGTCTTCAGATTTTTCAGGCACAGAGACAGTCCAGTCGGTTCAGCTACTTTAAAGTTTGTGCGATATTCGCTCTCTGAGTCGCCAAACCCGATTTCCACTCAAGTGTGATTGGTGGGAGTTGAACCGACGACTTCAGGATCGTGAATTTTCACGAGGTCTCGATACCAAATGTGGCAGCCGACCGCTGAAAAGGTCTCTCGAGTTGCTGGCGATCGCGCTCTGCGCGTATTTATAGCACCGTACTGTGTACCGGTTGCTACAACGGTGGCCCCGCGCCCCACTGTAGTGGCACAGGTCTGACACCCCACACGCACCCCGCAGTCCCCACCAACAGCCCACCCGCCCAAATACGTGATGGCCCCACTGTGCTGCCAGTTACCAACAAACCGCGTGCCGATTTCCACCCTACAGCCTCGTGGAAATGCTCACCAGCAGCAGCCGGCAGCGAGCCTGCAGGGGGAGGGTAGCACAACGGATTCCTGCTTCAAGGTCGCGAGCAAAGAACCCCAACACGCTTTGAGGATATTCATCGGTCAGACAGGCAACCGGTCGCCATTGGGACCCGCGCAGCTGTGCCCACAGCGGCAGAGGTAAATCCGCGAGATCGCCAGCCCACTTCACCGCGCTCTTCGCAGTAGCTCAATCGCGTACGTACTGATCCGCCGCGGGATGTTAGAGCTGCTGCTTTTGCTCAGGCCAAGCCGCCGATGAGAAATCCCTCACCTCGGGCCTCCGCACGGACGAATCCATAGATGGTCTCATTGTCTTGGCCCTCGATAGGCCACGTAGCGAGCTCCTCATTTGGCACCTTGCGCAGAAAAGACAGCAGCTCGCCTTTGTCAACGCCACGCGCAACTGCATTCACGGCCTCGAAGGCTCGTTTTCTACAGTCCATGACAATGAGTTGTTTGGATGAGGCTCCCTGGAAGGGTAGGAACCTAGTAGGGGAGGCCCACTCAAGTGCACTAGGAGAAACTGAAGGGAAATGTTGCTTTTCCTTGATGGATTTTTTATTCTGGAGTGGAAACTGCAGGAAGTTATGGAGTCGTTTGGGACGTGCTCGCGACTCGGCAACACTGAATTAGATTGTACGGCGTGACGAGCAACTTCGCGAAAACACAGAGAAGCGCCCGCAAAGTACTACCTGGCCATCGGTTAACATCTCGGTAGCCGTGGGAAGTGAGCTGCACTGCACTCGCATGTCGCGAGCTTGGAGCTCGCTTGCGCGTCGCGCGCAGAGCCGCCCCTCATGTCTGGACAGCACCTCATGGAATCTGTTAATAGATTACTGCTTTTACGCAAACCGCGCGTCTGGCGAGGTTCGCAGGCCGAACGCAAGCGAACCACGGGCCTCGCTCGGCCCCGCAGCGTCGGAACGCCTGTGCAAGGCGACCGGATGTACACAGTGCGCTGACCCGATGCCTGCACGTGGAGCTTATCCTGCCGTATTTGGAAGAGGGAGGACTGGCACTCAGGCACGGCGTGTGCACAGCACCACCTCCTCACCTGCACCTCCTCGCTCCTCGCCTTTAAGTGCTCTGATAACTTTGGCCTGCGTAAAGGCCTGCAAAGCTTTGCTTGTCTCTGTATCCCCGGATGCTCGCTTTGCCTTCAGGCGCCGTAGCTGTCCCGTCTGAGGGAGGCGCGGTCACCACAGCAGGTTAGTGTGCCCCCGCAGGACCATGTGAACAAGGACAGGGACAAGCGTGCGATGAGTGTCTTCATCCGGGTGCAGAGCAGAAATACCTTGACTAAGGTGTGCCGGGGGAACAGAGAACACCAGAGGCTTGCCGGGCACTGGGCTCTATTGAGGGTTATCCAAGTCGACTACTTGACATATACGTAATTGCTCTCCTTTCTTCGCCGGCAACCACATACATTTCGCAAAAGAACTAGGATGAGGGCCAGGACCAAGGAGCTGCATGTAACACGCTGGCTTGCTTCTGGTGGCTTCAGCCTGGGGCACCGCTTGTGACAGTTTCTCATGTGCGGCAGGAATGCTCGGCTGTGTTTTGGCGCCAGGAGCAGCAGCAGCAGTGCAGGCGCCCATGCATGTTCCAGGAGGAGGACGTGCAGGGTGGTAAGTGCAGAGCCAAGGCCTAGCCTAGGAGTGCCTGAGGCGCTGTCAACCCAAACTGACACTTCAGAATCCTGGCCCCAAGCGGGCCTGTGCACAGTTCCTGACAGGGCTTCTTAGGTCTGCCTTCGGTTTATAGGGCTTTGCGCTAAGTTTTCAGGGCTATTCCGCCCACACCGCGCCTGATCCCGGTCATGGGTCGGGGTTGCCCAGGGGCTGCCAGTAGCCGGGCAAATTATGACCAAGGACGCAAGGAGCCCACGAAGGAGAGTAATGAAGGTGAGGAGCATGTGGAGGTTAGTCGATTAGAGAAGAGTAGGTTCAAGGACGGTGCACTGGAGTACCAAGTAAGGTTTGATTGTATTGTAGCAGATGCAAGGTATGGTAGGTGAGTCCTGATGCCTTCAGAGCCAACAAGGCCAGTGGAAGATGCAGAAGTCTGCCTGAAGCTTGCTATACTGTTTGTATGAATTATTAGTTCTTCTGAGAAAACTCAGCCTAACTGAATGGAACTGAGCGGTACTGAGAGGAACTGAGGGGAACTGAGTGGGACTGAGCCCAACTGAGCGGAACTGACAGTTACTGAGGGTTTCTGAGGGTTACGCGCGCCCAGTGAGTTGCCAACCCATAGAAAAAGAGGTGTGCGTAACTGGTTGCTGCGGCAAATCGGCGCACACGTGCGAAGGTTCCTAAGTTAGCTGCTGTGAAACATCTCGCGACTCCTCGCTAACCAAAGTTCTGCGTTTATGGACTTTGATAGTATTTGATATCGACCGAAGCGAAGAAAAGCTGCAGTCGGCGGGAAGTCGCAGGGTCGCTGTCCGGCCAAAGTCGCGCGGATTCCCAATGCAGCTGTTTCTGGTCGCGTCGATTCACTGATCGGGCTTAAGCGATTGTGAGCGATGCGATACGAGTTACACGGTTAGTTTTATCGAGATTATCGAGTGCGCTGGTGTGCTGATGGCCCCTCCAGGCGGGTTACAGGTGGCACGCATACACGCGTCCCCACCAAATCTGGGCGATTCTGGTTCCAAACCAATCGGAGAAATAACTAATCGGCGATTGTGGATCGAGACCATTGGGCTGAACGGGAGGTAGGCGTGACTACCCTGCCGGGGGGTCCCCTGGTCCCACACCAACTCCACACGCTTCCGGTTCCATCACGTGCTAACCACCATATCCCATCGATTCAAGTTCGGATTCTTATCGGGGATTCAGTTTATCGGTGGTTGTGCGATTGTGGATCGAGACCGTGGGGCCGAACGGGAGGTAAGCATGATTACCCTGCTGGGGGGTCCGGGTCCCACACCAACTCCACACGCTTCCGGTTCCATCACCTGCTAACCACCATATCCCATCGATTCTGGTTCGGATTCTTATCGGGGATTCAGTTTATCGGTGGTTGTGCGATTGTGGATCGAGACCGTGGGGCCGAACGGGAGGTAGGCGTGACTACCCTGCTGCTGATGTCGTCGAGGAGTGACCTACCAACGTGTTTTGCTGAAGTTTAACTCTTGCACCGTACGACAACCGAGGCCATCAACCCACGATGAAGCGCCTGAGCTCACTTCGCTAACACAGGAAAGCCACGATAACCCTTGGCTTTTTATGCATGACAGAGCGTGGTCATATGCACCTCGAATCATCCCTCTGAATGATGACATGTTCCTTTAGCTCATGTCTCGCACGTGTTCCCCATGTGTGCCTGTTGCGTGGCCGCCTTTTCCTGGTTGCACGAAGAAGCCGAACATGGAGAACATGGCCAGGCGGCCGTTCTTGATCTCCTTGACCTTGAGCTCGGCGAAGGTGTCCGGGTCGTCAGCCAGGCCCAGGGGGTCGAACGACTTGCCGGGGTACAGCGGGTCCAGGCCCTCGCCGGCCGGGCCGCCGTTCACACGGTAGCCCTCCACCAGGCCCATCAGGATCACCTGCACGGCACGTGAGCAGCGAGAGCGGGGGAGAAGACAGCAGTCAAAACGGATAAACAAGACACCACCTAACACGTCGTCTGCTCGCTTGGGGCTACGTTGCAATAAAACCAAGCTGGATAGGAAACGAGACACCCAGATTCCTGGATGTGCGATATCACACAATGCTCACATGCCACAAGGCTCAAACTAGGCATCCAAAGCCAAGCTGAATGTAAGAGTGCGCAAAAGGCAGGGGAGCTTACCACAGTCAAGCGCTGGCAGAGAACAGCTGCCGCGCCTCACCTTGTTTCACCTAGCCAGCTAACAAGTAAGGCGACCGGACACATTCCTAAGCATGCAGCCACGTCCCTCCCGCCCACCTGGCACGCCAGCGTCGCGACAATGTTCTGAGCGTGCACCAGCGACAGGTTGCCCAGGTAGTCCAGGCCGCCCTCCTGGAAGATCTGAGCGCCGGCCTTGAACCACAAAGCCTCACTGAACTGCACGCCGTTCTTGGACAGCAGCTTGGGGGTCACGCAGCCCAGAGCGCCAAGCATGGCCCAGCGCGCATGGATCAGCTCCAGCTCGCGGTAGCGCTTGAACGTCTCAGGGTCAGCAGACAGGCCGGCAGTGTCCCAGCCGTAGTCACCGGGGAACTCGCCAGTCAGGTAGGCAGGGGTGGCATTCTCGCTGTAGGGGCCTGTCCGATGTGGGCACAGAAGGGGAAAGCGAGCATACGGCGGCAGCGGGCTACTGAACGGCAGGTCACGAAAGGAGGAAAGGCACAACCTGTGCCCTTCATCGCAGCATGCATCACGCGATGTAAGCAAAGGACCGAAAGAGCAGCCTGAGCATAGAAACCTGACGCTGCGGCATGTTGCACCGAAAGGAGGAGCATGCAGGAGACCGACTGATTACTCCGGCCCTCTGATACACGCTACACCCGCTGTGTATCGGATCTTCTTCACAGGATAACCTACCGAGCCACTTAGCGCGGTTCGGGCCATACCACTCGATGCCAGAGCTCTTGGGGGCAGCCGGCTGTAAAGATGGCACGCTGATAAAATAAATGGTGTCGAATTAAAACGGACCTTAGCAGCGGCCTTCTTGCCGGTCGCCTTGCATGCGACCTGCAGAGCCTTGCGAGAGGTGGTGAGAGCGAAAGCCATTTGAGATGTTCGTAAGGTGATCAGACTCTGCTGCACAAAGGAGAGAACTGATACTGGAAACACAGGCAACCAGCGCTTTTGTTTTGCAAGCAAATCTTGATGCCGTACGCATGCCGTATCCCTGGCCTGGCCGTGGGACAGGGTGTTTACCTAACAGAGATCGCAGGATACAGACATGGCACACCTGCAACACATGCGCTTAGCAGCTATCTGCACCTGCACAGCTATCTGCACCTGGCATGAACGATTTGCTACACCTGTTTGCAAGTTTCATACAAGTTTGTGATGCAGGGATAACTCAGTGGCGACTGCTAAATGCTGTGACGTGCACGTTGAAGATGGATTTTGATACGCACTGCAAAACCTTGTTTAGGCGCCGAAAGGGTCCTTCCGTGTTTGACCCTAGCTGTTCGGCCTTTACTCATTACCAGTACCGTAGGACAGGAGGACAGTAGCTGTTGTCCTTGCTAGGAAGCAAGCTGTTATAATGGGTCACGCTGCTTAGGACGGCAAAGGGCATTCCATCCCGGACAGGGCCGGTGAACACAAGGTCCAAGCTCTGCTGGACCGCAAAAGGGTGATAGCGTCGAACCGGAGGCCGTTTAGGACCAAAGGAAGGCAACAAGTACGCGTGAAGCAGCCTGTTGTAGCAACACATCCGATCAAGGGAGGACGGGCGGCCTCGACCAAACGCATGAGCTCTTAGCAACCTACAATCAGCCACGGGCTTCCAAACGTCGGAGCCTAAGGCTGGCACCTGGGAAAAGCTCCTACTTTGCCCCGGGCTTGCCTTTGACCTCTGAAGTAATGAATGGAACGTCAGCACGCCCTGTGTTTGTTACCTCTTTTGCCAGGTGTTTCACCGTGCAAGCTACATGTTGAGCACTCCACGCATGCTTAACTTCAGGCTATCAATTGAACTGTGAAAGGACCTTCTTGTGACCAGCAGTTTCATGCATAAAGTCGCTGGTCGCAGTATCAGATAGACAAGGGACAGCGGGTAGCCTATTTGTGCCTTTCCGGGAGAGTGCTGGGCCCATGGCACTGGCATACAGTATTCGGTTCTTAAGTTACGGGAGCAGGTGGTCAAAACATTGGCGATGCTGCATGCTCTGGCCTTGCGGATGTGAAGCTGATCGGAAGGGGCCTGCCAGCCAGGTTGATACTGAAAGCAGTAGCCACCATGCAGCGGTGTCCATCTGGTTACCAAGCTTTTAAGACTCCATATAATTGCACGTCCCATGCTTCTACACCGGACTGTAATCCAGGTAACGGCATCGCTCATTACAAGGCTCCAGTCCGACTTCGTACCTTCTTCCTTCAGCTTCAGGGTGGTGTGTGCGTGTGTGTGTGCGTGTGTGCGTGTGTGTGCGTGTGTGTGTGTGTGCGTGTGTGTGTGTTGTTGTTGTTATTGTTGTTACATGGTCGTGGGTGCGTTCCCCATACCTGCAAACCACCCTAAAACGAGCCGAGGGCTCAAGGGCTGCCAGATCGCCTATAAGCACCATCCTACCTCGCACTTCCAACAAAACAAGTGATGAAGGATACTAACGACCAAAGGGAATGATAGAGTTGCGGTGGGACCATATACGTTCCAGCATCCTTGCCAGGCGTTCAGGTTCCCACCTCATAGCATCTTTCATGTGCTCGAAGCGTGGGAAACCCATATCAGATCTGATTTTGTCGTACACCAGACAGTCCAGCAAAATGTGCTTCTCATCCTCGATATGGCTATCAGTGCCGCAGCAAGGGCATACTCGCTCCTCCCTAGGTATATAACGCCGTCCCTTACACGCTCTGTTAGCCGCCAATGCCCAACAGCAAAGCCTAAACTGCATAAGCTTGCGATTCGCTGAGCGCGGGACAAACATTGTGATATGCGGGAGCACCTCCTTCCTGCCCGCTTGTTCAGCCGCCAGGCCCATCCAATTCTTATACTTTGCCATGTGAATTCCTGGTTGCTTGCCGTCTGACAGGTACACGTCTGGCTGGACATGTGTGTGTGCGTGTGTGTGCGTGTGTGTGTGTGTATGTGTGTGTGTGTGTGCACGTGTGTGTGTGCGTGTGTGTGCGTGTGCATGTGTGTGTGCGTCTGTGTGTGCGTGTGTATGTGTGTGCATGACGAAAAAAGAAAGAGAGTGAGTGTGTGTTTGTGTGTCTTGGTGTTTGTGAGTTTGTGTTATGCATATCGACACGTTTTTACGTGGTGCTGATGCTGTGCTATCCGAAACGGGACACATAAGCCCAATCCGAGCACCACAATAAGCCTGATTGGTGCATTGGGGTACCTTCCAGCGGAAACGTAGTTCCTGGCTGTGAGGAAGGTACCGAGCCTGGTTTGTGGAGGCCGAGGCTGCTCTAGGCTAGAGGGATTGGCGATGACCTATGCCGTGCGCCAGTGATGATGTCGTCGAGGAGTGACCTACCAACGTGTTTTGCTGAAGTTTAACTCTTGCACCGTACGACAACCGAGGCCATCAACCCGCGATGAAGCGCCTGAGCTCACTTCGCTAACACAGGAAAGCCACGATAACCCTTGGCTTTTTATGCACGACAGAGCGTGGTCATATGCACCTCGAATCATCCCTCTGAATGATGACATGTTCCTTTAGCTCATGTCTCGCGTGTGTTCCCCATGTGTGCCTGTTGCGTGGCCGCCTTTGCAGTACGTGCCCACCAAATTGGCTGTATGTGCTCCAGCCCCAAGAAGCGGTGAAACAAGCACTGGAACCGACACCTTCCTTACTCACTCAACAGTTTTGGCAAGTTGCGCATCCAAGCGTATTTACCCAACAGTGACGGATAGGCAACTACTGCCTGCAATTGCTATGCATGTGGTTGGCAGCGCGTGCCGCTGGTTGGTGCGGAACGTGAAAGAAGAAGTCAGAAGCATCATCTAAGTTCTCGCCGGCAGAAACATCGTCAGTGTTCTCACCGGCAGCCAGGACCTTTAGCTGAGACTCGTGAAACCCCCAACTCGACCAGGGTACATTCACTCCAGAGCCATGTTGCGCACATAAAGGCACAGGTAAACGTGCCCAGGCCAGCCAAGCGACTGCGACCCAGAGTACAGGTGCAAGCTGCCCTCTATCTCTACCCCTGCAATCCCCAGGTTCCAGCACCACCACCACCTCAGCTATCCTGCGATGTGTCCACCTGGCCCATGGTGGACGTTCCGGCGGCCTGCGCATGGAGAAGCGAGGGAGGGAAGAAGCAGGCAGGTGAGGACATGAAGGGGGTCACACATATCTATGCAGGGGAGCACGGCCATCACTCAAGCGAGCCACCAAGGAATAATCACAGCTGTGTGAATCCCCTCCAGCAGGCTTCACCCTACCTACCAACAACCTCAGAACTCCTCCGCCAGCCCTCTCGCTCACCTCCGGCCCAAGCCCAGCCCAAGCCCAAGCCCCACGCACCACTGCTGCCAACTGACGCACCCTGCACTGCCCAATCGCCCCTCTATGTTCCTCACCGGCAGCATGCCCCCCGCAGATGCAGGGGCCAGATCAAGTTGCTGCTTGGGGCGCTTCAGCCGCGACACGCGGGGCCGGCCAGGCTGCACCTTCAGGTGCTTAATGCAAGAGTGAACTGCTGCAACCACGCCCAGGCCAACACTGGCCACAAGCCCGACACCATGCACACCGTGGTATGCTGTCGCCAGGGCGACATTGTTGCGTTCAAGAAATGCCTTTGTGCATTGCTTGATTTCATCCACGATGCTGATGCCATGATCGACCACCAGCACCAGCACCATGAGCGGAATGCCAACCCAGGCCAGGTGCAGCCCGCCTGTTGAACATGCACAACAGGAAAAACAAAGAAAGCACACATGATGCAACAGGTGTCACACCAAGCTATAGGTGACAGGTGCAGAGGGGCGGGCGACGAACGTGCTGCCGCTGCGGAGGCAGAGGAGCGGCAGGGAGGGTTAGCGTGCCACAATCCACAATGCACTACACCATAAACTACGCTTCATCCTGGCCCGATATGAGTTGGCACTGAACACCGCATTTTCCCAACCCAGCACGCGCGCTTGGACCCATCTACTAGTCCAGTCCCGTTTCCCAACACCCCACCATCAAAGCCCACGCAAGCTCACCCTGCTGGTCGCGCGGGCAGTCCACGTCTGGCACCGTGACGGTGCTCACACCTGCGGAGTCGCACGCAAGGTGTGTGTGAGTATGTATGCAACGAAATCCAGGAAACCAAGGCTACAACGTTGTTTTGAGAAAGGTTTCGCGGGATGGACCTCGTTTAGCCTGGACGGTGGCCCCGCGCCCCACTGTAGTGGCACAGGTCTGACACCCCACACGCACCCCGCAGTCCCCACCAACAGCCCACCCGCCCAAATACGTGATAGCCCCACTGTGCTGCCAGTCGCAACCTCCTCATTATCATCCTCTCCGTATGGATTAAAATTAATTTTGCTAACGTCAGAAAACAACTTGTGAATAATGCCTTATAACCCTCTTACGCGAGTAGATCTCAGCGGCCTGATCAATCAGTGGCTTCGCCCCGGTATCAGCAGCAGGTCCCAACATCCCCACACGAAGTAGTGAATCAAGTGTGTGGCCTTATCCTTTATATGGTCCGTCCTCTCCCCTACAGGGCCCCGTACGGCCTCTTATAAATCCTTAAATTCCTTCCGGGAGCCACCGTAACCGGCCTTCGGCCGGTCCGGGGCCGGCCCCGTACAGGGCGCTTAGCGCCCCAAAATCCTTACAGGAGCCACCAAAAAGTCCTACGGGCCCTGACGGGGATACCGAAAAAATGCCAAAAACTTACGGGCCCCGTACGGGGTGTCGAACACTGGTGTGCTAGAGAGACGTTCGGCGGTGCACGGGGGATGGAAAAGTCTGTGAAGCGTGACTGGTGGAATGAGGACTGTGCAGCTGTGTGGAATGATATGATGAGTTTCCGTAAGGAGGTCAGGGACCCCGTCTCAGGCAAGCTGCCCGATCTACATAGGACTACCTGGAAGGCCAAGCACCGTGCCTTTAAGAAGGCTAGGAAGGCCGCTATTCAGGAGTTTGAAATGGAAGATATGCGGAGGAGGATTAAGGACGCCCGGTTCAACCCACGCGGACTGTGGACATGGCTGCATGGGGGAAAACCACCTCCTTGCGGGTTCTCAGATATTAATGCTTTTACCGAGCATTTTTCCAAGGTGCTTAATGGTACAGGAGAGACGAGGCAATGCCGCAATGAGGGTATTCAGTTTAGATGGCTGGACGAGGACCAGGTGACGCACAGACGGGAATTAGCTGCTTGGCTTAACAAGGATTTTACGGAGGATGAAATTGCTAGTGGCCTTAAGGCTATGCGCAACAATAAGTCCGCGGGCCTGGAGGGAACCCCGGCTGAGTATTATAAGTACGCTATCAGGGAAACTGAAGGGCAGCAACCCGTGCTTGTATTGGCGCCTTACTTAACGGTGCTATTCAACCGCATATACGGAGCTGAATACCCGAGGGAATTCATGACTAGCACCCTGTCCCCCGTATTCAAAAAAGGGGACGTGTCTTGCTGTGACAATTACCGGGGAATCGCAGTTGGGGGTCCCCTGAGCAAACTTTATGCCAATATCATAGGGAGGCGATTAAATAATTACTGCGAGGGCAATAGGCTACGTGCCGTTAGCCAGGCTGGATGTAGGCATGGTTTTGGCACCGAGCATCACTTGTTTACATTAAGGCATCTTATCTCGAAGCACACTGTAGCCGGAGCCAGGCCGCTTATTATCATGCAAATTGACTTTAGTAAGGCGTTCGACTCCGTTGACCATGAGACACTTTGGGATTTCCTAATGTCGTATGGGCTACACGGGCGCATCCTCGATTCTTTAAAGGCTAGCTATGCTGACGTGAAGTTTCGGGTCAAGTGAGGAAATAAGTTGGGACCGGAATTCAAGGTGGGGCGTGGTGTTAAGCAAGGGTGTCACCTTAGCGTAACCCTTTTTGGACTCTTCATAGAAGTATTCGCTCATTATATTGATGCCCATGATGCTAATTGCCGTGTATGCCTCCCCAGCCGATGGAGCACCCTTCGTGAGCAGAGTGTTAGCCTGGCAGGCGGTGATCTCACTAACCTACTTTTTGTTGACGATGTGTCACTGGTAGCGACAGGGCAGGATAGAGCTGAATGCCTTCTGGGGCTACTCGAAGCCTACTGCAAAGCGACGGGTATGGCCGCGAATGCCGCCAAGTGCGAGGTCCTCATTTTTGGGGGTGCTATGCGTGAGCGGAAGCGGCTTGATGAAGCTGAGTACCGGTTAGGTGGGGCGGGGTTGCGGGTGCTGACCGGCAACGAGACGGCACGGTATCTCGGGTTGCACTATGGCCCAGGAGTGCAGTTCTCAGCATGTACCAAGCAACTACCGTCGCGTCCAGGTTCAAATCCGCCTGCCGACCTCTCGGGGTGTTTGAGAGGTGATGAAATGGGAGGTGGCCCCCCATCTTGTGGACGGTGTAGGACGTGATAAAATCAACTCGCGAGCTGACCTCTCGCTTCTCCTCCGGTCATAAGCTTTGTGCTGCTGCAAGCGACCACAAGTCATGGTAGCATCCGTGCCTTTCCCTCGCGGCTATTCGAGGTGCTAACGAGCTGCGGGGTACATGGGCTGGTGGTGTATGCCAGTAAGTGCTTGCGGTCTGTGCCAAGACGAAGTGCTTTGCAACGTTGGTGCCACGCAGGACGGACAGCGCTTCAGCTGTCACTGGGATTTGAGCAACCGGCGGTGTGCCGAGGAATTCATAGAGTGCTTCCAGGCGTGGGGGCACGTCCAAATTGGTTGTAGCAGCTGTTGGAAATATGCCTCTGACATGTCCTCCCCTGCATGTATTTGAGATCAGAATTAGCTCGGCAAAATGCACACATAGATGGAATACAGAGGAAACATATGCTTCTTCACAACAGCTTGCAAGCTTGATGTCGAAGCGCTGATGGACACCCTTAGGACACGTGTCAACGACGACTGGGCAAATGATAGGCTAGCTGTGGACCCTAGAGTTTTCGTTACGGACGGTAGGAAGCCCGGCGTGAAGATGGGCCGTCATAAGCACTGGATGGGGCCACCGAAGCCGTACGCGGGTTATATCCCCCCGGCGCATCATCGTGCCCTAATCCGTTTTCGTTTGTGTGTCTCCGACTTGGCGGTTAACAGTGAGAGCAACAGGGCTAGGGAGCACCGCGTGTGCGCTGTGTGTCGTAGCAATGGTGCTATTGAGGATGAGAAACACTTCTTGGTAGAATGTCCGGCGATTATGTCTGCACGTCAGAAGCTCTGGGACCTCGGTGTGCCCGTCAATGCGAACATCCGTGATATCATGCAAGTGGATGATCAGCGTGGTCTTGCAAAGGCAATTTTTGAAATGTTTCGCTCCCGGCATGAGCACCTATCTACCTAACTTTCTCGGCGGTAACAGGCAATTGTGTTTCAGAGTCAAATTGACGCTGTTCTCTCTCATAAACACCCGTTTTTTTCTTGCGTAAAACTTTCCTTTTTTTGTTCTTTGTTTTGTTTTGCTACTGAGTTGTGCTTGCGGTTGGTGGCTTAGCTACTGTAACGCAACACGGCAGGACTGAGCAATAACCGCAACGCTTAAGCAAAGGCCCTCGGGAAACGCACCGGCGGCCTTTAGCTGGCGCACGAAGTCCACGATGAACTTGCTGGTATCAGCTTCCTGAAGAACAGACAGCTGGGTCTCGGGCATGCGCGCCACGAAAACAAGCAAGTCCATTAGCTCGTCTCCGGTGGTCTCTGCGCGAATGGCCTGTGCCACGGCCATCTTTGATGCCATGATTCAAAGCTGCCCTCAGATAGTGGGCATGCAATACGTTGATTCACATTGATATCCAAAGTTGGAAAGAAGGAGAAGAGCAAACAAGCGTCAAGGGCACTGGGCATAAATCAATTGCGGTATGTGTTGTGAAGCGCTTACTTGCGTTGCAAGTTAGTTGTTAATCAGTATGCGCGCTACGCCAGGATGAGCGCGCCTCAATGTACGATAAATGAGCATCTATGTTGCTATATGAGACGATATTGTTATTTAGTTTGTTATGTCGACTTAATTGCGCTTCTGTTATGCAATTATCGGCTCAAGTCGCTCTACTCAGAGTTTCATTATAGTCCATAGTCCTCGTTACGTCGTCGTTACCTCATCCTCTTCTTCGGCATCGTCTTCGTCTTCGTTACTATGGCCCTCGTCCCTTCGGTTTCCGCGTCCACCGACCTCAGCCAGCGCGAGCCCTCCCGTTCGCAGTCCGGAGACGCCGCAGACTACGCCGGACGGCGCGCGAAACCCTTCGCACTACTGGACCACCCCCCCCCGGCCCCCTCACCATCACCGCACCCTTCCGCCCCTCCACCTCGAACCCCACTCGAACCGCCGCCGCTTCCCCCGACCTCACTAAACTGGCAAAGGGGTATTGAAATGAGCATTGAGGAAGAAAGCACGTGTGTATGACGTCAAGGTGCTCGCAAGACGCTCCTTCTTGTTCTTGTTCTTGTTCTCTTTGTCGTTGTTGTTGTCAGTGGTGGTGATGCGGACGGTGTGAATGGTTACACTGCCCTGGGCCACCGACGTTGCTGGTCCTGCCGACCTCGCGCAGGCTGCCGCTTCTACGCCCGTGCTGGAGCCGTGATCGACAAGCAAGGACAAGGTGCGTGGCTGTGTCCTTACACATGAGTCTGGGGAAATTTAAGTTAGATTTCGAAAATGCCACGAATCCAACCTTGACAAGATTCCGCGAAAACTGCCTTGAAAATTGCTGCTTATTTGTTTATGCGCTTATGCGCGTCCAGTCCGCCAGTCCTCGCCTAGTGTTACACTTCTCACCTACCCCACCTACCCCACCCGAACCGCATCCGCACGTCCAAGCTTTCACCCGACATGTCGTGGTGCAGGTGCTGAAGTGGCTGAGTGACCACGCAGCAGCGTGTGGCGCCAACGACACGCCCTGGGAGCAGCAGACCAACGTGGGTGACTCGGGGGCCCCCACAGCTGCGGCGGCAGCAGCTTCAGCCGCTCAGAGGCAGTTGCTGTGGGAGGTGCTGCGGCTGCTGGTGAAGCACTCGGAGGCCGGAAAAACGAAGCAGGCCAGAGGGTGGCTTATGGGGCAGGTAAGGGGGGACAGACGGCGAGTGCGCGTTCAGGGGAAGGAGGTGGGGCCGGGAGGTCAACAGTCGCGGTGGCGGTCACCTTGGATGTGGCGGCTGGTGTGCGGAGCGGTGGCGCTTCTGTCTGTCCCAGCTATCGATGTGTGCTGCAGTTGACTACTAATCAATTTCTGCTGCTACTACTGCTACTACTGCTAATGCTGTTTGGCTTTATTCACTGGCTAATCCTCCCTCACAAAACATGTCCTTTCATGTTGCCATGTCCTCAAATGGAGCCGCCTTACATTTTATTGTGGGTTTGATGGGTCTACACATCTACCCACCCTCTCGTGGCCCCGCCCCTCAGAGCAAAGAGGACCAGTCCGTGGAATCTGACTTGCTGAAGCTGCTGCTGGAGCGGCGAAATGCCCCGTTAAGAAATGCCCATAAACCTTAACGACCCTTTTCTATTAAATTCATAGCCAAAAAGCTGTGATGAACTTCCCTGCTTGAATCAACCCAACCTGTACTCGGCCTATGCGCAGTGACACGCACAGCCTGCGACGCATGGCTGAGGAAGCCAAGTTGGCCGACAACCCCATCGTCAAGAACGCCGAGCGGTTGGTTCGTCGAGTGCTCGAGCTCCCTAACCGCCCTGCCGTAGTCTTCGTACACTCGCCCGTGTGCGGCATGGCCAACTACCCGATTGGGCATCCCAAGAACCCCGAACGGACGCCGTACAGGTATGTACGGAGCGCTTTTGAAGCGTGTATCGCATTGTGTGTTTTGTGCACGGGGGGGCCCGGGGGGGAAAGCTGGATGGGTGTTTGGGGCACGGCCGGGGGAGGGGGGTTTAAAGGGTTGGAGGGGGTATGTGTTGAGTTTCACATCTTGCTGCAAGTATGTACTTAGGGGTATTGAGAGGCGAGATGCCGGGGGGAGATGTCGCAAAGAGGTGAGTCGCATGGTCGCGAGACTGTTTGTGCGGGTGCTGGTCTGCCGAGAATATGTATCTGTGTGCGTATGTATGTGCGTCAAACCGCCATCCGATTCATCTCAAAGTCCCAATGAAAAAGTGGGGGATGGGGATGGGCGATGGCTAGGGCAAGAAGCAGCTGGGCTTCTAGCTAGAGGATAGACATCTCGCCGGTCTAGAAACATTTTCAAGAATCGTTTTGATTATCGTGCATTGAGTGACAGGCAGTCGATACATACGGAGTACCACGGAATCCCTTGCTGTACAACTACTAAGTACGGCATGGCACATGTACGGCTAGCTGTCTAGAAGCTAGAACAGAATATGCCAAAGCCTGGATGTGTGTCCGGAAGAGAAGGGAAAGGACTCCTCGTCTGGACCCAGGACTCCCAGTTCAGCGTCCACGGCGTGACGTGTGTAGGTCTACATCTGCGCATATGTGGGTGTATCTGTATGTATGTCTGTATGTGTACATGAGAGTTAAGCTGAGTTATGCACATGTACGGCAGAGTGGGGCTGAGGTCTTTTGTTCTAGTTCACAGTACTAAAAACCTTCATCTAGCGAACGTAATTCGAATCATGTGGGCTCTTCTTAATTAGGCAACGCCACCAAGGTTCCAGTGTTACTTGGAGTCAACGCCAACGAGGGAGCTTTGGAGGTTCTTGGTCAAACCCGCGGCTTGGACCCCATTGATGTGGAGGGCTTTTTCACCGTTGTGAACAGCCTGATCCCCATTTCGCCATCCTTCAACGAACGGGTATGTACGGAAACTTAACGGTTAACCGTTTACGGTTACATTGGGTGCCGTACTCTTTCGTTCAGTGAACTACACGCCCTCATTGATAAAATGTTTTTTTAAAAGTAATGAGGGGGGGAGGGGGGGGAGGGGGGGGAGGGGGAGGGGTGTAATGGATAGCGAACAGGATGCCTGTGTGTGCATGTTATGTACGGCCACATAGTAGGACGCCGTACGTACGTACTCTACGTACGGCAGATTGCCTATTCGTCCGGACCTTACGATATGGAGGGTGCATGCGTGTATAAATGCATATGTATGTATGCCCGGCTGCGGTGATGTGACACCGCCTCAGCTTACATGCCCGGGGGGCCCGCTCTCTTACGTCATGCCGTACATGCCGTGAAACCTCAGTGACTACTGGCTTGTTCTTTGGCGAGGAGTTCACCAACTTCATGGATGCGTTAAACTCTTATGTAAGTTCGGGGTTTGGGGCCAATTAATTCCAGGCTCTGCTCTCAGTGTATCACTTCGTGCGTTTGAGGTGGTATGAGCTCTCATATTCTTACATTTCATGTGCATGCACGTGCAGGACATTCCTTTCACCTTCCTAGCGCCGTACCGTTATCCGTTCAACCAGTGTCCCTTCACACCTAACGAGACGCAGCTTGTGTCGTACTTGTCGGGTAAGCGAAGTGCTGATGCGCGACATTTATCCATTTATAAGCATATACACACATACATGTAAATTGCCACGTGCACCCCTGCCGGACCTTTGCCGTACATTTGTCGTACACAGGTATCATCAACGCCGTGGCCGCCTCTGGTTCTCCCCTGCCGCCGCGCACCAGCTCCCTCACCTCCCGCCTGCTCAAGAACACCCCAAGCTGGAAGCCCTGGACCGCCACCTCGAACCCGTCATGAACATAGACACGGCTGGACCGCGGGTGTTTGAGGCGGCTGACCTGCTGCTGGATGCCAAGTGTCAATTCTGGTAAGGAACCGGTTCCGGTCTTTTAGCACTGTAAAACTTCATATTTGCCCTATACGTACTTGGAAACTTGTTTTGTTTCGTACATACACACCACCATCGAGCACCAAAGCCTTTCTCTAACGTTTCTCCATTCCTTCTTCTTACCCTTATTATTACTACTACTATTTATTATTATTAATTTATGATTATTATTTTATTATTACTTTATTACTATTGCCTTCCCCTGCGATGGCACACCCGAGTTCATTACTATCTGATTGTGCTGCTGGCGGTTTTGTTACCTGCCCTCCCGGACAAGAGGGCAGGTCTCCTCCTGTCCGGACCTGTCCAGAGACATTTCCACCGTCGCCTGCCGTCTTCATCTATCTGCTTGCCTGTTTTGGACACTCAGCCTGTTTGGCCAATAATATACCCGACCCCGCCCCGCAACATGGTCAAGTTGCCGCCACAGTGAATATACATACTTACATACACACATAGATACATACAGAGCTGTGTAATTTTATCTGTGCCTTTACCTTAACTGTTTGCGACGACTCTCTTACCTCTGCAGGGACGACCTCCTGAACGCGGACATAACCGCGGGCACTGCCTTCCACAGCTGAAGAAGTAAATACCGTACGTAAGGACAGATCTTTCACTTTTGCTGGAATTGTGGGCTCGCGATTAATAATAATAATAATGATCAAACACGTGCCACCAGGCCGCGGTAGGTGTGCAACGGCACGAGGCATATCCACCAGCTGCGGTCCAAAGCTGTCCCTAGCTCGCAGCAGTGTCTGGTGTCCCGTCGAGCCTGTTGGATATCGCCGCGGATTGCCTCCCCGAGCTTACCTAGCTGCTAAGGCTGATCCAATCTCCATACCTTTTAAATAGATCATAACCTGCTGTCGATCTAGCAGGAAATGTTAAAATTTCATCATTATCATCATCATCATCATCACCTGGATGAACCGCGTTGAAGCATCTTGGAGAAATAGGATGTCTGAAAAATCGCTGTAATTAAATCCTCCCGGAGGGGGCGAGCGGGGTTTTCTCGGTTTGTTAGTCTGTTTGCTGTTGTGCCGCATCTTTAACAAGTAGCTGGCGTGTTTTATTACAGTTCACCTTTTTGAAGCAAAAGGCCGTCGAAGCAGCAGCAATGTTGCGATCTATGATGGGCAGCGAGGGCCAAGGTCATGCTGGTGATGTTGGTGATGCTGCTCCTGCAAACACGTGGTGATGATGGCGGTGGTAGTCATGTTGGTGGTGGTGCTGCTGCTGCCGCTGCGTATTGGTACATTAACTTCTGACCGTTATTATCTCTCCGCTAACCTCTATCCGCAGTCCGCAGTCCTTACTGCTAAATCCGCAATGCAAGTCGTGACAGCAGGTGTTGTGCTCTTCGGATGAACTATAACAACAGCATAAGAGCTGTCGAAAACTTGCAAACCATGTCGACGCGTTTTTTGAAGCTCCCGAATTTCGTTTTTTTCGAAGCTCTCCCTCTTTGGCTGCATGCCGTGCTCTGCAGAACGGGCAAATTAGGAACTAATGCTTCCTCCAGACGCCAACTGGAGCCAGTTCCTTTCACTTTCCCTGAGCAGCAGGCTATAATGTTTTCGTTCGGCGGACTGGATTCAGGGTCTTAATGTACAATATATATTATTGTTGTATTATTCATAAAATTGCGGCGCCGCCCAGTGCTCACGCGCATGGCCAAGAATCCAGTCGCTCCCGTTGAAAGCCAGGCACGTCGTGCTGAGGCGGCTTTTACGGACACATCTGCACCTGTGTGCGGAACTTGTAACTTGCAACTTGTTACTGTGTGTTACATTCTGGTGGTGACGTGGCCATGTGTTTGGTACGAAAGAGATGTGTGTTTCCACGCGTCTACAGAAAATGCATTAGAAGAAACCGCAGCTTCTGCCTCTCTTGCCGAATGCCAACTGCTTAGAATGGCGTGTATTTAAACGAGGCTCTACTTCCAAGTCATGGTAATAGCTACAGCAGTACTGAATTGCCGTGCCGCTTTCTGGGGCAACTGAAGGGCCATACGTGCATGTAAACGGACGGACGCCATTGCGCTGAAGCTTCATGACGAGCCCAGCAGTTCTTCTTCACCGTAGCACACAACCCATCCGCATTGGTGTGACTTCAAGACGAGGTGTGCATAGGTGATGCGAATAGAATGCGGCAGAACAGCATAACAAACACAAAAATGATAAGAGTGACACGGATGTTTGAAGCAGTAGGACAGCGAAAAAAAGGACAACAGTAATCAACGGCGACACATCAACGAAGTGAGCTCACCATCACTTCACTCACTTCTCTACGATTGTTGGGCTCAATATGTTGCCCAGCCCCACCACCACGCACGGCAAGTTACAAGCAAGCTTGCCATACGGCCCAGTATCCCCCTCAGCCTTGTCGCTGCATTAAGCTCGCAGCCCACACGTACTGGCGCAACTAGCACTCCCTGCAAGGCTCAGCAGCCCAGCGGGGGAACCATCACCATCATTATTAACTACCACACATGACCGCGTGGTAGTGCTTGCCGTAAACCACTGCCAGGCGCCCACGCGCCTTCTCAGCCTCTCCTCTTCAACGGCAGCACCCACTCGCCTCGCCGGTTCACTGCCAAGTATTGCCTTCCCAGCCCCAGCCCATGCACATGACCCTCCTGGACTCTTGCTCGTTCTCCACCATGTTGCGCACTGCCACTGTCACGAGGTGCAGGCGCAGGCACTACAGGCGTACGTTGGTTCCTTCTCTGGCGGCACTACTACTATCTGCTGCGCCCAACTGGATGGACCGCTGGTTCTTGCGATACCTCCAATTGAGATCGAACCGCTGGGTGCATACTAAAGCTCCATGCATGCTATGCAACACCCAGTCGACCACAGCACAACAATACTTGATCCTAGCACGGTGATAGTGGCCCCTCATCCCACTGAGCGACACTGCTCTGCGTCACGAACTACCCAACCGGCCTGGTGCACGATGGCCCCGCTCTGCGGCCTGTCCCCTTAAACTGCGCGCCAATCCTCACCATGCTCACCAGCAGCAGCCTGCAGCAGCGAGCCTGCAGCAGGGGAGGCACAACGGATCCCAGTGCGAATGCAGTGTCAAGGTCGCAGGCAAACGACTACCCCAATGTGCGTTGGATTGTCCCGCACAGCTGCTGCGTGTACAGGGTCACAGGTGGATCCCACAGCGGCAGGAGTGTTCGCGTGCTCTTCAAGGTAGCTCAATCACATACGATAGGTGGATCCCGCGACGGCCAGCGTGCTCACATGTCCATTCGCCAAAAGCTCCGGGGTGACGACACAATGCACGCCCCTAGCTTCATAACGAGTCCTCCTGCCTCCCGCGACTACTACCTCTTACCTTGCTGCTACCTACTACGACTGGTTGTCCTCGCTGGCTGCTGTCAGCAGGCCTGCTGATGTCACAGCTCCTTCCAGATACTTGCGCATCAAATCGCGGTCATACCCAGGCGAGGCCCAGCCCGCCTGCGACACTATGACCTCGCCAGGCTCCTGCCAGCCGGCGCTCACAGCGTACTTGACTGCGTGGTGTGCGTGAAATGCCAGGAGGCGGCGGGCGGGCAGGTTGTCGCCCGCCACGTGCAGGTACTTTTTGTGCACGTCCTCCCACTGTAGGGTATCCAACTTGGCGGCGTCGCCCGTTCCAATGTACTTTTCCCGCGGGTTATCCAGCAACGACTTTTTCAGCACGTATATCTGCATTATCAAGGGATCGGACAACTTTTCAAGTGCGGAATATGGCCCTTTTGCAAGCCATAAAGACACAATTTCTCCACGCCATCCGAGTGCGCTCCCCTGAGAGAATGATGAGAAGCCATTAATTTGAAGGGGTTGATCCGGGGGCATCACACTCTCTCCCAACTCAATGACAGCTCCACATTTCTGGTGGGACTCAGCTGCAATTCGGCGCATTGACTACCCACCCCTCACCTGCCCCGGAACCAGCATTCTTGCTCACCTGATAACCCTCGTTCTGGGGAATGATGGCCACTTCAAACCGGTCGAAAGCGGTCTCCACTTCCGTGCGGACCAGGATGATGTTGCGCGGGTCGTGCACGGAGGTGACGCCCAGCAGCGGCTGCACAGCGTAGGAGTAAGTGGAGGATCTCATGTTTTGGTGTATGTGTGTGTGTGTGCGTGTGCGCGTGTGTGAGCAGCTCTAATCACATAGACTGTTGAGGAAAGGACTGGCTCAAGATTGATAACAACCGTCACCCGGACCCATACGTGCGACAGCAAGAGGATAAAAGCTCTGAAACGCGGCAGGGGTAAGGGGATTCAGTTAGCAACTATTGAGTGGATGCGGAGCAGCCCAAGGACACGGCCGGGTGGAAGAGACCCAGTCTTGTTGGTAGCATGCTCATGTGTTGGCCCACTCCGGGCACAATTAATAAAATAGTATGCAACTCTACACCGCAGCCATCCAGACTTACCAGGTAACCCCGGTTCCAGCCCTGACGGAAGATATGCCCCGCCTTGATACTGGCGGCTGGCATGTCCTTTCCGGTCACCATGCACTTCACGGTCTTGGGGCTGGCGCTGTAGCCGTAGTACCTGAAGGCATTCTCGCGGTAGGGCGTGCTGTCCTTGCTGGATGTCGCTGTGATGTCGCCCTGCATCAGGACTCGCACGAACTGGCTCTGGTCCCTGATTTCCTCCTGGATCTCCCCAAGCTCCTCCCCAAGCTTCAGCTTGAGCTTTTCCAGCTGGAGATTTTCCTCCCGGATCTTCTCCCCAAGCTCCAGCTTGAGCTTTTCCTCAAGCTGGAGATTTTCCTCCCGGATCTTCTCCCCAAGCGTTTCCTCAAGCTTTTCCAGCCGCTCGAGAACAACTGCATATGTTTATTCCGGAGCGAACACATGTTAGTAATTGGCGTACAATCTATGCGCGTTCACACCATTTACAGATCTGAAGGTATGGCAATACCGCTTACTAGAAGCCCCAAGGAAGAGCGTGTAGAAGGGCCGTCCCTATAATGACGTACTAATGAGCCAGTGGGTAAGCAGAAAGGATACATCAAGATAGCAGTTCAAGATTGCGGACAAACACTACAGTACCCCAATGCGCTTTCAGCCTAGTCACGGTGCAGCTGTGCCCTTCAGCGGCCGAGGTGGATCCCCGTGACGGCCAGCATACTGTGCCGTGCTCTTCGCGATAGCCCACCCATGGAATGCTAAGGCTGGTGCTAAGGTGCGGCGCCTAGGCCCAAGGCCATACAAACTCACCGTCCCTTGGTGCGCTCCCTACGCCCAAGCCAGCCGCCGCGTCTGCATCACCTGAAAGCGACCGAACCACAGATGCAAACATGGTGAAGATACGAACAAAAGGCATATGCGTAGGTTGAATCAGCGCTGCACGTGCACGATGCAGGCTGGTGGACGGGGAGGGACAGCGTGCACACCCAACCTCACTGTGCACCACCGCCCATTTAACAGTTCCACACAAACCTTGCGTGATAAAAACTGGGGTGGGGTCCGCGGGGAAATACTCGCGGACAGCAGCAGTTTATTTCAACGACGACGTATTTCACAACAATCCCTAGGTGCCTGGGAGTCCTGCCGCACAATAATGGAGGCCCCACACTCACAGCATGTGACCCGACACTCCCAACACCCCATCATGTGCATGTCTAACCTCAGCCCCCACATAAATATTGCATATGTAACATAGCGCAAAAACTCGTCCGCTCTCAAGCTTCGACTTCTTGAAGCGAAGTATGAGTGTAGAGATAGGCAAGCTATTGCGAAGGAACTGCCGTGGTGCGTGGAAGTAGGGCGCATGCATGCATGCATGTGCCGGACCACAGTACGGCAGGGGACGCCGAGCTCCTACTTGGGTCCCACAGGCGCATTGGTTCTTTAACTGCCGTTGTCTTGAGGTGTGTCCCGCTGCTGGGACAGTGTCCTCTAGTTTCCACCCACCCACCCACCCACGGGTCGGTATCGTAATAATCGTACTAATTGTCCTTTATTATGGGTTTAAGTTTGGAGTACCCGTATATGTGCGTTCTCTCGTCAATTTTCTGTGCCTCGTCGTTTCCCCGCCGCCGCGGAGCACTAGAGCCGGAGTCTTAGGTCAGGTCAAGCCTGGGCTAGCACAACCAACTCACCAGCTCCAGCCGCGCTCCCCATGCCGAGGCCAGCCGCCGAGGCTGCACAACATGAGAGCAATTGAGGGGACACGTCGAGATGAGATCTTGGTGCGGGGTTGCTGGGTGCGTGTGAGTGAACTCCTTTCCAGATTTGAACCCGCACCACTCTTACCTTTCACGGACCTCATGAACTCAACAATTGCCTCGTTGTCACCGTCTATCGGAAACACCTCGAGCTCCTCCCCCGATAGTTTGGACAGGGCGAAGCACAAGTCGCCGAGCTCCTTCCCGCGCACGTCCAGCGCCTTCGCGGCAGCGGTGAAAGCCGCAGCCGCCTCCTTTCTGCTGACCATTCGGCCTTCTTTCTGCTGACTACCGTAGTGACAGGAAAGGTTTATGATTTTCTTGTTCGAGACACCCTCAAAGTTACACCCGAAATTATTGGTGAAACTGTTAAATTCGTGAGAAGCCAACGCAACCGAAGCAACGGTGCCTGCAATATTCGTTAATGGGTCCGACTCAGAACGCCGATTGACGCAAAAGCTGGCCAATGCATGCACGGCTATTTAGGAGCGGCAAAACCAGCTCTATCCGTAGATGGGGCGCCGCGAGCAAGTGTGAAGAGTCCCCATTGAAGGAGGCTTTGTTGCTTAGGCCGCTTGGCCCTCGGATCCATGTCCGTTCAGATACTATGGATGTATATATGGCCAGAAAAGTGGAATTCGACGAGTAATTACTGTGTTGAAGGCATTATACGATTTGGCTTCGGAGCACACATATATTCGTGACGACCATCGCCTGGAACAGCTTGTAATTTATATGTGACATAATTTCGTGATGCCGTCACGAAATTAAAATCACGAACATTTCCTGTCACTACGGTACTGCTCGTCCGTGCGTTGCGATGTTGGGTGAACGCCTTGTAACCCTTCAACTACACTCACAATATACCGCTGCACTATTCTCTCCACTCCTGCCACATCATGTTTCACCGACATACTTCGGCATCTTCCGCATCTATATACTTTAGTACGCGGTCAGCTGCTTCACCAGGACCCCGGTGTTTATTTATATAGGAAAAGTCCAAACAGAGGCCCCATAGGTGTTAGGTCCGCGGGTGATCCGTACTCCGAGAGACTAGATGTGTCGAGAGACATTGGATTGGCTGGGACAGATAGACTCCGCCAAGAACCCGGAGATTGACAGACAGTCATACAGAACCTATGACCTGGGATTGGCCGACAGGCTGACGAGTGTGCGTTGCAAACGTTTCGGATCTTGAACCCGGCTAGTCTTAAAGCCCTTCTGCGTGTCTGTCAGCATCGATTCTCAGAGTGACACACTTGTGATGAGCATCCGCATTGACTCATGTTGTTACTCTAGCGGTGTCTTACAGTCTCTAAGACTAGTGATTACCATCAGTTCGATGATACATGAATGCAGTCTCATAGCTAGCCTGTGACTATAAACGCTTATCGGCATGTCCGAGCGCACGAAGCCACTGCTGTTAGAGCATAGAGAGGCGCAGTGAAGCCATAGCCACCGAATATACTACGCACATCTACGCAATAACGTCCTTTTATCTGTAAACAGCATTAGTGTGGACCTCTAGACGGAAAACAGGGTACAGGAAGGTTGGAACAGCGGCGAGGGACCTGCAGAATTGATGCGCCGGGGATGTGCGGCCTTTCCTGCGAAAGCCATCAGGGAGCCGTCTTAGGGGGCGACATGATATTAATCCGACGAGTTCCACTTACGGCGCAGCCATCGTGTGTACATAGCCACTTTCTGTGTTTTCGAGAGACTCGGGCACATGGCCGTTTCCCCATCTCCCCTCCCCTTTTCCACTCCACCACACCTTCACTCGCACGTGCCGCTGTAAACGGCCTGTGTGGAGCGCGGCTTTTCCTTTCACCGCATCATCAAGGATCGTCTCCGGAACCGCTTGCGTGTGGTTACCATTGACTCCTTGATGCGAGTGCGGCTACTTGCTCAGCCTTTTGAGGTCATGGATTTCAGCGATGCATCTGATGTTTACGCGTCCGGCACTGAGCCCTCCACCCTAAAAACCCTTATGGGGGTTTCATGCACTACAGTGCCATGTTTGGATAGTGATGTTGAGAGCGATGAGGAGCCTGCTGATGAGGGGGAAGATGACGAAGAGGAGGCCAGCGAGGCATTTATGAGTGATGGGGATCCAGAACTGTCCAGTGAGTCTGGCAGTGAGGTTGCCGATGAGGGGGACGAAGAGGAGGACGAGGAGATGTTCCTCTCCAGTCCTACGGTGTCTAAGGGTCTCCTTGAAGAGCTCGGGTTGTGATGCTCACAGGCAGACGTGCAGGCGTGCATGTGTTGCTGCGTGTGTGTGTGTGTGTGTGTGTGTGTGTTTGTTCGTGCATATCAGAACTGTGAACTGCAAACTGAGAACTGGAAACTGCGCATATAAAATACGAATAAATGTAATTTCAAGCGGCACACAGCGAAATTACGTTCTTGCGTCACCCGACAGGTTTTGGGATGGGCTATCGGGGCACCCGACAGAAATTGAAAGATATGCAAAAACGCTATCGGGTGGGCCCGACGGGCATGGGAAGGGGAAAACCGGCAACCCGACCATTTCAGGAAGGTCCTGTACCACCTTGGTGCCCTGTCATGCAATCATGTGCTACATGCACGTTCAACCGGCACAGCACTTTACAACCTGGCAATTGTAACAAGACACATTCAACTCGACAACGAGTACCACATGAAAGAAAATGGGAGAAATTTGGAAAGAGCTTTTGGGCTGATGCGCTGATTATGGCAATGCAGGGCAGTGCAAGGCATGGGGAGCCTGGACAGGGACGTGAGGGGACAATAGGAGGGGAGAGAGGGGTTGGTCTGTGCCCTTTCTAAGGTCTCGCCGCGTTTCAAAGATTTTTGCGCAACTTAGATTTTTGCGTCCTCTGGCCCAACAAAAAATATTGCACAACAAGCGCTTGAGACCTCACATCCGTAGTGCGAAAAACGTACTCTGCCATATTTTTCGGCATTTGGGAAAAACGTCCCGAGGAAATATTTCGATTGCGACGAGCATATTTTTTGCGAGCCGTGCCCTCCTCTCACATCACCTCAACGCGTCTCTGGACAGCAAACATCTCTCAGCACTCCAGCTCAATAAAACACAAAACTCTCAGTTTACTTTAAATAGTACACGGATGCCCTGCTGTACAGCATCCTGGCAGCTTTTGCGAAACCAAGCTCCCGCACACATGCATACATCTATGCATACGCGCACACATACATACGTATATATGCACGTATATATATACATATATGTAGTACATACTTACGTATAGATATACGTACATATGTACGTACATATATACACAATCAACACCCTAAGGCACCCGCCCCGGGGGCCCGAAAGGACCTTCTCCGGCTGAATTAATGTACACCAAGACGCAGCGCTTTCGCCTCCCTCACTCCCTCTTCCTCGCTGCATGCATACCTCGTAGCTCGTCACACAGTCCCTTTGTCATGTAACCGAAATCGTACATTCGCCACACGCTTTGTCGTCACAAACTGTACTTCTCCTCCGGCGCACCTACCACTCTCATCACCCATCTACGTGATCTCTACCTGACCTTAATAGTCACTCACAGCTTCACTCACTCACTCACAGCTCGCCTCTCGTCGAAGCTTCTTTTTGGTACGAAATTGCCCGTACTGCCCTTGCTTTAGTCCGTACACAGGGCCTGTTGCAATGCAGATCCAGCGACATGCCGTACGCTTAGACACGGGATAAAAGAAAAGGAAGAAAGGTTCCTCGCCGTCCTCGAAAGCCGCCTCCCCGCCAATAATGCACCTTAGCAATAATAAAAATATATAAAAACATCTTCACGGTGACCGTTCCGCCGCACATTCGCTCACAGCACCGCGCCTCCTCTTTTCTCCTCTCTTTCACTCAACTTCTCTCTCCATTCTCTCCGCTTTCCCCCCTTCTCATTCTTCTTCTCTACTCCTCCCTCGCCCATCAGACCCACACGGACCCACCCCAGAGGCTAGACGGTCACGTCGCCCAGGTCCCCTACGATATTTGTCCAGCCGTCCGCACCTATGTATGTACGTATGTCTACCTGTCCACAAATACACCCCGTCGTCCTTCGGAGAACAGCTCCCCTTCCCCCTCCCGCTCCCAGCCACCCCAGCCTCAACCGGAACCGGATCCAACCAGAGGACCTCAACAGCTCCTGCCACCATGGGTTCGACAGACAGACAGACAGACAGACCGTCAAACCACGACTGAACTTGAAAGGGTCTTCTACTCTTTTCCTCTCGCCACATCTCCTCTCACTGCGAGGCGCATTTCGCCTCCGCCTGCATTTATTACAACAATATCCCTCCCCACGTTCTAGGGACCTCTAAATCAAGATGTTGGTACTTCAACGCAACTCGGGGACTCGGCAACAAAGCACAACACAACGCGTCGTGTGTCGTTTGCCAATCAATATATAAAACGCACAAGACATAATCAATGCAATAAGTATAAGCGCCTTCTGTCGTACATCTTCCGTACGCCCTCAGACCCTAGGTGTAACAAGCTCCTCTTGCTCTGAGTTCCGTAATTCCCCCCTCTCTTTTTTCTCCAGTTCTCCTGCTCTCTCTCTCTCTCCCCCTTTTCTCCCTATCTCTATGTGCTCTTGTTCGACAATAATGGATGACCGAAGACTCCCCCAACCGGGGCGGCCCCCAATTGCAACACATACAAACACACAGCGCCTCATGCGGTGCCGCTCACGCCGCCCCCAGCACCGCCGCCAGCGCCCTCTGCCGCTGCTCCGGCCCCATCTCCAACAGCAGCGCCGCCATTCGGCTGCCCACCATCAGAGCCTCCTCGTCGCTGATCGCCACACCCAGGGACCGAAAGGACTGTGTGTGTGTCGAGAGGACAACATCAACAACAAGGGAAGACAAAAAGGAGCAGCACAGTTATGATGATGAAAGGGAGGAGGATGAATGGGAGGGTTCGGGGTGTGGGATGTGGGCGAGAAGATGCGGGGAAGACGGAGGGAACTGGGGAGATGGGGCAGGAGCACGGAAGAGGAGGAGGTGTTGGGAGAGGCCATGAACCCACTCCGACCCACGGGTCAATACTATCCACAAGGCAACAGACCAACCGGCACGCCAGTCGATGTTTTAAATCTGGATCAGGGCTACATAAATCGACCCATGGGTCCAGTCCACATTAATCGATGCCTCCATTCGGAACCATGGGGGATGGGGACGATTCTACCGCTCTTCGCCCACCTGCAGCAGCGTGCCCAGTTGCTCGTACGTGTAGTTGTAGACCCCTCCCTGGATTAGCCGAAGATAGACAGCCTGCGGGAAGCGAAGTTGCGGGCCCGCTGCAGTCGAGGACGAAGACGAGCCGTCGCACTCACATTCATCGCCGCCGCCAGCAGGAGCGGCAGCAGCAGCGGATGACCGCGCTGCGGCCGTGTCGGCGGAGAATTTCGACGTGGAGGTCCAAAACGATGACGATGTGCGCGGTGAGGAGCTCAGGCGACGGTTGGGGCTCGTGCTGGCTGTTGCAGCAGCAGTAGCCATGTAATGGTGAGCGCCGCTGCGCAGCTGCAACTGCGATTTGCTGTGGCCGCTGCGCTGGTGCATTTGAAGGTCTGCGGGATACCGAGATTCACCCCAATACGCCGCGCAAGCATCCTCGGCGCCGTCATCATCGGCATCAGATGGCCGCTCCCTGGAGGACCTGGCACTCAGGGTTGCGTTTGAATTATCGGCATCAGTAGAAGGCGAAATGGTGGTGTGGGTGGCGGCGTTGTTGGCGGTGCTTAGGGCCGCAAGCGCCGCAAGTACAGCTGTAGCCGACGCCGGATCGAAGGGTCCCGGGTGGCAGTAGCAGCACATGTCGAGATCTGTCAGCCAGTCCTCCCCAGGATGAGCGCCCAAATGGACAAGCGAGCGGAGAAGGGTCGCAAGTTGGCGAGGACGCAGGCGGCGCAGCCGATGTGGCGCCGAAAGATCGCTTAGACATGCAGCCAGAAAGGCATCGTTGTCAGGTCGTCGACCAGCTGCGGCAGAAGCGGTCGCGTATTGGTAGAGGTCATCAGCAAGTTGAGAGGGCGGCCGAGCGCCGCGTGGCTCGCGGGCAGCAGCAGCAGCAGCTGCGGCTGGGGCATGGGCGCCGGCAGCCACGATAACGCTCGCCCTTGGTGACTGTGCTCCGTCTGAAGGATGTGAAGAGTTATACGTGATGGCAATAGACGCTCGGTGTCTTTTTGGCCATAAGCAACGAGCTGCGCAGGACAACAGCCGTCGGTCGCTGGCCGACGCTGGGGTCGCCGTGCAAGAACGCTGATACATGGTGGCCCAGAAGCGGTAGTTTGAAGCTCTTCAAATTTCAGGTGTTGCCGCGCTATATTCAGTGAATCGACGATGAAGACGATTTGCACAATTCAATGCATGTGCCAAAGCACCGTTACAAGGAAGAACCTAAGGGAAGTGCTTCTTGTATTACACAAACATGCAGACGAATGTAAGATGTGCACGCCGGGCGATATCTGCTGCCCTCAAATGAGCGGCTATGGGCAGCACTGGTAAAAAAAGTGCAGTCCCAGTCAACATCAATGTCGTACGGTGTTGATGGGAAAGTGAGGAAACGCGTGCGTTCCCAAACTGGTATGAAGCTGCGAGATGAACTTTGATGTTCGTGGCTTGATGGCCATCGGCATACCAGAATGGTACAGACCGCAGAACATGAACCCGGGCTTTTTTCTGCGACCTGCCCTATGGTTTACACCCAACACCCTTCCCGTGGTAGGCATAGATGCTGTCGTCGCACAGGGTATACTTTTTGCATTGAGAGCAGCAGATAACCAAGAAAGAGGTGTCGCCGATGCCTGGCTCCGTGCACTCCAATGCGCACAGCTTGCACATGATAGGTAAGAACTAAAACCCCTTAAGTTTATCGAAAAGTCCAGAACTTTTTCCAAGGGCATCTCCTTGTGCCGGGCGTCCATCGGCAAGTTCCGGTCTTTCGTTCCGTGACAGATGAGTCCCCGCCGCACGCAATACCCCACAACAATCTGTGCAACTCATAATCTTTCTTTCCTTCTTTTGTTCCGAATCCCCTCATCACAGCCCGCAGTCCCCTGCCGTCGGCTCATGCAAACCACTCCCATCTACCTCTGCACCAGCTAACCCTCTCACATTACGCACCACACCCGTGCATACTGCTTGAAATGCTTGTTTTCCCCAAAATTGACGCCCACGGCCACCTGAAACCAGGCTGCTGCGCGACCTTCATGATGTCGTTCGCAACCTCAGCTTCTGGCAGAGCCAGGTCTCCGCCGGCGGCGTGTGGTCCCACGGAGCATTTATGCTGCTCAGCCGTGGACCGCTCTCTTTTGCCGAGGACGTGGCCGGCGCGGCCAAAGGCTTTGCAACGCGGCGCATATTACCTCTGCTTAAAACTCTATCGTCTGCTGGCCCGCCTTCTCTTACTCGCGCAACTGCCGACCGCAACCACCAGCAGTCGCATCAGGACAGCTCTCCAGCGAAGCATATGGAGCGGTCCTTCTTCCTATCTTCTTCTTCCTCTGCCACCGCTTCTCCTGAACAAGGGTCGTCCGCGAGCGCTACAGACATGATGCAGCAGCGGGTGGGTTGGTTCAGTTTGGGGAACTGCAGGTCGGTTCGCACCCACACCCACACCCGCACCCACACCCGCACCCATACCCACACCCACACCCGCACCCACCGGGGCCATGCGGGCGATAGGAACAGGCGCAAAGACCCAGATCACGATCACCACATCAGTTTAGCATGGTGGGTCATGTGGTCTCGCCCGTTCTGGGGTTTCACGTCATTGTACGGCTAGCACGTGGCCGTGTTGCCTCAAACCCCAATGGCACAGCTGCCCGGGGTCGGTCGGCCCCTGCTGGGGCCCGCTGTCCCACACCACACACCCGCACCCACACGTGTGTATGAGTGTGAATGTGTGTGTATGTATGTATGTGTGCAGGTGCTGCTGCTTCGAGGTCTGCGGGAGCGACTGGCTCGCGCCCTGTCGGAGCTGACCAAGGCGGCAGGTAGGTGTGTGTGTGTGTGTGTATTGGGGGGGAGAGGAGGGGGAGGGGGACGGGGGATATTGAGTGCGCTGTTGAGCGCTAGCGGGTGCGTGTTAAAGTGGGGGCTAGGCCACATTTTTTCGGAGCTGCCTTTCATTCAGTTTCCGATTTTGGTCGCGAGCCGGAAGCCACTTGGACTTGTCTGGTGCCTTATCCAGCCCCGACTAGAAGTCCGTGAAGCGCCTTTTAGACAGGTCGCATTTCAACTCAACACCAAGGGCCCTCGAGACCCCCTAGAGCCCTAAGATAAATATATCCCTTCTGTTACTACTGGTCAGCTTGCTTTGAGCGCCTGCAGTTGCCCGTTTACGCAAGGGGGACATAAGTTCCCTACGCGCAAGTGCGGGGGTCGCCGCCAATCCATGAAAAAATCTGCTATCTTGTGAAAGATTTGGCAGTATTGTAGATGATGTTCCTATGGAATGGAGGTCCGTTGTAAAAGCAGGGGTCCAGCTCACTTGCCGCGACCTTGTAAAGTTAAACGTAATCGGCACCGGGGCCCGAAACACCAGACCACAGACTCGCTTGAGCTATGCCAACGGCACACGTGCTTGATCGATTTTAGGGCTTCTGCGAGTGGGGGATCGGCTGCTGGCGGCGTCGGCCCCTGGACAGCTGCCGTACACCATGGGTACGAGAGGTACGGCGATGGTGGACTCCGCGTCGGTGGGTTTCGCTGCGGCGGCGGCAGCCGTTGCGGCGGAGCGGCTAACGTACTTTCCTAGTACACGGAAACAAGGCGAGCAGGAGAGCGTGGTGATGAAGGTGCGTGTGTGGGGGTGGGTGGGAGGGAGAGGGGGGTTAGGGAGGGGAGGGGATGCTTTGCTGGCATTTGGCTACCTGCATCCTACCACCACAACCTGCCTACACCACCACCGTCACCGTCACTATCAACATCGCGCCTCTTTCTCCTCTCACGCTGCGCAGGTCATTGAAGATGACGTGCGAACGGCCGTACGCGGCATGACGGCGGCGCTGGAAGGCCTGCTGTCGTACGCTGGGTACGACATTCCGGAGAAGCCGGTACGGACATCTTCCGGGGAGTTGAACGATCAATCGCTTTTCCTGGAGATCCGCGGCTTGCTGGATCTGCTGCGGCTACAGCCACATGCCGTGCACGCCCTTGGGCTGGCTCCGGAACCTGTCCAACAGCCAGTGCCGGCGGAGTCAGCGGCGGCCACGTCGGCAACACCTTTCTTGTATCAAATGGCGGCGATCCCGGCGGCGGCGGTGCCGCCGCCGCCGTCAGCGGCTTCCCGCGAGCCGGCGACCCCGGCGGTGGAGGCAGCGGGCGGCAGTAGTAGCAGCAGCGGAGCCAGCAGCAGCCGACCCATGGGTCTTCACGTGGCGTCAGGCGGCGACTCGGCAGCAGCTGCTCTTCGTGCCGCAAGGAGGGCTGCTGCACTGGCAGGTGATCATATTGAACGCGATTGTGCTATGGGGGCTGCCGTAAAGCCGTACTTTCCGTATCAGGGTTCGTACGAGATGGCCGTTTGGGAGCAGGTCAGGATTGTGTATCGTAACCCAGGGGAACTGGTCTCCTGTCACATTGCCGGTCTCCTCTCGCATCCTTTCCATGCTGCTGCTGTTACTCGCCACCTCCCTTCCCCCCACCTCCCCCCCACATCTGCCGCACCACTCTTTCCTTGGCATCAGCCTCACTCGCTCGTGGTTCGTCTTTCCCCCCCCCCGCCTCCCACCTCCCCCCAACGAACCTAGGTCCGTTGGTACCGTTGCCGGCTACAGCCCGCATGCCGTCACGTTGGAAGCGCCATTGGCTCCGCTACTGTGCCACCGGGGGTGTACTGCTGTACGGCGGCATGTATCTTGTACGACACAGTCGCTTAGCGGGCAGCGATGATCTGGACAGGTGAGCTAGTACCGAGCAAGTGCTACGGACCGAGAGAGAGAGTGTTTGTGTGTATGTATGTGTGTATGTGTCTTTGAGGGAAAATGTCAGAAAATGAATGGTAAGTAGGCCACTGCCTTTCGAATGAAAAACGAAATGAAACGATGATTTGCTGCGACAAACCTATTATCAATCCGTGTCCACATCTCGCCCTGGGCGTTTATTGTCCTTATCCTGGATTTGACGCGCGCGCGTACACACACAAATTCTGTGATCTTCGCAAAATTCCTCATCTCCCCACTTTCGTAGATGGATCCTGACTGTCGTATCTGCCGTACGCTCGGCTCTGCGTACCCACGTGGTGGAGCCACTGGCTGCCGTACGGGACGAGCTCTTCCGTACTTTCCGTGATCGGCCTGCAATTGTGTCGCCAAAGGACTTTTCCCTTAGTCGTGAGTCGCTGTTGCGAATGCTGGCGGACTTTGCCAGAGACCATCAAACCTACGACACCACCACCACGCGCACCACCACCGCAATCAACGCTACCGCGCCCTCGAGTAGAAGTGCTAGTGCCGCCGGCAGCAGCAGTAGCAGTAGCGGCAGCAGCAGCCATCACGCGCCCCCGGACTCAACGGCTGCTGCTACCGGCGCGGCAGCAGCACTGCCCGGTGATGTGGGGTTAGGTGCGGCGGGGGCGAGTAGCGGCGACGGCAGTGGCAGCGGTACGGCGGGGGGAGATGAGGTCCTCGCCGCGGGCATGGCCGTACTGATGCGCTCGTACGAGGCTGAGCTCCGGAACCCGCTCCGAAACCTGATACTAGGCGACCTGGCGCGCGCGCTTCTCATACAGGTCGGTTGGTATTGGCTGGAGTAAGAGTAAGTTACTTGATCGGTTGATCTCCACAACCCTCTCCACACCCCTCTCCACACCCCTCTCCACACCCCTCTCCACACCCCTCTCCACACCCCTCTCCACACCCCTCTCCACACCCCTCTCCACAACCCTCTCCACAACCCTCTCCTCACCAACCCAGGTCCAGCACGTCAAGGTGGATGGCGAGGCGGCCATGTTGCGACTGGACCAGATCCTGAGAGCCAACGAGCTCTCCCTCAGCCTCATGGCGGCGCTGCCCGCACTGGGCATCTCGCTGGCGGTGGTGGTGGGGACCACGAGGTAGGGCGCCGCGAGGTGGCGGCACTGGCAGTGGTGGCGGTGATGGTGATGGTGGTGGTGGTATGGTAGAGGCGGATGCGGAGGCCCACACGGAGGCCCACAGGCCTCTCCCGCTTTTTGAACCTGCTGCTTCTTCCCCTTACCCAACAGACAGATAGACAGACTTACAGACAGTTGGACAGAGGTAGACAGACGGACAAACAGACAGACGGATGGACGGACTTCCTGCCTGCCTGACTGATCGACGGCCTCCGAACTCATGACGCCTCTGTTATTCCCGGGAACCCCGCCATCACACCACAAACACACCTATCCCCCCTCCCGCCGCCTTGAAAACGGAGGATAACACTATCGATTGTGTTTGCGTGCCGCCGCCCAGCGGAATATGCGCCTTTACTCGCTTAGCCTCCCCACCTTCCCCGCAGCTTAGCCTTCCCGCATCAGTCTTTCCTTGGCATCAGCTTCACTCGTTCGTGGTTCGTCTTCCCCTCCTCCCCCACTCCCTGTTATAATGGGCTTTACTTCCGGAGCTACGGGTCGTTTCGGTCTCTTGTTGCAGTTTCGGACTGAGATTCGGACTCACTAGGCAGTTCATTTCTGAGCTGCTTACATCACGTGATTCTCCCTTTCCCCCCCCCCCGTATGTGTGTGTAGGCTGCTCGTCCCACGCGCCCCTGACCCCAAGCGCGCGGCCGTACCCTCCCGTCTCGCAATGGCTTCCCTGGAGCGCACCCTCAGCCAGCTGGCTGCAGCGGAGGAGAAATGGCAGCTGCAGCTGCAATTCCAAGAGGGCGGCGAGGCGGCCGTACTTCCTGCTGCTGCTGCTACTGCAGGTAAAGGTGCTACATCTGCAGCTGCGGCTGCTACAGCCGCGGTGGAGGAGCTCCGGGGACTAGTGGTGTATCGACTGTACCGGGTGAGTGTACTGCACATGTACGATTTTGTGCGTTGAAGCCTGATGGTGGGGATCACGACATGAATGGTGCCGTACGGCGACTCTTGAGGAAGCTTGTTCCTGTTTCACAGCTGGTGTGCCCATCGATGGTTTTCCTCTTCCCCTACCCCTCCTCTCTTCCCTCTTTGTGCCTCTTCGCCCGCTCCTTGCCATGGTTCCCCCTTCTATCCATGGCCTTCTGGCCATCCTTTCATCTTCATGGCCAGCTGCTTCCTGTCCGTGCTCCCCGCTTCCTGCACGCCGGTCGCGATCCTCAGGTATTTTCGGAGGTGACGGCGTTGTACGCCTCCGCAGATCGCACTTCACGGTTTAGTGAGTGGCGGCAGCTGTATGGCGATCTGCTGACGTTGGCAGCTCCAGCGCCCTCACGGGAGCTGTTGGCCACCCATCAGCGCATGATGCGGACCTACTCCGTATTCCAGAGATAGTCGTCGGATTTAGGTGGTCGGGTTGTTATTAAAGAGGCGGAGGAGGTCGTGTAGTTACGGCTTTCGGGTTTCCTGGCATCATAGGCATGGGAGAGGGTTGAAGTGATGATGTGAGGGGTAATTGACAGCGTTTCGGCCGCGCGAGTTTGGCAGTATAGCATTTTTTGGTATCAAGGTGAAAAAGGCTGTAGCATTTCAGACCCGGATGAATGGCGGGAGGCGAGATCGCGCGTGGGGATTGCTGCGGCGTTTGGGAACAGGCTTTAGGTGTGCGGCCGGCCAAAGGCGCAGACTCTGGCATTTATAAATACTGTGTCTCTGTTTATATTGTTTCATGCTACAGGCCAAAGCAAAGCCCAACGCTTGTCATACTCTTCTGCGGATCACATTTCCGGTTATTTCAGTTGTTCGTTGTTTGCATGAAATTTGTTAGGAATCCCCAACATGGCCAGCAGAAGTCATTTTAATGATGTCATCAACAGCTAAGACACATATAACTCAAGAAGTAAAGGCCTTGGGCTTCTGACTGCTGATAGGTCGACCTTTTCGTGACTGAACCGATACCTATCTTGTGCCAGGATTAGCGATCCAGATTGAGTTTCTACACCATCCTGAGATAACTATTACAGAGGAAGACACTTTAGCTGACTGGCCGATTGAATGTATTCTCGTACAGTGCTGTGAATTTCCATGCCAGATGAGACGGGGGTGACCTTTGTGACATAACGGCAGCTGGAGGCCGAACGTTTTGATTTTTATTTGAAAGCCGAACCTTCTTGCTACTGCTTTGTGGCGCAGACGTCAGTCCATCACCGGGTGCCTTCCTCCTGCCTATTGAAATGTCTCAGTCCGAAGCAACCCCGACTGGTTCACCTTGGGTGAGGCTGAACACATAGTCGCCGCGGCCACCTGGGCGCCGGAACTCCCCTGCTAACAAAGGGGCCGACATTTATACGCTATTTCAGGGCTACGCCGCAACCTCGCAGCTGCTTCAGAGCCGCGTCGAAGTGCCTAGCCCTGAAGACCATCAGCGGGACATCTTGAACAGAGCCTACCAGAAGGCCCTAGCAGCGCTGGCTTCTGCTCAGGCTGTCGTTGCGGGTATCGCATACAGCCTCTACGACGTAGATGCTGGGCAGACGGATGTCTCCGCGCGCCTCTCCGGTCGCCCCGCCATGCGCTACACCGGCAGGAAGCGCAAGCTGAGTCCATCCGTCTACGACTACAGCGACTCGTGTTTTGGAGGCGCGGCCGGAAAGGCGGATACACCAACACATGTGAGCGGCCGACTCTCCGGGCAGCTTGCGGTGGAATCAGAGCTCAACTCAAGTCGGGCCTCTGATCCCGTATAAGTCGTGCATCCAAAACATAGCGCTTCCACGGAGTCGATATTTAGCAGGAAGTCACAATCTGGGTCATTTTCCTTTTCCTTATCCCCCCTATTCCAACGATCCCTTTCTTACATGTTCATCGCTTCAGCCAAGCCGTTAAAATTTGTGCGTTGTGTTGACGCCGCTGCGGAAATACGACACCATATTCCCCTCATTCCTATTAAAATTGCCACCGTCCTCATTTTATGCCGTACACGATAACGTACTGCATGCGAATCCGCCCACCTTACCACAAGAGCCGCACATCTGCGTCATTCTGATGATATGGAACATGGCACGGAGGCGATATGGGTCACACGGCTGTGATATGCCGTATGGGCTATATGACACCCTTCTTCACCACCCATCAGGGAGCCCCCTGCTTTATGATGCTCCGAAACCAACAAATAAGGAGCATACGGCAATAATAATAAGTAGTTGATGGCTCTTTGTACTCTTCTTCCTATTACCATTCATTACTCCTGCCCAACGCATTTTTCAACCTTGACAGCCACCACCACATGGCTTTAATCGATGAAGTAGTTCTTGAATTGGTGTCTCCCACTCTTCCCGACCCCGTCATAATGTTCATCATCTTGCCCATCCCTCTGGGTATTGCCATCGCTTCTGTTGGTACTGGCAGTTGTTTATTTATTTATTTATTTATTCTCATCCTGCGCATATAATTACCTATTTCTTTCTCCTTCTCTTCCGTCCTCCGTTCCCCTTTCCCGCAACAGGATTTGCTTCCCGCGTCCCGAAGTGAGCTCCGAAGCCACCAGCTGCTTGCCGTACGATGGCTGGTCTCCCTGGAGCTGCAGGGCGCCGGCGGCGTTCTGGCGGACGAGCTGGAACAAGACCGGCGGGCCGAGGTAGCGGGACTGCTGTCGCACCTCCTCGCGCAGGCGCCGCTGACTTCGTTGTTATCGTCGTCATCATCGTCCATGCCCATGTTCCAGGAGATGCTGCAAGGATTTGCTGGCGGCAGCGGGAGCGGAGGTGCCGGGATAGGGCCTGGGGGCGGCGGTGAAGGCGGCGGAGGTAACAACACTCAGATTTGCTTGTTGTTGGCGCCAGGCGGCAGCTTGGGTGGCTGGGCGGAGGCGATACGCGAGCACGTGGACGTATCCGTACAGCTGTACGACGGTACGGCGGGCTGCGCGGCGGCGTTGCAGACGGCTTGCGCAGGTGAGTGCGCATGAGGAGCTGCTGTTGTCATTCAGGAGTACTGGGGCACACTTATCTTGTCCCTTGTCCTCGCATACTACGACCATTTTGTTGTTTTGTATCAACAAAACTTGACATTTTCTCATGGTAACGGACTGCCCCAGCATCACCTTGGGTTTACCTGCCCGGATTACGACTCTGGGGAGGAATGTTTTAAAAAAGAATTTTTCTGCCGCCTGTACGGCACCATCCACTGTATTGTACATGCACGCTGGCGTGTCCATGTATTGCTTCAGGATCGACCAATCGGGGCACTGGCGGCGGCGGCAGTGGCGGCGGCGGGGATGACGGTGGCGGCGGTCCTATGGGCCCTATGGCACAACGGCAGCAGCAACCACAACCACCACCCCCGGTGGCGCCCGTACCCCCGCTCTGCATCGGACGGCCCTGCGGGCTCCCCGCCCTAGGGGGAGGGGTAGGGGGAGGGGTTCCCACGCACCAAAACCCACACGCCCTTCTAAGCTCCAACGTAAACGCGGGTAGCAGCAGCACCTCCGGCGTGTGTCCACCGAACCCGCACCAGTCGTACCCATCTGCATCGGGCGCCGTCACCGCCGCGTCACCGCTGTTGCAGCCCGCGGGGGCCACGGCCGCTGGTCACAACAAGTCCCTGCTTGTCGTACTCGCCCCTTTGGAGCACCTCCACCGCGACGCAGGGGTGTTGTCACAGATCCCGCAGCGACTGCTCGTCGTCGACCTCGCACCGTACATTGGCGGCGGCGGCGACGCCGCCGCAGCTGGCGACGGCGGCGGCCAGAGTGCCAGCGGGAACGGTTGCGGCGGCGGCGGCGGTGGCAGTGCTGCAGGGCCCAGCAGCAGCGGCGACAGCGGCGGCGGTAGCGGGCCGCTGTTCCCGCCCTTCGGTGACAGCTTTGGGCCGGGCTCAGAGCCGGGCTCCGCCTCTGGTTCCGGATGTCGGCCCGGTTTAAATTTTGGTATCGGTCTCAATCGCTTGGAAGGCTGTGGAAGGCGGCGTCAGGGCATGGACTTGGAGTCTTATCCCCACCTACATCTCTTGACGAGGCTGCCGGCGGCGTGTCGAGTGCTGCTTTCAGGTGGGCCGATGTGGAGAAGATGGGAAGAGGAGAAAAACAAGGTGAAGATGCAAATATTGGAAAGAGTCAAGACGGTTTTGGAAAAAACGAGCGAGGTGATGATAATGCATTATGGGATAGGACCTGGAGCGCGGTTACTGAGGCGAGATCTGGACCTTAACACGGAACCTAAATGTCGTACAACCTTTCCCGAAAAAATCCCCCCGGCCCATGCCGCGGCAGCATTCGACACGTGTTTTTTCATCCCTCCCGCCACGCCCCGTCCCGCCCCGAAACCACCAATGTTGTTCACTCTCACAGCGGGCGTTCCGGAGCCTTCTGGTGACGGCATCTGGCTGCTGCTACAGCTTCTAGCGCCCAAGGTGCACAGGCCCCTTTGGGAGGCGGTGTGCGAGCTGCAGCAGGGGCTCCTAGCCAGCGGAGCCGTGGGGGCGCACAGCAAGGTGGGTCTGGTGAGCATCGGAGTTGACGGCCGTTGGTTGACGGTTAATGGTTGGAGATTGGTTGGAGGGCTTAGGGAAAAGCCCCCTGGGGCTGTATGTTGAGGCGTGGGGTTTCAGGGTGTCCGCATACATCCGCAATCAGACACACTCCCGCACGGATGTGAGTGCAGGAGGCGGTTCTGTCGGAGATTCACAGCCGGCTGTGGGGTTTGTTGCGTCCCTTGACCTTGCACCGGCGAGCTCGTGACGTGGAGCTGACGACCATGCGAGCTGTCGCGACCAACCTGAACCTGTACGACCACTTCTCGGCTGCGGACGGCGGCAGACGAGCGGACGGCGGCGCGTGAGCGGACGAGAGCCCCGCGCTGTTAGAAGGAGGGCATGTGTACACGGCAGCCGCGTCGAGGGATATCCACGCGGCGTGGGGTGCGATGGTATGTGACCCGCACTTACCATGCGTTGCCTGCGTGCTCCTCCTCGTCCCCTCGCCGCCACTGCCACCGGCAGCGGCAGCCTGAGGGCGACCTGACCTCAACAGGCTCTTCGTCCTCGCCCTCCGCTGACAGCTCCATTTTCTTGGCCTGGGACGGCCTTGGCTGTATAATCTTGGTTATACGAAATGTCGATTCTAGTCTTTGCGCGGGGGTGGAAGGGAAGGAAGGAGGGGGGCGGCGGGGAAGGGTGGGGAGAGAACTGCGCCGTACTGTTTCATGGCGACTTGGGACTTGGAAGGGCGTGTGGAGAGGAGTGTGGGAGATGGGTGAAGACTGGGCAGGAAGTGCGGGAAGAGGAGAAGGAGGCGACCCCCGGGTGTATCATCTTTTTGATTTTTGGCTGGTTCGGAGGACTTGGCAGCGTGCACGTGCGCATCCCTAATGTGTTGTACCGTAACGGCCGTGTGTGTCGTGTGTGTGTGTTTCGGTGCGCGCGTCCCCTCTGGCTACCCCGGGCTAGTTTGGCGGGGGGAGTGGGCGGGTGATATTCTCCAGGGTTTGGCGGCCGTACTTCTTCACTGCAGCACGAGATGGCGGGAGAGAGGTGAGCTGAGCTGAGCAGCGCCCGGCATATCTTGGCCTTTTCAATTGCCTGCACCCGTGCCGGCCGTAAAGTACATCAAGCTCAAGATTAGGCGACCAGCACTAGGTGAACCAAATGTGTTGGATTTGGCCAGAAGATGGAAATTACAGAAAACTGAAGACTTTTGGAAAAAGAAGGGAAAACCTGCTGCGGAAGATACAGACTGCCCTTTGAGGATTGGTTACTGTGCTGTTCTGTGCGGTGGGCGGGGAGAGCTCCTTTCGGGTCATTACACCGCTTGGTGATGGATTTGCGGAATCGCGAACTGAGGACTATGATGGACGCGCTGGTAGTGAGCGCGACGGAGAGCGTAATGGAGATATGACGGCGATTAGCCGGTAGTGTTTGCGTGTGCAGCAAGACCAAATAAAAGCGCGCGTGTTGGCGAGCAATAGGAGGCCGTGGTTCTATTTTCTCTGATTAGCTTGGAACCCCCGCCTCCTCCTCTCTCCTTACGTAGCGCAGCGCGACGCATCCGCGCACTCACCCCACCCCCAACAGCACTTCATCCCGGCACTTTTACATCGTTTACGCTCGTGACTTGGAGGGAACATAAGGGATATGATGACAATCCGCTACTACACTCCATAATCCCCATGACTGCAACGCGACGGCTCGCCCCGCCTGGTTGGGTACATGGAAGTTCAAAAAGTACGGAGAGGATGCGAAAGGTAAATTGCTCGAAGAACAGAATTTAATCTTGGATCGATGATGATGATGATGATGATCGAGCCAGGTGTTAATAAAAATGCAAAATCAAGTTCTGTTCCTTTTTTCGCTGTGTCTCGGCTTACCTTAGGTTCCTTTCATAGATCGCGTGCGTGCAGTTTTCATTGGCTTTCTTTTTCTCCTAGTTTCTGGCTATATTCCGGTTTCCGTCAGGTTTTCTCGTACATTTGGTGACGTACGGCAAAACCAAGCCGCTGGGTTGCGGCTTCAGTTGCCTCTCAAGAGGGCCCGCGCTTCCAGTCCTCTTCTTGTTGCGATGTTCAAGAACCGTTCGGTGACATTTGGCGACTCGGTGACTACGGCGATGTTTGCATAAAATGGAAGGTGAGGTACTTGCTGTTGTACGGCGGAAAGAATGTACGGGACACGGTAGACAGTGCGGCGTATGCTTCTTGCTGCACCGAATGTTTCGCGTGCGTATTGATCCGGCGAAGGATCCCCCAAGGTGTGCGGCATGCAGAGTTACGCTCTAGCAGCCTAGCTCTAGAAGTTGAACTCCAATTCTGGATTCTGGCTCTAATCTAGATGTGAAGGAAAGGTGAAGGAAAGAAGGGACGGGGTTGTGGTCATCGAGGACAGCGACCCGACAGGAAAGGAAGCTAGCCGGGAAAGCGGCGGAAGTAGCTTCGGGATGGATGGATGGATGGATGGATGGCAGCGGGATCAGCGATAAGAGGTCCAGAGGCTTGAGGGGAACGATGATCGGAAGACGGGCTTAACTTGGAGGGAGTAATATTCCACGGTCGGTGTTTATCGACGTGTACTTACTTCGTTGAATGTTTAGGTACCGTATGATGTGTGCTTTCAGTCGAACGATGACATAGAGAATGAACAACAATTGTCGCGTGTGCGAGTGTGTGCGTGTGCAGGTACATATGTCTGTGTCTCTCAGAAGCAAGAAATTGCGCCCTGGCCTTCCCTCTCTCGTGGCCCGTGCCCTGCGTTAGAGGAAGGAATGCGCCAGCGTTGCGTGCTGAATGTGTCTGTGCCGGAGATGTGTTTTTCCTCGTTCTTGATTCCCGGGGACAGTTTGGGGTCCTCTCACCTTGGGACTTTCGGCTCAGATGGCTTTTTCTACAGGTCACACATGCTCATTAATTGCTTTTGGTACGTGGTTTGACATGACACAGACGGATATACAGACTGATGACGCTTGACACGTGTCGTTTGCCAGGCAGAAAAAGACAGACAGGTGGACAGACAGGCAGACAGACAGGGCAATTGAGATAAACACCGGCAGGTTCTGTTATGGACTAGCATATCACCCCAGGTCCCAGGTTAGGAGTCTGTGGTGTTTTGGCAACGTCGCGATATTCTAACGGGGACCATTGGAGCTTTTGGCTGTCCTTGTGTGTGATGATAACGTTGGAGGCTGCAGTGCACATTGTGTGTTTGCATGTTGACGAGGCACAGTCGTACACGGTTGTGTAGGTGACTTTAGGTAACATATTTACAAGGCATTACAGAAGTTAGAGTTCTTAAGACCATGGCCTGTAACAAGGAGACGAACAATCAGAAGGCCTGATGGCAAATCAAGAAGCCGTCGCTTTGACACATAACTGCGATTACCGGTCTAAATGTATGACTATGTACCATAGGAGCTATCACGTTACCCTCACCTCCCTGCAAAAGCCATATGCCGGCCCCGGCGTCTCGAGCGCACACGAGAGCTCGTTGACGCCGTACGAGCCGTAACCATCATCTTTCCAAGGGGTTTGCTGGCTGCCCAAATCGTTAATCCAACTCACCGCACACCCCTCAATGCGACCAAACACACGAGCCTGTCGTCGTTCACAAGGAGCGGCACTTTATGTGTTCGTGATGGTGTCCGCCATGGTCTTGTGATATGCTATCGAGGTGGCGAACATGTGCTTCCGGCCGGCCGGCACATAGAAAATAGGGACACGAACACCAGATTGCACATCGTCGTATGCGCGAGGAAAGGATGCGTGAGGTGGGAAGATAAAAGCAAAAAATAGGATGTAGGAACGCAATGCTGATGGTCTCTACTGGGCAACCATCTCTTGAGCTTTTCGCGGTTTAGCAGCAAGCTAGCAAGCAATTATGACTCAGCAGGCTAGCCAGGAAATGCTTTTATAAGAGTCAAAAGGTTAGTCTCGCGGGTTTTCAGCTCCTGTAGAACCTCGCGGCGCACGATTATCGCATGCGTGTACGTGTAGTGTAGCTTCAAGCAGCGCAATCTCCTCGGCCATTTCCTAATGAAAATATGCACAACCCAAAACACAGCCCGACATCAACTGGTCGAAAGTTAACAACAATGTCAGCTGGAAGCCTGATCCCAACCAAAGATACCTTCCAGGGCTCGCCGCGGCTCGCATGGCAGGCTCGGTGCCGTCCTGAACCTCAGGGACGGGACGGGGACCCGTTTTGCCAGAGCCCTTCATAACGCCTTTGCAGCACCTCTCCCTCCGAAACCTCGAGGACACTACTACTCGACATCTCCGCGCTGCATCGTCGCACATTCACCCAAAACCCTTTTCTCGCTGCGCAGTTCAATCGAACATCCACGCAACACCTTGAGAAGGCGATTCGCAAACTTACGGATTAGAAACATCATAACGATTAATGTAGATCGGCATGCAAAAAAGAAAAAAAACATGTTATGCAAAACATGGATGTTACGCTGAACATGATGCGTAAAGATAAAATCTTCCACCGCGCGGCCACCGTCCGAGCCATAAGCACCTTGGAAAGAAGCGAGGTTTTGCCCTCCAGCTAGCCCGCTTGCTCACGCTGTACGACGCGATATGGCCGGGGCCCTTCGCATCGAAAATTGAGAATCCTGCGGTACCTCTCACCTCAAACCGCTCCTAGCTAAGAAATCAGTGAACGGCGTCCTCAGTCAGCGCCTCAGGCGCCATGGTAATGACAAGCAACGTCGCACGTGGGCCCCTCCCGGCCTTCACGGAAGGGGCCCCTGCGCTTGCGGGTAACTTGTAACTCGTGACCGACTGCTAGCCGCTGATTTTCCTCAGCTAGCAGTCAAGCACTGTATATCGTCGCCTCGGCAAAGGGAGCTCGGGTTATAGCCGAGAGGGGGCTAACACGCAACCACACAAATCCAACACAGGAGAACGAACACCCCGGGGGCCCGATCTGCTCCATCTCACGCGGCCTGGTCGAAGCCTCCGGCGTCGCTAGAGGCGCCTTTTTTGCCGTTGTCGCCGTCTGCGGCAGTGGACTCGGTAGCCACTATTGCTTTAAACTCCTTCTCACTGCCTGCGGATGCCGACAAACAAGAGGGTTTCGGAGGCGACCGTGATGCTGCCGAAGTAAATCTGTACGAGCTGAGCTCACTACCTGCTACAGCAAAAAACCAGGAAAGCATTACGCCGAGCCGAACACACACAGAGATATTGTTGCCTAAACCACCGAAGCGGATCTTGCCTATTTCCTCTCTTCCGTTACTACTGCGCTACCGTACAGCGAAGACAACTAATCTTCAATTGAATTACAACGCATATGTCAAAAATCCATCACGCATGTACGTATGATGAAGTACGGCACCAAGTACGGCACTAGCCCTACCCAAGATGCCAGTACCACATATGTACATACGTACGTACACCTCCAGCTTTCATCATGTGACGTTGACTTACCGGAGTTCTGTTCGCGGCCTCCAGCACCGGAGGGCCCCACAAACCGAAGAACCACGGTGGCCAGCAACTGCAGCAGCAGCAGCAGCAGCAGCAGTAGCAAGGCAGTCGCAAGGCAGTGCAGGTATATTAGAGAGATCAGCGAGGCAGCAGCACCCTGACAGAAAAAACGGCTCAACCTTGTTAGCTGTAGCAGTCAACAGCTAAAGCAACAGCTAAAGTTCAGCAGTAGCAATAATACTCCAGTAGACCCACCCACCCACTCAGGTCACATCTGCCAACCCCATCCACCAATCACCCACATCGACCGACCGACCGACCGACAGACAGGGCGCCCTCACTGACCCACCGACGCGCACACCACCCACCAGCACTCCCATAACAATTGAGATGGGCGCAATCCAAGGCGCGTACACCTCTCCAAAGTCCGTGTGGTAGATCACGATGCCGATGTAGACGTTGGCCCAGGCCAGCAGAATGGTTGCTCGTCCCAGATTGTGGTGGATCAGGTTCCAAAGGCCACGGCGCGGGTGGTCAGGGTCGGGTCGGATGTACGCCAACACCACCTGGGGTGGGGAGGGTGGGGGGACCGAGGGGGATGATGGGGGGATGAAGAGAGTGTGTGTGTGTGGAGGATGAAGAGAGTGCGGAGGGTGGGGAGGGTGGGTTTATAAATGTACGGCGCGAGAACGTCACGTCCTACCTGAAGACTGACTGAGCTCACAACAGACTCCGCCGGGGGAAACACAACACCCAAACACACACCATCAGCTCCAGGGGGCCTCCCGGGGGGGGAGGAGCTGCTCCTCCTCACACAAACAACCCCCACAACCCCTTCACGTACCTGCGCACCCGCCGCCGCCATAACAGCAATGCCGATCTTCTCGTGCGCCTCCGTCAGGTCCCCCTCCACCTCCTCAAACTTCACAAACGCCACCACGAAACCGGCAATGAACAGCGCCACGCCGGTCCACTGACAGACCAGATGCAGCCAGAACCACAGGTGCTTGCCGAACACCTTGGTATTCCCCAATAGCCACCTGGCAAGGAAGAGAGAGAGGGAGGGAGGAGGAAGGAGGAGGGAAGGGGGAAAAGAGATAAGTGGTTCTGTAAGCGAGGGCCGGTTTGGGGGGCCCATATGCGGTGACGAAGAGAGAGTGCTTGTAGGGATATTGCTGGTAGAAAAATGAACTGAAGAAGAAGGGGCATATGGAGTGGAAATGAAATAGCGGAGAAGAATTGGCCCCAAGACAGGAAGATTGCGGAATACTTCCGTGTCGCATTCCGCATTCCACAAGGCAGCAAAGCAAAGGTGTCCACGAGATCAGTCGGCACAGTCGGAAGGGGGCCCCCGCGGAAGGTGCCGTCAGATGAGGGCGGCTCGTATGTGTGTATCCAGCCTTGCCAGACACGCCTTTGGAGGATGGAGAGATGATAAACAACATCCGCAACAATTCCGCAACCCAACCCTAAAGCTCATATCCTAACCCTCCCCGCTACCCCACCACCCCTAAACACTCCCCATCGCCACCTCTTGTCCCTTTCCCCCAACCCCCACCCCTCCATGCACGCACACGCACGCAGGCAGGCATGCAGGCAAGCGGCCGCACCCAATAATAATAATAATAATAATAATAATATAATAATAATAATAATCCCTTCGCGCCCTTCTTCTTCCGCACCTGTGCGCCGGCAGCAGTGTACCCAGCGGCAGTAGCAGACCCCACGCCACAGCCATCAGCGCGCCGTGCACGTTGATCCAGTACTCGTCATCATTCCCAGCCTCCTCTGATGCGCCGCTCTCCACGTCCAGATAGAAGCCGCCCACGTTGGAGCTCTGGTGCTGTATAAGGTCCTGACTATTGCTGATTGCCCAAATAAGACCGAGCTTGGAGGAGCCTGTTTAGGACACATGCGGCAGCAGCCAGGTAGCAGCAGCCGTAAGAGGAAACGTTTTTACGCGCGAAATACGTATTTTTTTTATCCTCGAGATTTCTTTTGGTACTGGACAGAAAATCCCAACCCCTCCAGATGACAGACGAATGGCTTGGCCGCTGCAACTGCACGGGCGACATATGTATGTATGTATATATATGTGTGTGTGCAGGGAGAGGGAGAGGGATCAAGCGGAAAATCACATATGGTGGTGGGAGGAGAGTAGATATGGTCGATGCGGATGCCCACATGGGAACGACGTGTGTATGATGTGTGAAACAGGGGGGTGTATCTTCGCCCGTGGCAGCTACCCTGCGAAACCCTGCCTTCCCCGGTATTTCGGGGCACCCTCACCCAGTCACCCTAGTCAACTTCTCAGTGGATCGCTCAGGTTCCGCACCCACCACCAGCATCCAACGCAATCTGCCGGATCGATGGCGGCCCAACTCCATTTCTGGTCGGCTCGCGAGTCAACTTAATCCCAGATCACCACTGTCCATCGACTAAGGGCACTATACCCTCCACCCTCGGAACGATTTTCAACCCTGACAGGTCTCGATCCCGGGATCTCCCGGGGGCAATGGTCGTGCCTTACAAGTCGTGCCTAACCTATGTATATATTTTGTATTTGTGCGCTGGGTGTGTGTCGCCGCCGTCGTGGTGGTTGTGGTGGTGGTTGTGGTGGTGGAATCAGCAAGGGGTGGGGCGAGGAAGGGAGGCCGGACATAGCGGCCAGGGTAGGGACTAAAGAGAGGAGAGGAGGACCAGCTGCAGCTCACCGTCTGACGCCGCCAGCCGGCGACGGCCGCCGCCACCGCCACTGCTACTGCTGTTGCCAGCTATGAACCGAAGGTCGGGCGACTCCTTGGCGAGCGGCTCATTGAGACGGCGACTGAAGCACATAGTCGTGACACCAGAGTCTTGTACGACACCGCTGTCGTACGCCCATGACGGCGATACGGCATCGTTGCTGTCGAGGTCCTCGGCCTGTCAGTCAACCGTTGGCACCGAATGGTTTCATTCCGGCGCGGCACATACATACATACATACATACTCCCCACACCCCACACACAGGAGGGCCGCCCCCCCCTCGCCATTACCGCCGATCGTGCGATCGTCGTGCAAAACCCTAGGAGGAGGAAGGAGGGTTCGGCCGCTCAAGACCTAACCTTGAGTTTTTAAGACGGACAAGCGATCATGCCACGATTGCCAAATTAGGACACTTAATGAGGAAAAAGGCAAAAAGGTATCAAAAGGAAAAAGGGAGGTATTCAAAATCCTCGGTACGGCGGCCACCACCCGGTAAGATGTATCACTCCGGGCTCTCGGGCTATTTAGGGCCAGGACAGGCTGCCGGCGAGAAGGCGGGTTAGGAGGGTAGGGCGGCGGCGGCGGCGGAGGAGGGGGGACTACGTACCGTTGCATGGAACGTGCTGAAGAACGGTTTGGGCGAGGCCGCCCAGCCGAGGGCGATGTCACTCGGGAACATGGCCGAGGCGTCTGTCGGGTTGAAACCGATGGCCACGTAGCCTGTGGAGGCGGCGTCGACGGGAGGAGGGGAGGGGAGGGGGGGGAGGGAGGGCGTCGACGGGAAGGTGGGGGTAGGGGCGAGGAGATTTGAGTCACGAAAGAGCGCATAGGAGCACAATGAAAGGATGCCATACACATGTCGTACCTCTGATTGCTGCCTGTACTGCAACGTGGAGGGTGCCGTACTGCGCCAGCTCACTCCCCTGTTGTACAACCAAGCGCACGTAAGTACCGCACAAACCGGTTCACAGGGGCCAAGAGAAGAGAGGGGGGTGGAGGGCTTGCGTGAGACGAAATCTGCCAATTGCCGGAGCCCAGATGGGAAGGCGAAGGAAGATGCGAAGGAAAAAAAGAAAAATAGCATACGAAAAATACGGCAATAACGACAAAAGTACTCATGCGCAGTGGAGCGACGGCAGGGATGCAAGCAACAACCCAAGCATTGGGTAGTGGTACAAAATTTTTGACGGAATGAAAAATCCAAAAATTGGATGTCTAAACGCGCAGCCAACACCGTCCTTGTCCACGATCTAACTAAAGCGTTCGTGTCCGTATGTATGTACGCACCGAGAGCGTCGTACGATTAGCGGGTGTGCAGGGGTTGGAGGGGGCCGAGGCCGTGTTTATGCTCCAGTGTACGGTAACCTTGTCCTGGTGGCCAAAAACACATACACACACGCCCGGGGGGATTTTAGGGAAGAAAGGAAAAGCCGTTGGTGGTAGTGGCGGATGATAAGGTCGGTGCTGATTGCTGGTGGCGGTGATCGGCGGTGCTTGCGGTGGCGGTGGTAAATCGGTAGCAGTGACAAGGTGTCGTTGTTAAAACAAAAAAGTAAGAGGGATTGGGTGGGAGGGGGAATGGCTCGAGATGGTTCGATTTCCTAAATCACTTGCATGGAAACATGCATGCCGTACACGAACGCTACGTCGCGAGTACGACTGCCGTACACTTACAACTGTCGCGGAGCAGCTGTAGCCCAGGTTGCTTGTAGGGCAGTTGGTTCCCCCTGAGGCTGTAGCGGCCGGCTGGGGGTGGTGGCAGCGAGGAAGGGGGCCCGGGCGGAGAAAGATGATACGATGCATATACGACATAATATACGACCTGATATACTACATATGATACAATATGGATGGAAAAACAGCGCCAAGGCGACGTCCAACCGCTGCGGACCACCTGGATGGATAAATTAACCTTTCCTCCCTTTCCCTCCCCTTCCCCCTTCCATTGACCCCCTTCTGTGTCCACCGTCTCACTCACCGGCTTCTTCTTATCATCGTCACCGTCATCGGGTCCCGCCTCGTGACCTTCCTTTTCATCTCCGTCTCCTTCGCCGTCCTCCTCCTCGCCGTCCTCCTCCTCCTCCACTGAGCTGAAGGCGGACGTGCCAACACCCGCCGGCAGCCCCAGATTGATCGCAAAGCCACCTCGGTTCGTCGACAGATGCTGCAGAAAGGCGTCCGCGGGGCTGATGGCCCAAATCATTCGAGTGAAAGTTCCATCTGGGGTGAATTTATAATAGAAATGTGGTAGTAGTAGTAGTAGTAGTAGTAGTAGTAGTAGTAGTAGTAGTAGTAGTAGTAGTAGTCGTAATCGTCGTCGTCGTCGTCGTGGTAGTAGTCAAGAGCGTTGGAGAGTTGTCAAAGGGGGAAGGGATGGGGGAGGGATGGGGATAAGGGAAACGAGAAAACCATGAAGGGAAGGAGACCGACGAAACACAACGTACGACGGTCACAAATGGTCAAGATGGAGATGGGAGTTGAGAAAGCCCTAAAGAAAACATAATCAACAGCAGCATCAGATGCAGATGGAACGGTTTGTTGGAACTTTGGGATGAAGGGAACAGGAAGCAAGCACGGGATGAAGAACCGGACGAAATATATTTTATATACATCGACTACAAAATTCAAAACGCAGCCAAGGAGGTTAGCAGCAAGTTACTCATGCTCCACACCTCCACGATAATATATTTGATTGTGGAATACAAAATCCACGAGAACCGGGATGTTTAGCAACAGCAGCAGCAGCAGCTAACCTGTTTTTACGTTCTGCGACACCTTGGGCCGGCTATCACTCAGACGACGACTGAAGCAGATCGTGGTGGCGGAGCTTTGCTGAGTCACACCCATGTCGTACGCCCAGGACGAGCTACCGGCAGCCGGGTACTCGTCTTCCTCACCCAGGTCCTCACTCTGCAGCGCAAGTGCGTGAGTACACCAACATGGAAATGAATGAATGCGTGAGTCGATGAATAAGAGATGAAGATGGACAGACGCGGCAATTGGGCAAATGGGAAACCCTAAAGGTCCATACATAGACCATTCATTAGTTAGTTAGGTAGTTAGTTGGTTAGTTAGGATGGCAAAGGTCGATGCTTCACCCAAGGATTTCAGGTCTGGAGCGCCCCGTGATCGCCGGCATCCCGTGCTGCCCTACCACCGTACATAATCACATATTCACTTCTCACATCTGCGTAAAAGGTACTGATGTACGGCGTAGAACCCACGTATCCGTACACGATGTCGCTGGGGAACATCCCGTAAGGTCCGGAGCTGGAGGTCGACAGAAAACCAGTCCCAACGTAGCCTTCTCGTTATCGTGTCGGATTCGCGACCAGGAACATAACATAGATTGAGGGACAGGGGGGGCGCAAGGGCGCGGGGAGGACGATCAGGGAGAGCAGCTGATGTAGCACCTGCTGATGCACACCTACTCGCCAGCAGCAAATTGTGGTGATTATGTAGAACATTGGAAATCAGCAGCATCCGGCCGATTGGGTTGGGGATTCGGTGTGTGTGCACCGTATCGTATCGCTGCAACTTCTCTATCCTATTTTACCTCTGTCTGCCGTACAGATTAATGGCACAAAAAACCGTACCGTGCAACCACCAACCGACATAAAAGAAGCCTACCCGTGACGTTGGCCGAGACAGCCATGTGCAGCGTGCCGTACTGGACGATCATCGTGGTCTGTGGGCGGTGGGAGATTAGGGTTTGTGTTTTCGGCCGCCATAACACGAATGGTTACGGAAAAAACGAACGGGAAAACTGCTTTGCCGTGTTTTTCTTAGGGAATGAGCCACTGGAGGTACCACTACGAGCTTAAGCAGGTCGAGCAGACTGAGGGGGTTCCCCTCGAGTCCCTTGTGAGTGACGTGAGTCGCTTGGGCGCTGCAATGATGGCGGTGGATGTCTGCAGCTGCCGCGGTGGTGGCGATAGTGGTGGTGGTGGTACTAGTAGTGGTGGCGGTAGTAGTAGTATGGACAACATTTCGAGTTTCAGTTTGGGGTTGTCTTCACCCCCAGGGGAAGGTTGCGGCGGCAGTAGCAGCGGCAGAGACGGAAGAAGAAGAAGAAGAGGGAAAGACCAGAAGAAGCCTCCCCCGCCGGTTTCATAAAAAGAACGTCCCGATCAGCCCCCTCCAGATCCCATGATCTCACAACCTAGGAGAAACTTCATCAATGCAGCGAATGTAAGGCCCAGTTTTAGACTAGATTCTCTTACATTAACCGCCGTGGGTGTGCGGGGTGTGCATCCGTTGTTGGCTGGAGCCGAGGTAGTGTTGACGCTCCAATGGACGGTCACTTTGCCCTGGGGATGCGAGTAAGCATATACGGAGACGGGGCGTGACGGGGGTTGATTATGAGAAGAAAGAAAAGGGGCGGGCGGCAGCGGTGTATGGGAGGGACGTGCGTGTATGTATGTTGGCGCATGTAACAAAACGGGGGGATAGGAAGCCAGAAATGCGAGAAAAAATACCGTTGCCGGGTGCCGTACGGTACGACGTGCGCTCATGGGGGGGGGATGGGAGGCTCACAGACATCTCACACGGGAAATGTATCCCTGTGCTGTCTGGCCCCATACGCGGTTACGTTGGGAGTACGGCGGCCTGTCTTCAGGCGCTAAAAAACCTGAGGCACACCACCAACCCCCCCGGAGGGTAGCAATGAAAGATGCCACCAGACTGAAGAGTGCCTTGGATTGAGTAAATTAAGGAGCTATGTTGCAGGATGCGTGGCAAAGAAGTATTCAAGGGAAGGAAGATCTTTTAACATTATTATTGATCGCCCTGTTTGGGAGTACAATGCCGAACGCGACCATACGGCACCAAATCCGTCGTACATCATAGGCGGGCAGTACGAGCACGTATGCGCAGTAATTTGCGTGTTGGGTTTGCTGCTGGATGTGTGGTTGGTACCTTAGACGCCATGCACTGGTAGCCCAGGGTGCTGACGGCACAGCCGTCGGGGCGAGGGCCCGGCGCCGGCACAGGTGACGAGGATGCAGGCTGCGGCGGCGAGGGTGGTGCCGTCGGCGGCGGGGTTGGTGCCTTCGGCGGCGGGGGCGGCGAGGGCGGCGGCGGCGGCGGCGAGGGCGGCTGCGGAGAGATACCTGTGACGGGTGCGACGGGTGCAAAACCCCCAAAAGTGGCATAGCGAGTGGTGAGTTGAATGAAACTGTCACATGCACCGACCAGCAAGAACCATGGATGCGTTTCGAACACATCATCGAAAAAGGTCCCTCTCAACCACTCAGGACATCATATTAAAGCAGTGTGGTGGCCTCCCAAAAAGCCGAGTTGCTCCCAGCCAGCGGCTCTAGCAGAAACCTATAACCGACCCCTTCGTAACGCCTCCCAGCCCAAGCCTCGTCCCCTACCCCGCCCTACCCTCTCTCCCTCGCACCACACACCCCTTCCCTCCACACATCCACCTTACAACGCGCGCACAACAACCCCCATTGTAGGACAGAAAGAAACAGCCATTGCCCAGAAACATCATCTCTCCCTGCTGAAGAGGGGTGGTTAAATGTACAACTTCTTCAGAACTTTCCTCCGTCCCAACCGCCAACTCCCAACCACCGAAGCCCTCCTAACCGATACCGGCACGCAGGTCAACAGCACACCTCAGCCTCAGCAACCAACCGCTCTCTCACATGTGCCGCATTCGACGACCCGCATGAGCACTGTGGCTTGCTTCCATAAGGCGATCCCCTGGGTTGTGGCAGAAGTGACCTCAAACAAGACTGATTGACCTGCGTGGAGTTAACTTCCCAAGAGTCAGCAATGGAACCTGAACCGAATACTTCCATTAACATTTTTTCTCCAAAAAAATTCCAAAAAATACAGATTTGGGATAATAAAACATGCAAGATACATGTCCCCGAAACAGGTAAAGCGCTCTAACCCGCTGCATACCCCCCGGCCTGAAGCGGGGGGAGTGGCGATGTAGCAATGTAGCAATTCCCTTAAGTATGTTGTAGCAATAATGATGTAGCAATAATGATGTAGCAATGTAGCAATTCCCTTATTCCCAATGTAGCAATTCCCTTAAGTATGTTGTACATCTACCTACCCGTGGCATTGCAGAGCAAAGTGAAAGTCGCGTTGAAGGCCAAATTCGCCCTGGTGCTTAAGGAGTTGCCCAAATCCACACGGTTGGGGCTGAATGCATACAAACACGGATGTGATGGCGTTGGGGGGGCCCCCGGAAGCGCAAGTCCAAGCTTATTTTTTTATTTACAAAAAAGGGGATTGCTAGTAGAGATCAGCATTACATGTGGAAAGGTTCAAGCTGATATAGCCGATTAAGTAGAGGTAGGTGTCTAACTTGGGTGACTAATTAAGATATAGATGGTACAAGGCGGGAGCTTGGCGCCGATCCAGGATGGGCAACAAATAAGCCCGGAATTAGCCCAGCCCACAAATTCTTCTCCCCCCGGGCTTTCCTCACCAGATTAGGTTAACAGAGTTGGTAGGCGGCTTGGGGGACGTAAAACCAACACTGCTGCTGTTGGCTGTTAGCAGCGCAAGACGACGGTCTGGGAAGGACAGCTGTGAGGTGGAAGGATGCAACACGACAAGCCATCACGCATCCAGAAATATACATGAGCACATCTCTGGAGTCAAAAGCATTTGTGCGGGGGCCCTATGGTGATGTGCCGCTGGTCCTAGGTGCAATGGTTGGAAATACCTATCAGTGTTCAATCGACCTGCCCGAGACTGTCCAACAAGGCTAACCCGCATCGCACCGTTAACGTATAGCTCCTTCCAGAGCAGAGCGTTGAGGACTGTAGGTTACCTTGGGCGTCAGCAAATGTGAAGCCGATTGAGCTGCAGCGGGGGATACAGGGCGGTTGTGGTTGTGTAACCGGAACACCGACTGAGCACTGAAGCCACAGGTTGTCTAATAAAAGCTTAGGCGTAGTTAGGTCACGATAGTTAGTCACAAGAGTATGACGCACCTATCGCTTGTTGAACCGCCAGGATGGGGTGAATCTAGGTACGCGACAGCGTCCGTAGGATGCACATCGCATTGAGTCAAACCAGGCAGCGTCAGCTCATCAGCAGTGGAAACTAATGAATTATACCAATATCGCGGATATGCCTCGGCGGACCGAGTCAGGAAAGCTATAATGCATACCGCCAGCATGGCGGTCGGCTTGGGCACCATGATGCTACGCTTTACAACAATTGTATATGCAGAAGCTATGCCACTGCATGCATCGTTGTGACAAGATATTTGCAACAATTTGCACAGGAAGTGCGACCAAAGTCAACGTCAAAGTCCGGCGGTAATGTCGACAGCTGTGTGTTGGGGATATTAGGACACCTATGAATAGTTGAGGGTGAAAGGAACTGGCTCCAGTTGGCGACTGGAGGAAGCATTAGTTCCTAACTTGCCCGATCTGCAGAGCCCGACATCAATCGCTGACTGAGAGACAAGGAAGAGAAGAATACTAAGCTTACAAATAATGGTGTAGGAATGCCTTAAATAGTCTGGCAAAGCCTTGCACGACACAGAGTCGTACCGATCAAAGACAAACCATACGTACTCGGTAACGAACACAAATCCCTTACATTTCCCCGGTCTTTCAAAGCTGCAACGTCCTCGTTGCCATTACAGTCGCAAGCACAAGGTTCCCTTGCATACTGCAACTCACTGCTTTCATCACAACAGTGGGCATGCTCAGGCAACTGCACCCCCATACAATGCCATGGGACTCATATGGGACTCAGACAGCTAACCACATAAGGCAAGGTGTTCCAGCTAAGAAAAACCCAAAGACAGCATAGCTTGGTTCAAATGAAAAGCATGACTGTGTGAGCTCCGGAATGATTGCATCTACTGCACACATAAGCACACATGAGAACTCGAAGGAAAGTAAGAACGGAGAATCTCGTGAAGGTGATGGTAGGTCTCTTTTGAGCACTCGGCTGGGCGCCCCGGTCGACTTGAGCCAAAACATAGGGGCACCCCGACACAAGGGCCAACATCGAGCTCCATGGCATGATGAGATGTGATGGCCTTTAGCGTGACGTTGGATCGACGACGAAGATTACGAAAACGATTGAACTCGTGAAACGTGGGGTACGCAAGCATCCAGTCGCTGTCAACCCGGTGCACTCCTGCCGTGGAGGCTGCTGCAACACGAGCACGCATACAACCTACACGACGGGCAGGCATACTGGCGACCAGGGCACGGCGATTAACGTTGAACGAACGAGGTAGACGGCGGGTTGTCAGCTTCCGCAAACGATAGAAGCAAACGGATATGGCCCCATTCTTGAGCCCGAAACGAACGTGAAACTGCAGTCCAGCGCAAGGTGTCCAAACTTGGCCGGCTGTCGAACGACGGTAAGGCGTTCTGATCCAACTGAAAAGGAAAGAGCTCCGATTTCAAGTTGTGACACCAACTGTTACACTCGGAGTGGAGCGACTTGAGCCGACTTGCACACAACAGTGGCGTACAAAGCTGAATGTCAGTACCGAAGAGCGATGAACCCGGTAGTTACGAGATGCGGGTGAACGACCGGCAACACGGGCCGGCAAACAAACGATCGTGCGGTGGCGCGAAGTGCAAAAGCAGTGACGATGGGAAAACAGCTCCAATACGGACCGAGGCAGGATTGAACCATAACTCGATACCATATGAAAGGAACTGGCTCCAGTTGGCGACTGGAGGAAGCATTAGTTCCTAACTTGCCCGATCTGCAGAGCCCGACATCAATCGCTGACTGAGAGACAAGGAAGAGAAGAATACTAAGCTTACAAATAATGGTGTAGGAATGCCTTAAATAGTCTGGCAAAGCCTTGCACGACACAGAGTCGTACCGATCAAAGACAAACCATACGTACTCGGTAACGAACACAAATCCCTTACAGAGGGCTTACGCGAAACCTAATTAGCCCTCTGACAGACCGAGGTGGGATAGTACTAACGGCTTAGTACCGTATACGAAAAGTGCTGTGGGAAACTGCCTTGAGATATTAAAATCCTTGGCCTCGGCATGTTGCGCCCAGCTCCAATCTTGAAATATGTGGTCAAGTCTCTACCTGGCAGAGTCTATTTTTGGTTGATGTGGTGTAGTATTTATGATTGGCAGGCCTGGCAAAGTTACCGATGTGCTAGCTGCTCAACTGGAAACGGGGCTATTCGTATAATTTCATAAGAAATTGTATTTGTCTCAGAAAAAGTTCGCACGCGTAGCTCTCAGTGCCATGGCAGGCCCAGCGGCTATTGCATAAGGGAATTAGGAACATGATGGGCCGCAAAACTGTACTGTTGCTTGTGCGCACTCGTTACAACTGTGAAGATTGGGGTTTTATTTTATTACCTATTATATATAGAAGATTTCTGTGCCTCCACTACTTTTCAAAATTAAAATACATTATGCGCGCCAGGCTACCGTTTGCCCCGAGAGCTGCAATGTATAACGAGTAATATCCAGCCAGCAGCCATGTCCATTAGGCTGCTGCGGAGCCGCGGTGGTTGGAAGAACGCCCCGCCGTCAGCGTCATTCCTGGCGCCACCAGCAATGGAGGCGCAGTAGCCCGTTGTTTATTGCAAGTATAAATATAAGTAACGCTGTAACTTTATAATATGTTCATACACGGGGCTGAGGGACGATGACATGTTGATGGGCTGCTGAATGCTTGGGATGGCGGTCGACCGTTCCCCTCCCTCTTACACAACCCCTCACAACCCCTCAACCCACCCCTTCCTCTCACACGACCCCTCCAGTTCCTGTTCCTTCAACCTCAGCTTCTCCCTCTACCTATCGCTCCCACTCGCACCATTTCCCCTCCCCAAAGACCCTTCCTCCCCACGACGGCACAAGATTCAGCGGTATGGGCGCAGTCAGACAGTGGCAGCATGTGTCGTCCCGATAGCTGCCGGTGACTTGGGCGCCTAATTTCTACGGATCATGGCTCCTGGAGGGCTCCACTGCTCGTCAACATCCTCCATGGCTGTATGTGGCACATTATTGACGCCCTAGCCATACGAGGGGGAGCACAGCTTCACATCACCCCTTGCCTGTTGAACTCCCCAATGCTATATTTCTGTATGTCCCATCTTAGTCATGTAGCCATGCCAGCGCACATGCCTAAAAACGTACACACCTGCTTTTTAACCTCCTTGACTGCCGCAAAAGCATGGCAGCCATGCGTTTGATTTGTATGCTCAACAGACCACACGTATGTATTGCTGGGTGATGGTGGCCCAACGTGTTTTGCTCATCACGTGGCGAGCTGTGTAGGGTCTCAATGGCCCGCCATAACTTCCAACATCGCCCAAACTATTGGGGATGTATATGTGCCAAAGCGATGCAAAATGGGCACGCAAGAACGGCACACAAGGGTCCGGCAGGGCATTATCCTGGCCACAAAACTTGCGTTCAGGGTTCGACACTGACCTTCCTGAAACTTGCGGGGTCCCCCGTACCTCCCAAATTTTCCTTACGGAGGGGCCCCCGTACCAGGCTCCTGTACCGGCCGAAAACCTTACGGGGGCCCCCGTAACCCCCGCAAAACCTTTACGGGGGCACTGTCCTTGGCTGAAACGCTGTGGAAAGTGACGCTTTGCATTTTTTTGCCCTGTAAATCGTTATTTTCGTTATTTTCTCGTGAACCGCTTCTTGGAGGGCGGTGGCTTAGGAGGCCCTTGGTCACCTCCTGACGACTCCTTGTCTGCCATCGCTGGATGTTACAGACCAGAAGTTATAAAAGTATTATGAAAAGTGTAGTTAAATATTGCAATATGAATTATGTCTGCCAAGTGTGTGACCTTATCCTTTATATGGTCAAAGGGTACTACAACCTTGCACGGCAGTCGGCAATCGGTCCGTCCTCTCCCCTACGGGGGACTTTACGGGCCCCGTACGGCCTCTTATAAATCCTTAAAATCCTTACGGGGGCCCCCGTAACCGGCCTTCGGCTGGTCCGGGGGCGGCCCCGTACGGGGGCGCTTCGCGCCCCAAAATCTTTACGGGGGCCACCGTAGTCCTACGGGCCCTTACGGGGATACCGAAAAAAGGCCAAAAACTTACGGGCCCCGTACGGGGTGTCGAACGCAAGTTGCGTTAGCACCCACAAGGTACAAACCACGATGGTCAACTTCCAATTAGCTGCCATCGCTAATCGGGACTAAGAACTTATAGAAACAATTAAGGGGGAGTTTTGGGGCGAGGCCCCGGGCGCGAAGCGCCATTCGGGGGCCCGAGCCCCCGGGGTTCACTGCTGTCAGTCAGTCAGTGGCTTACATATCTCGCCCCGCAAAAAATAGCGTTTGAATGCTATATCCATTCTATTCGGAATGCCAAAGAAGACACTCCAGATAAATCGGAGCGCGACAAAGATAGCTTTCCATGGCTCCGAGTTTGACATAAACTTACATATCTCGCTCCGCAAAAGATTGAATGTAGAAGCTATATCCATACTACATCCCCCTGCCAAAGGAGACATTCCAGATAAATGGAGCGCGACAAAGATAGCTTTCCATGGCTCCGAGTTTGACATAAAGTTACATATGTCGCTCCGCAAAAGATTGAATGTAGAAGCTATATCCATACTACATCCACCTGCCAAAGGAGAAATTCCAGATAAATCGGAGCGCGACAAAGATAGCTGCACCGGGGCCGAGCCCCTTTTCGGCTTTGAGAAGCCGCCCCCCTAGTCTTTTAGGGCCAACTCAGTCTTAAAGGCCCTTAAACGGCTAAATTGGGGCAACATTTCTGGTGTTGTGGCATACCTGTGTAGTTGAATGTGAACCCTGGCCACCAAGCACATAGGAAAGGAATGTTGAATAAGTTGATACTATGGTGTGGCACGACAGTAGTCGCGTACAGCAGGGAATGCACCGCAGATGTTGCGTGTTGGAAGAATCAGCGGCCCTCACTGTCGTATGTTAGGTATCACACGTGCCAGACGTGCCATGCCAAGCTGGTGCAGTGCAGTGCACGGCCCGCTGGCCCGCTTGCTCTACACTTCGTGAGTCTGGAGGCCCCCCAGGTAACAACCACGCACAATGCCACGCGCAACAGCAGCTCTCACGGGTCTAAGAGTCTGGTTTTCATTTTTTTCATTTTCCCTCCGAAAGGAACTCTCCTTGACGCGCACCGGGAAGCAGGAACTGGCAAGAAAGCGTGCCAAAGGGTTGCGGAATGATGGCCGGGACAGCGGGTTCCTTTCAGCCAATCGTGTAGCCAATGACGTAGCACGTAGGCGTTAAGTAACTCGTAGAACTCCAGTTGATTTCAATCCGCAGCAGCACGCACTTCATCGTGTAATGCACCCTCAGAGAGAGACCGATGCGAGGTGACTTCGTTCAGTTGCATGAAAGAGAATGTTGTCGGAGGGGTCTTTTATTTGTTAAGAAGTTTGTGTGTCCAGCTGGCAGATGAGGGAGTAGAGGCTCTCGCGCGAGGCCCTACCCGGCGGGCGTTTCACAGCTTTCGTTGGGCAGAACACGGCTTACGTCGTCCAGTAAGTTTGACTTTACACACTTCTCGTTAAATATACCGGCGGCCCATCCGTCTGTTGGCTCGCTTGGCCGTAAGGGCTGTTGAATGAAGCTCGTTTCATGAGAGGGCTGTTGAATGAAGCTCGTTTCATGAGACAGATATTTGGGCTTGTCTGCATCTGTATTCTCAAGGCAAGGTGCAACATTCCGCGTTTTATAACGCGGATGTGATCCCAGGCCGCGCTGCATGAGCAGGTTTCGGAGCAATGACAAGGTACAGGAGCAGAGGTCTTCTGCACAATGTTCATACTAAGGCACCTAACGGTACAGTAAAAAGTGATTTGACACTTAATGTTATCACAAGAATGTGTTTGATTGGAATAGATAAAATGAATGCGCCAATCGACGATTGGAACCGCCCGCCAACCGCCCATCGCGCTCGTCCACCTGCCTTCAGACCACCTGCCCTGCGAGTCGATTATTTCCAGATCAAGATTACCCCCAAAATTTCTTTTTCCTGAAAATTGGAAATGAACCTATCCAACGTACGTGCGGCGATCCGCAAAGCTTGTACGCGGTGACACACAATAGATAGCAATCTCGGCTTAATAGGCGCATCATTCCGCTGACTCAATAAACCGACAACCTTATAAATCATCATAACAATCGTCACGATGCAGCTCAGGATAGCAGCAGTCGCGGCGTGTGCGTTGCTCCTCTGGACACCACTCGCAGCTGCATTTCCAATGTATTGGTATGATTCTATTACCTATCTTGATGAACTTTTACCTGGAAGTGATCTTTGTGATGGCCATCCTACGGTGGCAGTCATGCCCGAGACCTCACCGCATGGGAGTCCAACGCCGGACAGGTAAGGGTCCTCAGGAAGATCCTCCGTTCATTGGATGTACTCACAGATTAGCCACACTTCCGTAATATCTGACACCGCCGACTCAACCTGAACCTCTGATTTGTTTGAGGCCTTGACTTGGATTGCCATCCACGAACTGTTCTACAGCTCCATCGGCTTTACCTTCTATGATACTGTGAGCAAAAATGTGACATACGGATTATGCCCTGGATCAAACTACACTTTGAAGGTAGGTGAGGCTGAGTGCGGGGCAAGCACACGGCAATCATCGCGTACTACAATGCCTTTTCGTTTGCATCGCGAGTTCGCGACAACTCCCAGTCGGAGATATCGCTGTGATATCACAATATATAGGCTTACTGCTAAACTAATGTGAAGGCACGCGCGGTCAGAATACCAAGTATGTGACCTGTGGAAAAATCAAATCATTGCAGTAGATAAAGTACGGCACCAGTAACTGCCAATGAAGTACGGCGCCCGCATCCATCACCCTCTCCTGCTGATCGTTACATTCCTGTCGCGTACGCCAAAGTAACACTGACCAGCTCATCATGCGAAATCCGGGCTCCTATATTTATTCAGGTATCATTTCCTGATGGCCCGCGACTGGCCCTCCTTACGGCTGACACCGCGAGCCAAGTCGCCTTCATTCTCCCCACACCAACCGCTGGATGGTAAGCTGCGACTAAGGCCTGCATGCGCATTGGAGCGCATCTACTTAGGTGCTTCCGCCCGCATCATTCCATTCCATTCCAGTATTCTCCCCTAATTCTCCCCTAACGGCCGATGATGATGACTGACTCGTTTGTTCGTTCACTCGACCCATGTTACTTTACTTACACCTTTAGAGGGTTAACGCAACTAAAGTTGTAACCGCAACAAAAAAACCTTTTGGAGACTCCTGAACCTGCCCACCTTCCAAAAGGGCCAAGCTCCTGGCTGGCCCGCTGTACTTGTTACCTACCCCTTCGCATGAGCCACCCCTGGGTGTTCGCTCCCCTCCCCTCCCCACTCCTTCCACAGCCCCAATCGCGTTGATTTGGGCCGATCCATGGGCAGCAGGGCATCCATCAGCTTCAATGCTACTTTTACCGTGCCCTGCAGTACGGCAGGTAAATGAGGTGGTTACTTGATTAGCCCTCAGAGGGCTAGAGGGTTACACTTTGTTGGCTCCTTCCATACACGACGAGAGAAATTCTTCCAGCAGAATTTTAAGTTGGTTGCAAGTGCTCAGAAGACGCAGTCCACAAAGGAGTCAGGACCATAAAAATTCGTAGCGTATGTCGTACGTAAAGGGGGATTAGGGATTAGGGATAGCTACACACGCACATTCAACAAGCGATGGTTCCTTTTGCATAAATCCGCGTTCACCTCCAGCCGCAGACCCCATGCCCGAATGCACCCGTAGGCCTCGACGCGGGATGCAACGGTGCGTGGTTACAGCTTTGAGAAGCAAATGCCATATATACCAGCCACTAGGCTTTTTCGGTCGCCTGCATGGCATCAGTGCCAGTGGAGGGGAACGCATTAGGACTGGCTTGTGCTGATGGCTGTGCTGACGGCTGTGCTGACGGCTATGCTGACGGCTATGCTGACGGCTATGCTGACTAATAAATTCCCAACGGGCCCTGTGCTTGCACAGGCAAGACCGTACTATTCAAGGTTACCAGTGCAAGCCGGGTCAGCTACAACTGGAAGCAGAATTCCGTTTCCACACAGGTCACTGTCTGGGGCGCCTGCGCTGCAGCTGCAGCTGCTTGTGAGTACGTGGATGGACCTGCACATGCAGGATTCGCGTGTTAGTAACTGCTCACTGCTTGAAACATAATCAGAGGAGGTTTGTAAATTAGACACACATGCATACAGACGCCGGTGCGTTACGATTCAGCGGTTGGAGCAAACAAACATCAGTGCGTGGATTCAGTAGAGGCCGCAGTGTGTGGTTGCGGCTTGCAAGGGAATGAGGGCTTGCTTCGTTTTTAAACACGAACCGCCTCCGCCTTTGGGAGGTTGGCTGGCTGCCACAATAAGCAAGCCGTGTGCGGCCTTTGCTCCCCACATCAATAACAGGCAGTCTGCACAGTATTGTGCTGATCACCTTGTTGCCTATTTAAGCCTTTTTAAGTCAACGTACACACACATTGTGTGTAGGATTGTGTTTAATCCATCCACATGAACTATTTGATTGACGCCAAGTCGGGGTCTGTGAACAATCCGTTCAAACCTGCACGGTTTCAGGTGGGCTCCCGGCCACCTCCGCGCCTCCTCCATCCTCGCCGCTGTCACCTCCCCCGGCGCCGGCGCCTACCCCTACTCGTGGACCGCCGGTAGCCCTCTCCCCTCCGCCTCGCTCATCGCAACCGCTGCCTTCACCGCAAAAGCCTTCACCACCACCGCGGCCATCGTCACCCTTCCCGCCGCCTGTAAGGCTGCCACCGCCACGCCCCAAGCCAACGGTGCCCCCACCGCGGATGTCCCCACCGACCACGGTGACGACGGCGCCACCGATGCCATCGCCGCCACTCAAAGCCCCGGCACCTCTGCCGGTAAGGAAAGCGCCCCGGCACCGCAATTGAGCGCATAGCATGGCATGGAATTGTGCGCACTTGGATTACCTGTCGTACAGTATGATATACACGAACAAAAGCAACATGAGCAATGTGGCACACAACAGTTTGCCGCGCGCGAGGGAGTGTGAGGCCCGCCGTGTGAGAGGAATTTCCCATCCGCTCTAGTATAAAAAACCCTATAACAACACCCGAAACGCACCGCCTCGCAAAGCATGTCACCGCAGCAGTAGCCCAATACTGGTCAGCGGTATAATCTATCTATACACACCCGTCCTTCATTGAACTTGCCGGCCTCACATACAAATATATATTTGGTGATGCAGGGTGCTTCTCTCTGCACTCCCAGCACCCTGGGCTACCAGTGCATGGAAAAACTGGTGCGTCGGTTGGGGCAAACTTACATGCGTCACAATCGGACTGTGAGGGCTGCAATAAGGCCGCATGTTTGCGTGTATGTATGTGGACACATAGCGCTTTCTTAGGGCATACCACTCGTGTGGAATTTGTGTACCCCTATGTATACTTAACCTGCATTCATGGAGAGGCGTACAGTGATGTCAATGCCGCATAACAACGAGGTATGCATCAGATCTGTGCCGCATGTACGACGCCACATGCGTATGTTTGCCGCATGTACGATGCCACATGCGTAAGTTTCTACTGCTTTTACTGTTGCTGGGACTGCGAGTCCGCGGCCGTTCCGGCTTATTACCGCACCTGCACAACGCACATGCATGCAATCAAAGCAGGCGTTGGGCGGGTAGAGTTCGTCAAAAGATAGATGAGGTCTGGATTGTTGTTGTTGTTGTTGTTGTTGTTACAGGGTGGTATAGCTTCACCAGTGGCCTCCTTCCCGAGGCAATTCCCTGCTCTTCCCTGCTAGAGGGCCACCCTAATTCAGGTCTGGATTGCTACCACAGCATTAATGTATGGGGTCATTGCCATGCGTTTTCCGCCTGCTCCATTCTATTACCTAATAACCCCAGGGCAAGGTGACGGTCCATTGGAGCGTCAACACCACCTCGGCTCCAGCCAACAACGGATGCACACCCCGCACACCCACGGCGGTTAATGTAAGAGAATCTAGTCTAAAACTGGGCCTTACCCCAGGGGGAAAGCAACTCTGTGATAAATGTACGTTTAAATTGCCTTCGTAATAAATTTTGCTTACCGTCCTTACAGATGCATGTTAGTGACTTCGCCATTGGCAGCGAAAGATGTAAACACCAGAGCATCTTCAGAGGCCAGGGTGTATGCGGTCGTGGGAATCTTTCCAGCACACCAGCACACATGCTGTACAGCATTCGTACAAGTTGCTAGTACGCATATTGTACTATCACAAGGCCTCTTCATCGTGCCATGTATCCATAAAGCTTTCTCTTTCCAATGTGGGTGAAGATAGCAGGTATTGATTGGGGAAGAAATAGCTGCTCGCGCGCTTCCTTTGTTACTACTTCTAACTGTACGCATCCTCCCGGCATGGGCAAGAGCACTGCGGCTGTATATACGTTCTATCGTCCCTGCGCCCAGTTGCCTTCTTAACCCGGTTTCGTCCCAAACATGTGTATATGGATCCACTAATGACCGATCTGAGCTATCTGCGCTATCTGCCGCGGCTTGAATTCCCACTAGGCCACGGAGCTAGCCCGTAGCGGCAGCCTGCACATGGCGGTGCAAGCAGCTGCTGCCGGTAAGTGTGCCTGGTCGCGGGGTGGTGGGGTTAGTAGCCGCGACAGGGCCGGCAGGGCCGGCTAGTTGAGGCTGGACCTGCTGCCTGCCGCTGGGGCGTGTGTGGCTGTGGCTGAGGATAACCAGCCTGCGGTGCAGCGGGCAGGTGATGGCCCTGGTATTCGCTTTCTGCTAGTGTTTGTGACTGACCCAGTAGCCAGGCGTTCACAATGGCACATCCATTCGCGTGAGCGGGGTAGAAAAAGGGAGTGCTAGTTATGGCCTACAGCATGTATGTATGTATGTATGTCCTAAGGGGACCTCGCTCTGCTGCCCCTCTCTGCCCGCACGCTTGCAGGCATGTGTGCATGCATAGTGTCTGTCATACCTGACCGACGTGTTGCGATAACAGCTGCGGCGTGATGATAAGCGGACGCTGTGAAAATCGATATTGTTTTATGATTGTGTGGGTAGCGGTATGCACCAGCCTGCTGGCAATCCCCCTACCTTCCCCGCCTGATGCTTCGGGGCATCCCCATCCTTCTCATCGCCCATGCGTGCCGACTTCTGCAAAGTCAGAGGGCGTTTTCGGGTTTAGCATCCATCACCACCACCCGGCAGTAGCATCTAGTGGAATTTGCCGGATCATCCTAACAACTCGTCATGTACGCATGTCATCCGGTTTCCTTCCTTATTATTTCCCTCCCTCCCTCCCTCATCAGGCTATGTGGCCATCGCCTTCGCCCAAACGTTCAGCTCCATGTATCCCGCGGATATCGTACTGGGCTGGTACAGCAACGGCAGGAACGGCAGCCCATACATTGACACCTTTGCGCCCAGTGTACGTTTCGTACTTTGCCCTGATACCTATTTGTCGTACATCATGGTGCCGACCGCGCAAAATTAGTGCAATCAAACTGCAAAAGTAGACACGGAATGATCCAAATGGTGATGAGAAGCTGCAGGATAAATACCAGATCTCGTTCTCAAGTTGCTTTGGAGATAGACATACCATTAAACTATCGAACACTGTTCCGTAACACGTCCTTAACCGGGAGCCCAACGCGATTTATATGTAATCCTTAATCTAAAACTTAACCCAAGTATATATATTTTTAAAATTAATTTTTTGGACCCCTGCTGGGAGTTTCATGTACGGGTTTTACAAAAGTTACTATCAGCTGCGCCGCTGTTCTGAAGTGAAGATTCGATTTCCTCCACAGCCGCACAAGCACGCAGGCCTTACGTATATGTGCGCGCAGGAGGTAGCTAGGCAGTACCTGCCTATGGACCTTACTTGCCTCTGTCTAGTTCCGAATGGTGTAGGTAGTTGCTAAGAAGTTAACCATCGCTCCACCGTTGAGTATTGTACAGGGTTGTTTGCAAGGGCCACCACACATCAGCTGCTGTACGGCACGCCTACCGAATGAATGAATGGATGCAGGGATATTTCCTCGGACCTGGAGATAAGTATCCCCCGGCTGGCAGCCCGTCCTGGGCGTACGACATGGGCGTGGCTCAGAGCTCGTCCAACGGTGTCGTAACCACCACCATTTGCTTCAGCCGCCGCCTGAGAGATAGCCGGCCCAGGGTATCACAGAATATCACGACAGGTAGGCTCGATGTGAGGGGGGTTGCGTGTTCTTGCCGGTTGGATACTGCCCGGACTGCTGGCTATTGTCTGGAGGGAAAGACCAACGTCAGGCAGGCGCGAGGGTGTGCGCGACGGCGGCGGCGGAACGGAGCGAGATGCGTTAGCCATATGACCCGCCTGCCCTGACAAGACTATTCAGGAAGGCCTCGCTCGTGTTGCACGCCAGCATCCCATCCCCTGCATCAGACGCTAACGCGTATCGTGCGCAAACCTGTTCCTTTGTTAACTTGCGCGTACTTCCTATTTGTTCTGGCGGTTTACTACTAAGGCAGGTCCGCCCTGCGACGCCCTCTCGCATTCGTATCTGAATACATGCGTAGATGGTACCCGGACCGCGTTCAACTGGGCGATAAGTGCTTACGACGGTTTCGTACAACACAACTCGAATGACCGAGGCAGCTTCTACTTGGATCTTTCAAGTAAGGGTCTGCAGCCGGGGAATGTGGGAATGGGGATCCTTATGTCCTTTGGATTTAACTTTTTTAAAGTTATCAACAAAGTATTTGGAGCTTGACAATAGCAAAGAATTGGCACTCATCGCGGCACATGTAAACGACTGTTCAGAACTGTTTGTTTATTTTCCGATTGCATAAAATGGCCATACATTTTGTAATCACAATTTAAATAAAAGAATTGCAAATTAAGTTATCTCCTGGTATGTTAATTGGCATCAGCAGAAATAGGCGCCCGACAGCGCGTTGCCGTAATTTGCCCTCCAATGAACGAGATCATGACCCTTCTTGTGTGTCGCCGCCGTCGCGACGACCGCCGTCTACGCAACTCTTTTTCGCAGGGGGAAAGGTACCGCAGACACCTCCCTGAACAAAGTCCTACGTATGCTTGCGCACAGCGGCGGCTACTATAAGGAAAGTCGAAGCTGGTCGAAGCCGGTCGCCAATCGCGTTTTCGCTATACCTGGCAACAGCCTTCTATGGCCTTATAACAGCCAAGGAACTGATGCATTTCGCTAAACATTGGCCACGCCCCAGACTAAGGAAGGTGACGCCATCGCCATCGCGCAACCTGCCGCTGCTTCCGCAGCCCCCACAGTTGGAAAATGCCACCGTCATCCAAGCACAGCTGCTGCTGCAGGGCTCCAGGAATGGGGAGATAATTAGGCAGCTGACGGCTATCCTGCAATTTTGTGCAGTCAGCAAATGATGAAGTGTAACATGTGCCAACCAGTAGTGTTGCTAAACTTCAGATAGAGCAGGTAAGAGCCAGTAATCAAAATGAAATTGGGGGTTAAAGAACAAGGAGACCGGCACGGAGGATGGTTTGCCCCTCCCCGTGCATTCGTACGTACATGCATGCGCTTGGCAAGGCTAGCAAGCAAGTTGCTGTCCATTGTGGCCGAGTGCACGCGCCATTGGCCCTGGCAAGAAGTGGCGGTAGTTGCGGTACTGGTTATGTACCGCTGGGCATCCCATGGGGCGCGCTCTCTGAGACATGGGAGAGGTGGCGCCTTAGTGTGACACATCTCGTAGAAGAAGTTTGTGGTCGGTCCGAGCTTCTACCTGTTTATCGTTATTATTCGTAGTATTTTAATTCTAACGACTGGCGTACATGTGAGCTCTATCTGTAGTGATTTGCTGTCATCTGCTTGGCGTGTACGTAGTACTTACGTACGTACGTATGTATGTATGTGAACTAGCTGAGGTGGTTTACGTGTTCGTTATAGGTGTAATGATCAAGGGGCAAGTCAGGGCGTGCGTGAATGAACTGCATCTTGCTGACGCTGTGCGGAAAAGTCCTGCGCGCGCTTCATTTGGGTTCACAAATCAACCGTTGATTTGCGAACCCAAATGAAGCGCATGATGCATCCGTGTTGCATGATGCATCATGCTCGATCTGGCAGCAGTGCTACAGCAATCACATACATACGCACACCGTTTGCGTCGATGGAATGACACTACCCAGTGCTGGTGTCGTTGATGTCGTTGCTTGGTCAACGGATTCTGTTACAGAACTGCCAGAATCCGTTGCTTGCTGGTGCCAGAACGCCTCAGTGCTGTCGATGCAGGGTTGCCTACGCACCTTCTCTCCACCTCTCTTGAACAACGCCCGGCCGCAGGCTTTGGACGTCTGTTTTGTAGCTGGAGTCCTGCTGGACCGTACTGCGGGCATTATCCCGGGCGTTGATAGGGATATCCACGGCCAGTGATAGATGTAGGCTTGGTGGTCTTGGCTGCTTGCCTGGGGGAGCGTTGGTGCACGCTTGTCCGTCATGTGGGTCATTCATTCTTTGCTTGTCTCGGTCTGTAGTGGGCCAGTAGGGCCAGACGGGCTCTTAAACAGTAAGGGCTGACGCGGCGAGCACCCGTTGGTCGAGAGACTTTGTGTTTTCTCAACTCACATGGACATACATACAGACGTGCATGTGACAGCGGAGGGCTCCATCATCTCAACCTCCGTGCTGCGCAAACCCGGGATCCCCTATCTTCAACTGTTTTCCCGTTCGGGAGTCACGGCTGTCGCCTATGCAAGCTAAGAAAAAGGAACATCGCTCTTGTAACGAGTGTTGGCATGCAGAGCCTTACGTACCGTACGATGCGCGTGCACCAAAACCATGTGTGGCGACATCCTCCTTTCGTTTGCGCCTTCAATTCATTATTAGGATGTGCAGTCCCCGAACATTTTCAGTACGTATCCACTCCGATTTACTGAAGTGGACTGTCATTACCCGCACAAGAGGTACCGTTGCGGTTTGCTGGTTTAGGTTTTCCTCCGCAATCTTGGCGGGAGAGTTATTAAGAGACGGGAGACGACTGGAGGAGGTCGTGACTGACCGCCAATACAACAATCACAAAAAGCCACCCCACGAGAAGAGCACAATCACATCCAGAGTGTGAACCCTAAAATAGCATGATAGTATATAAATGTAATAACGTTCGATATGGTGGTTACTCTCCCGGGGAAGTTAACAAACGACGATGCGTGAGTAGTCGGCGTCTCTGTAATCTAATGTTTGGAATAAGTTTGTATGCTCGTCTGCGGTTCCAACTGTGGGCAAGAGCCGAAGTCGTGACAGAGGTTCGTGCAATTGGCAGCTTCCTAGCGTGAGCCTCTGATAGGGTCACCCATTCTAAACACTGCGTCTTATGAAGCTTGGGCCCCCTGATACAACAGCCGCCGCACTTCGCCCTTCCTTACGTAAATGATGTGTGCGGAGTGTGGTGTCCACCTGAAAGTTAAGTTGTGCTGAGCTCCTTGTGTGTTACTCGGCATCTTTAATTCGATTGAAATCTGTCGGCCTTGGGAGGTTTGGCTGTTGGTGCAGGAGACGCAGCCGCTAGGCGACGACCAGTCTTCCGAGCTGTATCTTACCTAACCGCAGCGTGATGCCTCATGGTGCGATGTCAATACCGTGCCTAACTGATGACGTATGTTCAACCAAAATATTGGTTTTAAAGCAGCGCTGTATGACTCATCTGGGTTGTTTGGGGCTGAGAGGCTCAGATCTCAGTCAGCTTCATGAAAAATGCTTTTTGAAGAAAGCTCTCGAACACCCTAACTAACCCGACCGCTACCTTCCCCCCTCGGGGATGCACCGTGTAAGGAGTAAGCAAATAAAGGTAAAGGGTTGACCTGTCAGGAAATACTTCCATGTTTAGGAGAGTTGGAGATACAGGCGCAATAAATTTCGTATATTCGTTCGTTCCCGCCCGACGACGACCGTTTCGTGAAGGCCAAAAAAATGGCTGTAAGAAACGCAAGGTTCTCGCTTATGAAAAATATGATAAGAGGTCTGCTGGTTAGGCTACCTGTAATAGGCTGGTTCAATGACACTGCAAGCCGTAAGCACCGTCTGACACATCCAGGGCGTGTACAGCAGTCACCTTAGTTACCGTTCGCTTTCACCCTAACTCTTTGCAGCAATTCTACCAATCGGTTATGGCAAGCGCAATGGCTCCGAAAGAAGCAGCGCTTACTATATGCACGCTTTTGTGCGCCTTGCACCTTGCAAGTGCCTATCCACGGTACTGGTATGACTCGTTGAGGGCAATTGGTATACTCCTGCCAGGACAGAGTCAATGTGACGCACATCCTACGGCGGCGGTCGAAACCCAGGATTATTTGGTCTCGCCGCATGGAGACCCCGAGACAGACAGGTTCGTAGTACGCTTGTATGAATTCATTTTAGTCTCAGTTGAAAAGTCAAGGATTTTCTTGAAGTTAAATCTCTCGGTAATGTAACCTTCACACTTACGATATTCTGGCCTCACCATCGCGCTGTTCGGATTACTGTTTGCAGCTCCATTACCTTCACTTTCTATGACTTACAAAGTGGAGCTGTATCCACCAGGATATGCCCTGGAAAGAGCCACAAACTAACGGTATGTGTCGGCCGGAAGATGTCCAGCCATATGGCTATGCATGCTTAACCTCCCGGCACGGCGGGCCGTATCATTACTGCATGGTAATATCCCTGGCAACCAACGGGACGTCAAATGTAGCTCTACATTCTGGATTCTTAACCTACAACAGCTCAACTGCTGTACATAAAATCAGGGTCCCAGCACAAGTCTGTCGATGTACTACGTACACTTACTTGCACATAGTATGTACATATGTCCCTATAGGATTCCTATGTGATTCTGTGTTTCATGCCTCAAAACCACCGAAGATTGCCCCGGGAGAGCTTCCAGGTAGACAATACGAAATAGAAAGCTATAAGTTATAGCCTATAACCCCCCATTTTGCAATCCAAGGCTTCTACGCGTCCGTGCCATCAGCTCCGCGGCTTGAAGGATCCAACCATTTAATTGTGATTTCCTTTCTTGGACGTGCACTGCTGTGGCAATACTTAACCCTTAGTGATCCGGACGTGCGCTATCTAGCTACCGGGTGCAAAATCCACGGGCGCATTCCAGGCCAATGTGGCTTTTACACAAGCTTTGGCTTTGTATTTTTCCATTATGATTCCTATCATCCTACCGTACACCGTACCAGGCTAGGGTGCCACGCAGATCAGACAAAACCCTAATCCCCGGCCCCCCGTTGCCCGATTCCTCCCCCCCGCAGTTGGCCTTCTCTTCCAGACGATTGGCGCTGCTGACCGCAAACACGAGCGGCGTTGTCTTTACCAGTCCAAGCCCAACTCCCTCTTGGTGCGTGAGCAATCAACCTAAAGGTCATGGAGGATAATGCCTGTGTGTGTGAATGTGCCAATGTGGGCATTTGTGTGCATACATTTATTTGGCTTCGTCCTGCCTGCGCGCCCGGCTCTCTGGCGCGTCCTCCCCATTTCCAGGCCCTTCCCTTCGTCCATTTCCCTTTCCGGAAGCTGCACGGTGGACGTAATTCCTAGATCATTGCAGACATGCACTTCTGCTCTGCCACCGTAGCTCCGTGCTGAAGGTATCTCCCACGAATTGCCACACTCGGAATGCGTTCTCCTACGCTGCATTCGTACTTGTAGAAGAGTAGCAGAGGGTGTGGCTTTACTTCTCTCGCCACCTGTCCCACATTTATCGCATGAATTGGCGCATGGGGGTTACATGTAGGAGCTGATAGACTGCGCAGTCAATGTCCGCCGAGTTGTTCAGCCCGGGCTCAGAACAGACCAGCAGGTTTTGTTGTAATTTTGTTGACTTCAAGGGCCCTGCGTTTATCACACGAAGGATTACATATAAGAGTTAATAGATTGGGATGTGCTCCCCTGCACTACCGGAGCCCCTATAAGTCATTATACGCTGAGGCGCTATGGACAGGATTATGTGCAGACTTCTGGTGGGGTGTACGTGCATATATACATTTACAAGCATACATACATGCCGACAATTAACATGTACACCTCTGAATAATTTCACCGTGCTGTACGTCATGGCATGCTCTGAACCCCTCACTACAGCATGTTGCTTCACCTCTGCCTTCGTTCCGCACGCACCGCATGCATGCATACGTGGATGCAGCCCAAATCGCGTGGATCTGGGCAGGTCAGAGGGCGCCAGGTCTGCCACTAGCTTCACCGTCAATTTCAACGTATCCTGCAACCTGGCAGGTGGGTGGGTGGGTGGGTGGGTGAGTGGTAGTGCATGCGGGCATGAGTGCCTGACGGCATGAGTGAGGCAATCCGCTACTGCTACTGCTGCTACTGCTGCGCGCACTCGTCCTCAGCTCTGCGGTTGCGGGTCCCTAAGAACGTCCCGGGAGACGTGATTTCCGCTTCATCCTTGGTTTCTCCCATGCCGCTTTTCCCATGCCGCTTCGCCCACGCCGCTTTTCCCAATCCGTGTTGCAAATACAGGCCAGTCGGTGATGTTCATGGTGACATCTGCGGATGTCGCGCTCCTGGAACCGTGGCTCCAAAACTCGGTGACCATGCCGGTCCCCGCGGGATCTGCTTGCAGCACATGTACGGCAGTTCTTCGCGCATGCGTGCGCTTGGTACATGCAGCTAGGGGCTATATGCACCTATGACATTGCTACACTTCAGTTTGACGCGACTTTCGGAAAAAGAGTTAATGGACTATTTATAGGCTATAAAGATAAGAGTTGAAGAAAATCGCCATTGAAACCTCAACCAACTACAGATGTAGGTTACGCATGTACCCGTTGCCAGTGCACCCCTTTTGGTTATCATGGCAAAACTGCGACAAGGTGTTGATGTTGAAGGAGCGGGAAGTCTGGGGAAGGTGCTAACTTCAGAGCTAGAGACCTGCAAAAAATGAAAGAGTCCTTACAGGACCGTTTCAGCGGCCCTGGCCCTGGCGAGGCGTTGATGTTGATGGAGCGGCAAATGGCCCCTGACCATGTGCTTGCACTGGCATTGTTGCGTTGAAGTGACAAGTGCGGACGTCAGCACATTGGTGATGAAGACATTGCTTTTGCTCGGTGCCTTGCGTGTCATTGAATCACTGCTGCTGCGCCCCTGTTGAATTGCAGGTGCTCCGCCGGCGCCACCAGCACCACCACCGAAACCACTACCCCAAGCCTTGCCGCCACCACCTTCATCACCGCCGCCGCCGCCGCCGTCATCACCGCCGCCGCCAACGTCGCCATCACCGCTGCCGCCGCCGCCACCATCACCGCTGCCGCCGCCGCCGTCATCACCCCCGCCACCACCATCACCGCTGCCGCCGCCGCCGTCATCACCGCCGCCGCCGCCGCCGTCATCACCGCCGCCGCCACCGCCGCCATCACCGCCGCCGCCACCGCCGCCATCACCGCTGCCGCCGCCGCCACCATCACCGCTGCCGCCGCCGCCGTCATCACCCCTGCCGCCGCCACCGCCGCCATCACCGCTGCCGCCGCCGCCGTCATCACCCCCGCCGCCGCCACCGCCGCCATCACCGCTGCCGCCGCCGCCGTCATCACCGCCGCCGCCACCGCCGTCTTCACCGCCGCCGCCGCCATCATCACCGCCTTCGCCGTCACCATTATCACCTTCCCCGCCGCCACCATCATCGCCTTCGCCGCCGCTGTCGTCACCTTCGCAGCCGCCACCGTCATCGCCTTCGTCGCCGAAGCCGCCATCACCTTCACCGCCATCACCACCGCCGCTGCCGTCATCACCTTCACCGCCGTCACCATTATCACCTTCGCCGCCGCCACCGCCATCGCCTTCGCCGCCGCCGCCTTCACTACCGCCGCCGTCATCACCTCCGCCGCCGCCACCATCATCACCGCCGCCGCCGCCACCATCATCACCTTCGCCGCTGCCACCGTCCCTTATTTCACCTCCACAGCCATCACCAGCGATCCCTTCCCCTTCGCCTTCACCTACGGTGCGAACACTCCCTGTGTCAGCAGCACACATGTACATTTGTTTGCCTAGGTACGGCACCTCTGCACGACAATACGACGAAGGTACTTCTTCACACGGAGGTCAACATCTGCAGCCGCTTCCTCCGTTTTGTTTTTTCCTCATTCGTACCCTGGAGGAATGACTCTCACCTCTGTGATGTTTGCCCTTCACCCGCATCCCTCTATACAGGAGTCGCCATTGCCACTATCACCAAAGCAGCTGCTTTCACCACTGCCACTGTCGCTGCCGCCACCACTGCCGCCTCACCTGTCACCGCTGCATCCGGCACCACGGCTGCCACCATCGCCGTCACCGTTACAGCCGCAATTGCCACCGCCGCCGTCACCGCTGCCACTATCACCGCCGCCGCTGCCGCGGCCATCTATGTCGCCAGCGCAGCTGCCGCCGCCCCATTACTCACCTCCGCGAACCCCTTCCACCGATTGCCGTACCAGTGCCCTGGGTTACCAGTGCATGGTGGCAAAGGTACGCAGGCTGCAGTACAAAAACCCCGCGTGTCTCAGTACGGCTAGCTGCAGCGGGTCACAAAATGATGCGCTGGAAAGTGACTACTTTTTGGGTGCAGGTGCGGGCTTGCAGGACAGCCTTGCCTGGTCGCCTGGCTGATATCTTGTTTGGTAATTAGCCCCCGGTTCCGTCCAGTCGCTTCTCCACATCTCCTATCCGCGTATACCACACGACCTTTACAGACACCTAGCTCTACACAACTTACAGAGCACGTGTGCATCTGCCCCCGTATACTCGCATCCCCAGGGCAAAGTGACGGTCCATTGGAGTGTCAACACCACCTCGGCGCCAGCCAACAACGGATGCACACCCCGCACACCCACGGAGGTTAATGTAAGAGATCTCTGGAGTCTAGTCTAACTGGGCCTTACTTTCAGGCAACATGTCCGGACGGGCTAAACATATCCCCCTTCCCCCTCTGTGTGTGTGTGTGTGTGTGTGTGTGTGTGTGTGTGTGTGTGTGTGTGTGTGTGTGTGTGTGTGTGCTGCCCATTGAGGTTGGGGGGTTTCTATGTTGCCTTGTCCCCAATGTGGAGATGTAGGGAGATGTAGGGACCGTGAACCTGTGTGTATGTACTGTATGTATGTAGTGTGGGTTTTACATGAGTCCCGGGAGCTTTGGAACCTCAGCTTTTGAGGATCTGCTGCTGTTCCATCACCTACCGACAATTCCATGCGCTCTGCCCTTCGGCCCCAAAAGCTACATCTTTAAATGTTTTCTTTAACTCACCCACAGGCCACGTCGCTCGGCCGGTACGGCACCTTACATATGGCCGTACAGGCCAACATCACTGGTACGTGTACGACTCACGGTACAGGCCATCTTCGTATGCCTCGATTGCTTGCATTACGAAGGCCACTTGTGGCATCACACACACTCGCTGTAACAACCACACACACACTCGCTTGAGGCGACGACATGACACAATCGTGTTTTGTTTTGTTGTGACACTTTGCGGCCCCTCACCTTTGCACATTCGGACGCTCTTCCCCGACCCTTTGCGCGTGCACGTGCATGTGCGCGTGCATGTGCATGTGCATGTGTGCATGTGTGCAGGTTACGTGGGTATCGGTTTTCTGGGCCGCTCGCTCCTTCACATGTTCCCCAGCGACATCGTCTTCGGGTACAGCAAAAGCTCCATGCCGTACATCAATACCTTTTACGCCAATGTAAGTACGGCATTATTGACATTTTAGAGTGCGACATTTTCGACTGAAACACACGTGTTGTCGCAGTCGGTATTGCGCTGCGTGAAGAAGCGTACAGGCCGGGGCGAGCACATACGTGCCAATAAAGAACGGGGCGAGCACATACGTGCCAATAAAGAACGGGGCGAGCACATACGTGCCAATAAAGAACGGGGCGAGCACATACGTGCCAATAAAGAACGGGGCGAGCACATACATGCCAATAAAGAACGGGGCGAGCACATACATGCCAATAAAGAACGGGGCGAGCACATACGTGCCAATAAAGAACGGGGCGAGCACATACGTGCCAATAAAGAACGGGGCGAGCACATACGTGCCAATAAAGAACGGGGCGAGCACATACGTGCCAATAAAGAACGGGGCGAGCACATACGTGCCAATAAAGAACGGGGCGAGCACATACGTGCCAATAAAGAACGGGGCGAGCACATACATGTCAATAAAGAACGGGGCGAGCACATACGTGCCAATAAAGAACGGGGCGAGCACATACGTGCCAATAAAGAACGGGGCGAGCACATACGTGCCAATAAAGAACGGGGCGAGCACATACATGCCAATAAAGAACGGGGCGAGCACATACGTGCCAATAAAGAACGGGGCGAGCACATACATGTCAATAAAGAACGGGGCGAGCACATACATGTCAATAAAGAACGGGGCGAGCACATACATGTCAGAGTGTTTTGTCTATGGCGATCGTGTACCGGCCGTTTCCTGCATTGGCCAGGAGAAAGCATTAGTTGGGTAGTGCTGTTTGAGATATTACTGGGGAAGCAGAGACGATATGGGGGTGTGAACACCGGACCAGAGAAAGGGTGGAAGGTCCTTCAAAATGCATGTCAAGTCGATGCGGCACCGCGGCTGCAAAGATGAAGTCACTGACTGACTGTAGTTTGGGCGGGGCGGGGCGGAGTGCTGTGTATGCATGTTATGGTTGGAGCATGCGAAGGCTGCATGGTGCTGCCGATTACCCCAAATTTGTATAAATCTAATATACGCCGGTCCCTACTGGCACCTATCGTTCACCAGCCACAGCCTGCTTGTCTTGTCTATTTCTCCCCGCCCTCACCCTCCATGTCCCCTTCCTGGGTCCCCTCCCCGCACTCGCACTCGCACTCGCAGGCCGAAGGTCTGAGCGCAACTAATCAGTATCCCCCGGCTGGCAGCCCGTCCTGGGCGTACGACATGGGGGTGGCTCAGAGCTCGTCCAACGGTGTCGTAACCACCACCATTTGCTTTAGCCGCCGCCTGAGTGATAGCCGGCCCAGGGTATCACAGAATATCACGACAGGTAGGTTCAATGTGGGGTTTTCTTGTACTGTTCAGGTTGCTCCGGTGTTTGTCCGTCTCAGGACCGATTTCATTACCATGGAAGCTGTCACGCTGAAGCTACTCCAGCATCATACATTTAGACAGCCGCACGATCTCAGACATGTCACATAGAGCAACCATAAACAAGGCCACTGCAGACATGTTGATAGGGTGTAGTCCTGCTTCGAGCGCGCGTCTGTCTTGTACATCTATCTTGTACATCTGTCATGTCATGTACACCTATCATGTACATCTGTCTGTACATCTGTCATGTACACCTACCACCTAACTGCACCCCCCACCACCACCACCACCAGATGGCAGCAAGAACACCACCTTCATCTGGGCCATCAGCACGGTGGATGGCTTCAAGGAGCACTCCTCGGTCAACCGGGGAGGCTTCTACCTGGACCTGGGGCTGGCGGGTAGGTGGGCGGGTAGGGAGCCCCTAGCTACAGCTAGCTGAGGGCCTCGTTAGCCGCGATAGGGAATAAGGGCGCACAGAGCTTGAAATTCAACGGGTATGGGTGAGGGCGTACAGAACTGTCTGCCACATTCGGTGGGGGAATGGGGGGAGCTCGAAAAGATGAGCATGAACGCGTTTGGTGAAGGGCCTGGTAGGTAGTAAGGAGATAGGAGGACGGCGGCCATGCCAGCAGGGTCAGGAGCCTCACACCAGGCGGATGATGGTGCAACATGGTTTGGCGTTAGCTTCATGTGAAACAGCCGAAAGGGGGGGAAAGTTCCAGTGTCTGCTGGCCGTCAATAAACAGCAGCATGCTGCGGGGAGGGGTAATCCAGTTAGTGGATAATGTTAGTCGATCGTCCGGGGTTCCTGGATTACGTCATTGAGGCGTTAGCATCGATGGTATATGATGGTGTTTAAAGGAGTATGGGACATGATAGGGCCTAATGCAATAACAGCTGCCTAATACAATACAAACCGCGCATCTTCTTTACGACTGCCACAAGGCAAGTGTAAGCTCGATGTCCGGTCTTGGAGGCGGCAGACTTGCTTGCCCGTTGTTGTTTGCACAGGAAAAGCGAAGCCGCCGCCTCCATCACCGTTACCGCGACCTTCGACGTCACCATCACCGTCGCGTTCACCGCCACCACCATCGCTGCCGCCGCCCCGTCGGTCTCCCCCGCCTGCTCGTTCCACCGACTGCCGTACAAGTACTCTAGGATACCAGTGCATGACAACAAAGGTATGAGTGTGCAGCAACATGGCCAGCAAGTGGTTTAGTGGTGTTTAGCTTACTTAGACTCCAGCAAGCCGCTCGTATTGACGGTAGAGACACGGAATGGGTAGTCCCTGCCCTCTGCCCTGCCCTCTGCCCTGCGTGTTCCCAAGTTGCTTTGCGCAATGGGCACCGAGCATTGCAGAACTGGGGCCATCTGATGGAAAACCTGTAAGCTGGATTTGTCCATGGCTGAACCCGAATCCGTGTTGCCGTGCATCGCGCAGCGAATAGCTGTGTACTGCCCCATTATATGAAGCCAGCAGTACCTCTACATATTTGTGTGTATGTGCTTGCTGCTCACCTCGGCATCCTGGCCCCTGCCCGGCTGACACCACACGACACAGACACCGTGCTCTGCACAACCAGCAAAACACTTATGCATCTGCCCCCGTATACTCGCATCCCCAGGGCAAAGTGACGGTCCATTGGAGTGTCAACACCACCTCGGCGCCAGCCAACAACGGATGCACACCCCGCACACCCACGGCGGTTAATGTAAGAGAATCTATAGTCTAAAACTGGGCCTTATCTATGTACCTTACGGTTTGAGCATAACCTTACGAAGTAGTAGCCGTTTACGTAGCTCCGATAAATTTCAGAACGCGGTGCTGTTGGAGGTTCTCGCATCTCCCTTGGCACGCTCTTTCTGCTGCTTCCTTACCTACCTGCTTTGCCCGCCAGCTGCGCACTACCCCGAAGTTGCTGCACTCAATATCTCCCAGGTGAATATCCGCCGGGTGAATACTCGCTACCGCGCTTTACTTTTCTACATGAAAAATGATGGTTCAACCCACCCACAGGCCACGTCGCTTGGCCAGTACGGCACCCTTCACATGGCCGTACAGGCTAACATTACTGGTACGTTAGGGTAATGGTTCGGGTTTAGTGCCATATTTTTGGTCATTTCTAGCTGAATCACCATAAGGGAAGAGTCCCACACGTTCGACCATTCCCTGATTGAAATGCCGTTCAAGTACGGAGGCCATGATGGGTTGGTCCTTGTTGGTCCCGGGTTGGTCCTTGTCGCCCGCCAGGTAGAGGCCAATAGCCCTACCCGAGTTGGATTTCTGGTTGTGGCCATAGACCCATAAACGGCACATACATGCCACTCCTATGCGCCTACATGAGCTTGGCTTACCAGACCTTCAGGACTGCCTATCGCGTGGATGGGGGAAGCCCTCTAGGCGCCGCTGTGCTGCCGCATAGAATGAGGATGGGTGGAATAATTCATATCAGGGCTCCTTTGGTCCTCAGGTCCTCAGGCCTCTTGGCATCATCATTCTTGTACATTTGCAGGGTTGCAGGCGCTGGCAGTAAGCGGCTATCTTGCTTTGTTTTATCCATAGCCCGTGTCTGGGTCCTGTCTCTCGCTTCTTTACATCCCACGCACCGCTGCATGTGCATGTGTGCATGTGCATGTGTGCATGTGTGCAGGTTACGTGGGTATCGGTTTTCTGGGCCGCTCGCTCCTTCACATGTTCCCCAGCGACATCGTCTTCGGGTACAGCAAAAGCTCCATGCCGTACATCAATACCTTTTACGCCAATGTAAGTACGGCAGTTACAAAAGCGTCATGGACTACTGTCAAAGCTCACGGCTGGAGTTGTGTTTGGATATTGTCCTTTCACCATTCGAACGTGGCGTGTATAAGAATGCATGTACATGCACGGCTCATATGGTAATCTTAAGTCACATTCGTACACGTATTTCGCAGCTCATAGCTTGTATGGGCCCAGAATGTCCCTATAGGTAGCTGGACTACTTTTATCTCCATGCCGGCCCTTGCTGGCACCTATCGTTCACCAGCCACAGCCTGCTTGTCTTGTCTATTTCTCCCCGCCCTCACCCTCCATGTCCCCTTCATGGGTCCCCTCCCCGCACTCGCACTCGCACTCGCAGGCCGAAGGTCTGAGTGCAACTAATCAGTACCCCCCGGCTGGCAGCCCGTCCTGGGCGTACGACATGGGGGTGGCTCAGAGCTCGTCCAACGGTGTCGTAACCACCACCATTTGCTTTAGCCGCCGCCTGAGTGATAGCCGGCCCAGGGTATCACAGAATATCACGACAGGTAGGTTCAATGGCGACCGGGCTGCTGCCCGCGGTCTATGGCTTATGAGCTGGAGCAGGTGTTGTGGGGGCACCGACTGTTTTGAAGGCGTTACCACTTGGCGTGGCGACTGGCCTGTTAATAGCGGCGGTGACTTCCTTTAGTTAATGCATATGCAACTATGTACACATTAACTAAGCTTGAAAGGCTTGTCTATCTCGTTGCGTTCGCGCGGTAGCTGTTGTCTACCTGCCTGCCAATTTGTCCTCGTTCTTCGTATCCTTTGCGTACTTTGCGACATTTGCTGCGAGCAGCCCAACAGCGACCCATTCGGCTGCGTGTGCGTACTGCTATTTGCTCGTCTCTGTGTGCATGTGCGTGCGTCTGTACATCTGTCATGTACACCTACCACCTAACTGCACACAACCGCAACCCCCCCCCCGCACCCCACCAGATGGCAGCAAGAACACCACCTTCATCTGGGCCATCAGCACGGTTGATGGCTTCAAGGAGCACTCCTCGGTCAACCGGGGAGGCTTCTACCTGGACCTGGGGCTGGCGGGTAGGTGGGCGGGTAGCGGGTAGGGAGCCCCTAGCTACAGCTAGCTGAGGGCCTCGGTAGCCGCGATAGGGAATAAGGGCGCACAGAGCTTGAAATTCAACGGGTATGGGTGAGGGCGTACAGAACTGTGTGCCAGCGTTCCGTTGCTTTTCAGTTGCATGGACGGTTGTGTGGGTTTCCTGCCACGATGCAGCTTCCGCTTGGTACCATTTATTTCTACGGCGGCCCTACCGGTGTCTTGTATTCTGTATCCACCATAACCAACGTGTTGACGGACACTTCGCCTGGCCACGGGGCCCGCTTCTTACCCGCCTGTTACTGCAGCTCTCCTGTATCGCATCGCGGTGTCCACCCGGGACTCGGCCGTGCTTGCTGGCACCCCTCTTTGCCTCCTCATCAAATAGATCCTGTTGCTTCTTTTGCAAACTATATCTTACTCCACGTGTTGTTCTTCGTATGGCTGACGTTATTTCCCAGCAGGGAGGGCTGCATCATCGGCGCCTTCACCACCATTACTGCGGCCCCCGCCATCTGTCCGCCGCTCTCCGCCACCAGTTCACCGGTTCCCGCCACCAACCCGCCGTCCACCCCCAGCCAAGCGCAAGTAGCTTAAGTGGCCTCCGTCCTGGCTGCGTTACTACGGTTATGTATGTGGGTCTTGGACCATCACTGCTTTTAGCTGGTGCTCACGGGCTTCGAAACCACACATGATTGATCCGTTAGGAAGTAAATGGCATGCCATGTGGCCTGGGCATGGCACCATTTCGTTACGAAAAAATTGACGACGGGGAGTAACAAACAGATGGAGTAGGAGAAGTAGGAAATGTATATAAGCAGGGAGTTCCTGCGGCAAGGACCTGTGCATAGCTATCAGCTGCGCCTATACGTATTAGCTGCAAGCCTAACCGTGCTGCTGATGCTGTGCTGCTGATGCACGTGTACCTTGGCTTCTTCCCGGTGATTTGGCAGGTAGGCAGACATACATACACACATGAAGACTTACAGACATACACAGGCTAGGTAACAACTGAGACCACTATTTAGAATGTTGTTCAACTTGCCTTGTGTGTCTGGTAGGTACACGCGGTATAACAGCAAACTACTCCTGCATAGCCAAACCGCCCACCAACTACCTACAAACAAGTATTAATGTACGGCGGTCGGCTGGCTGCATGTGTGTGTGTGTATGGACGCGGGAACCTCGTGTGCGCGTAATATATCATTATTCAGCTGAAGTAGTTTGCATGGCGTATTGCCTATCAAGAGCAGGTACGGCAGATGTATGTGTTCTTGGTCGAGGATGTGTTGACAAAAAAACGTCCAAACATGCCCGTACGACTCGGTGGGAACTGCAAGGGCTATTGGGGCAACTGCCTGCCAAATGTACTTATTAGCATTTACATGTACAAGGCGTAACTAGTACAGGTATGCACGTGCGCACGCATACGCATTTTCAACATACAACAGGAGTACCGTCCGCAGCATCAGGCATGCCCTTTCATACCCTCTTGGTTTGAGTGGTTCACGCGCCCCAGTGCGCCCGTACGTATGTACGGCTTTCCTTGACCCGTTTCTAAGAGTCGCCTTTTGCATCGCCCCATCCGCCCCATCCGCCCAATATTGGTGCAGCTTTTTTTCGTCCTTCCTTTGGAAGTGCAAATTTGTCCTTATTTTGTCCATGAAGATGTGGCAGGCAGGAATGCCTATGTAGCAGGTGTGCAGGTATTGGGGTGGTGCACGATATTAACCCCCTGGCTTGTTGGCTGCTGGATGGCGCTTGGACAGGGCTGCGTGGCAGTCACGTCTGCATTTCGTGTCGTTATCCGTTACCGTTTCTTTCCGAATGCTTATAGCAGTGAGTGTTGTCAGCAGTTATTACCACCTCGGCGGCACTTCGAACACAGGCTTGTTGCTGGAACTGTTACTAGCTGGTATGCCATCAAGATCACTTCTCAGCCTGCTGACAGCTCAATTTTATGATTATGTCGGCTTGATGTGCTCGTTGGTTGGCTGTAGCTGTGTGCTGCGTCGTTTTTGTCAGATGAAAAAAGAGAAGTATAGCCTGTAACAAAACGCAAATCTGTGTAATCTGTATGTAAGTCATCATACGAGTTTGCATGGGTTCACCAACATGCCTTCACATTCAGTACGGCAGTCTGACCAGCAGCGCTTTGCACTGCACATGTTAAGGCAAGCTCACCATGGTCATCAGCAATCATAGCGATGGCATGTGTGACGGGACGTACATTAATGGACGCTTTCCCTCTTACCTCCTCCTCAAGGGGTTTACTAGGCCGTACTAGGCAAGGTACTTCCACAAGTACAGCGAGACACACTGACCACCGCCACACACGTGAACAGATGCGAATGTGAAAGATGCTGTGCGATAACCCCAACCAATCCTAACAAACCGATCGCATGACGCGTCGCCTAGCGTAGTCTTCTGCATGGCATGATCTGATTGATTGGCCCGTACCTAGGTCACCTTTACAACAGTATCCTATAATTAATGTTACAATTTTCGCTTTAAGATGTTACCAGAGCCACCGCGGCGCCCAGCTTCACGCATTTCATCCCCCCAAATCATTGCAGTCATCACCATCTGCTTGCCTTCACCAATTCATCATGAAATAATAATAATAATGAAAGCCTAATCATCTGTCCAGGTCCGCTGTATGCCATTACTACTGAACTCAGATACTGCGGGCGCAGCTGCCTCGTTTTTCTTTGCTACTGCTTCCCATCGCCACCGCCGTCTCCGCCTCCTCCACCATCGCGTGCTTCCAAATCTAGCCTTGCCTGCTGCCGCCGCAGCTCCTCGAGGCGTTCGGGCGGCAGCGTGCTGTAGTCCCGCTCGCTTACCTCCTCCCAGGCCACCACCGGCGCCCCCTCCAGGCACCGGCGCCACCAGCCGTCACTGCTTGCACCGTCTGCGGGGTGCATTTTGACCAGCGTCACCGCCACCACCCCTGTCGCAAAGCTTCTGGATGGCCCGGCAGATCGCTCATTGCTGCTGATGTTGCTGCTGCCTTTGCTACCGCGAGCTGTTACCGCGGCTACTGGTGGTGGTGGTGGTGGTGGTGCGGCGGCGGCGGCGGCGGCGGCGGCAGCGCTGGGAGAACTGGTGTGACACCCGGGGTTGTGTGTGTTTCGTGAGCCGGCAGCGGCGGCGGTTTTTCCGCCCCGGCCCTCGTCGCGGTCCCTGTCTGTCATCCACCCCCACGTTGTCTGGTCAGCCAGGACAGTGGCTTCCAAAGTGCCGTACAGGTACACGTCAGCCGTCGAGCGATTCACAATCCGCAAACTGCGGGGCGTTACTTGTACACTCAAATTCGCACCAGTTACACCTGGGGGAATCTGCGAAAGCACGTACCCCACACATGCGCGAAGTACAGCAGTCTGTCATGAACATATACCCGCAGGTGGTGGAAGATCAAATCGCAGCGCGGATGAAAGTGTGATTTCAAGTTAACTAAGATTGATATACCTAGTAACCAGGTTAATGAGAGATACTAACCCTAAGGTGATAAGTTCTTTTGTCTTTTCACTGCCGGGCACAGGGGAAAAGAATTACAAAACAGAGGGTGTCGGGAAAGGTTGACGGCCTTAACAAGGGAAATCGCCTTGCCGTGGGGTTGGTGTTGCCGTGCTGGATAGGCTGCTAACGATACCACAATAATATGAACAGGTTACCATGGCCACCTTCTGGCCCGGCGGTCCTCGGACTCACACCGTGGACCACAGCGCCCTACCACCCAGGGGGTGAGGTCCCCTCATGGTGCGACCACATGCAGCCACCCAGCAGCCAGTAAGGTGGAGAGCCAGGCAGCCCACCCGCTCGCCGCAGCAACACGCAGACATTGACATACCCATGCACATGTACAAACATACATGTGCGCACATACTCTGTTACAACATTGCATTACATACATATGTGCACATATGCCTGCGCGGCTCAGATTATTCACACACACACACACACACACACACACACACACACACACACACACACACACACACACACACACACACACACACACACATATACACACACGCCCGCGCGCACACATGTGAGCGGACAATATGGTTGGACGATACGCTCCTCTGCAACTGGAGCAGAGTGCTCGGCGGTCTCCCCGATGGGTGCGGTTAGGTGCCCCGGTCAGCGTCAGGCCAGGATGGATGTGTAACACACACACACACACACACACACACACACACGCCATTAAAACACACCTGCGTCGCCATCACGTGCACCTCGCCCGCGCTCTGCCGCCACCGGAAACCCATCTCGAGGGGCTCCGCCCAGATCGCCGTGTCGCCCACCTGGCTTGGCGGCAGATCCGTGTCGCTGTACAGGGCCCGTGTGAGACCAAACGGGTGACGGCGCCGTCGCTCCGCCGGTGCGCCGGTGGAGGTGACGAAGCGGTAGTGGCGGAAGGGCAGCGGCAGCAGCCTTGCGGGTGCAGTCTGTGTGTGGGTGTGGGTGTGGGTGCGGGGGAGTAATACGGGGTACGGGGTTAATACCGTAGCGGAACTAAAGATTTTACAAAACAAAGATTTTACCGCAAAATTATGGATTTTAATATATTTTACGGAACGAAGTATTTTACCGCATGCTGGTGGATTTTGCCAAGATTTTACGGTACTGTGGATGATTTCCTGGGATTTTACCGGCCCGCAAAGCTACCCCACCATGCAACACCACTGCCCGCCTCCCTCTCACGCATGAGGGGAAATGAGAATCATCACAACACGTCTCAAATTAAGAAACTCCAAATTGTAAACCCCCTTCTGAAAGCCAAGCCACCGTGACAAGGCCTCCAAACATCCACCATTCTGTACCAGCCGCAGAATTCTTATGATTGATGAAGGACGCGAGAGCATTTCACGACGCTCCAAGAAAGGGCCATCGTAACCATCTAAATACAGCCACTTCACGCCCGGCGACACCAACCAGCTTGTAAGAACTTAGATATGTCATCTCTCAAATGCCTACTCCCTACTCCCCAACAAAATAAGCCCTTAGCTATAACAACCACCGCAAGGGCTGTCGTCGATGCAGATCACCCTTGGCTTGCGCGGACGGCCGGGCCCGCGCTTTGGCGCGATCGGGATCGGCGCCGGAGGGGGTGCAGGCGCGGGGAGCGGGGTTCCCTCTGGCAGCTTGCTGAAGTAGTTCGTAATTGCCTTAGGTGCTGAGAACTGCACTTCGCTGGCAAAAGCCGCCGGTATGGCCGGCAGCTTGTCAATGAAGCGGTGTTTGCTGAGCTTGCGCTTGCCCATGCTGCTGCCAGAAATAGGTTAATATATTATTATGTTACAATATTATGTGTAAAATAGAATAAGATCTAGTGCCAAAAGCTTGCTGTGCGCGAAGGGCCATATATATTTTACCGCATCGCTCCGAATTCCCTCCCGGGAACTAAAGATTTTACGGTAAGACTCTGAATTTTGCCAAAATATTTTACCGCATGCAAATAATTATTTATTTTGTAAAATCTTTAGTTCCGCTACGGTACTGCGTATGTTGCTTTAGCTGTGTAATGTGATATGTACATGTTCGGAAGGAGGAGGCAGAAAGAAAGGACATCCGGAATGGGACGAGGAAGCATGTAAGGCTGCGTGTAGGTGGGTATTGTCCAATAATGCAGCTCTGTTCGAGAAGAAGCGTTGTGTATTTGACTGTCTGTGTGTGTATGTATGTGTGTGCGTGCACTGGGTCTCCGGTATGCAATCCGATCCCACCGCACCACCGTCAGTTCAAATCCTCACCGGCATTGCTTCAATCTCGCAACAGTCGTCCAGTGGTGGCAGTACCGCCGCACTGTCCATGTCTCCCTTTCCTCCGTCGCCAAGGAGCGTCGAGCACCGTACGACGCTCCTGCGCTCGTCCAGGACACCAGCCACCAGGTCTTGCAGTTCGCGGACCAGCGACCCCTCCGGATCCTACCCCAAAGAAACAAGGACACAACAGACATACATACCGGTATACATGTCTCATGGGGGTGCATCTGCATCCACGGGAAGCAACAGGGTGTCCCGGGAAAGACCAGGGGAAGTTCCAGAAGTACCGGAAACACCAGAAGTACCAGAAGTACATATTGTGGGGCACGTATCCACGAGAATTGAATGCATTTGTACAAGGTATGGGCGTTTTAGTACCCTTCTTCCAGCCGAATTTAATTTAACACAAATTTGACCGAAGTTTCTACCGAAGATCCGACAGCACGAAGCAATTGCTTCACGAATATTCGTGTTATCGAAATCAGGTAGATGGGTGGTGCCCATTGACTGCTGGGCATATTGCAGGGATATCCGTACCATGCACCTCTACTCAAGTGCCCTGCAGGGACTTGGGTGGCAGCAGAGAATCTCTTACCGTCAGCATACGTACGACATCCTCCGGGCCGAGCACCCGGCTACTGCCGCCAGTCTCGCTACAGCTGTCTCCTGCAGCCGTAGAGTCTCTACTACAGCCTCCTTCAGCTACTACATCACCGTCGCCCACTTGCCGATGCTGCTTATCACCACCTTCCTCCGTGATGACGGCCATTCCCCATCGTGATTGCACTTCCTTGTGTTGCTGCCCTGCCAGGGCCGCACCGACCGCCGCTGGTCCTGGCGGGGTGATGACGGTCCTCAGCTGTAGCGTCATACACACCTCCAGACCCCAGCAGCCCTTATCATCTGCAGCTGAGCCGCCATCACACTGGCTGCTACTGCCACGGTGGTGCTCAGCTACAGCGACTGCGTCCAGACTAGACCCTACAACCAGCCTGCAGCCCGTGAGCTCTTTACTAGCTTCACCCTGTTGATGCTGTTGCTGTTGCTGTTGCTGTTGCTGTTGCTGTTGCTGTTGCTGTTGTTGCTGGTGATGCTGGTGGTGGTGGTGGTGGTGGTGATGCACAGACGCACCAGGGGCTGCCGGTGTGAACGCCAAGGATCCACTGCTGTTGATGCTGTTACTGCTCGTACTGCTATGGTTGAACGTGTCGGGTGTTTTCCCTACTCCTGCTACGGCCGCTGCTGCCGGTCCTAGCCTTCGTGCCCGCACCCTCTCAATCATCACCGCTCCAGGAGCCATCCCCACGGCCTTGGCTACAGCTGCACGGAAAGCCAGACGCGACGGACCGCTCATCGACGGTCCTCGTGCCGCTGCTGCTGAGGAAGCTGCAGGGATAGGTGCTCCTGCTGCGCGACCTCGAACCGCCTGCTGGTCATTGGATGGCTTCATTGGCGTCGTGGGGCACACAGCCGCCGGCGTCGCTGCTTCTGTTGCAAATTCCCCCATCGAGGATGTGTGCCGTGGTGTGATTTGGGCTGCCTGCATCATGGCCGGGTTGGGGATGAGGAAGACCAGGACGGCCTCTAGTGCATGCGACGACGTTTGCTGTGTCGGCTTCTCCAACTGATCCGCTACTGTAGGCCCCGCTATCACCTCCCGGGGTACGTCACTGGGCGAAAGTAGCCCCAGGGCCCGCAGCGTTGCAAGGCTGGTAGGTCCCGGCTGGCGGGGGAGGGAGGTGTCGCCGTCTAGGCGGGCACATGCAGACCTACATTAGACATGCAGCCAGGCAGACACACGCAGGCCTACATTATATTATATTATAGTAATAGTAATCTGTTACACCGTAATCTATCACACCGTGATTCGTGTATGTGTTTCGTGTGTCGACGTGTGCGAGGGGCGGTATTGACGGGAGGGAGGGATGGAAGGGCGCCGGGCAGTGAGGGGACTTGCTCCACTTGCAACTAATCATATTTGCTGCAGGTTAACGTATTCATTGCCGCAACCAACAATAAGAAATGAAAGTTATGTGCGAAGCAAGCGCCCATATACTCATAACACGCAAAAAGAATTGTTACACGCCCACACGCTACACGTTTGTATCGCCCTGTATATTGTGGTTGTCTTGTTCGTACACGGAAAGGCACGTACCGAACCCTGTCCAGGTACGCGCGGCTAGAGGGGCACAGCTTCAATGCCCCGCGAAAGCAAGCCAGCGCCGCCGCAGGGTCGTACACCCCGCCGCGACGGGCGTCCCCGCTGCCGCTCCCCCATGTCTGCTGCTGCTGCTGCCGCTGCCGGCTGGTATCAATGTCAATGGAGCCAGGGTCGGCTGTCTCTGCCGCGTCTGCAGCTACAGCCGCCACCGCTATCTGCTTACCGGTGGAAGAAGTAGCCTTCGTCGCCGCCGCCGCCGCAACAGCAACAGCAGTTTTAGTGGTTGCGTGAGGTGCCTTAACTGATGCCTGCAAGTTGGCTTCTGTGGGCGGCGTTGGTGGCGGCAAGACTGCCGGCTGTGACGACTGCTGCGGCGGCGGCGGTGGCGGTGGCGGTGGCGACGGCGGCGGCGGCGGCAGCGGCTGCTGTTGGGCCAGCAAGGCGTCCCCGCAGACGCAGCAGCACCAGGCTAGGACGTCTAGGAGAGCCTCCGCAGAGTTGGAGTCCTTGTCAGCGGCGCTGGCAGCCAGCCCCTGACATTTAGGAGCAGCCATGTGTGTGCAAGGGGAAGGATGGATGGCTAAGGGCTAGGTGCAGTACTTGCCGTACACTCGACCTGCAAATCCGAGACGGCCCCAGCAGCCAACTAACGCCGTCTGCCGTACCTCAGCTCGCGCCAAGTCCTGCCGAAGTGCCTGCGCTGCGGCCGCCGCATGCACCAGGGAGGGTCCGTAATGCCCTGCACGTAACAGCAGCGCGGCCAACAGCAGCCAACACTCCACCGGTCGCAAATCCCGTTGGTGATCATCACCACCGTCGGGCCCTGGGCCGGGGCGCACTGACGTAGGACTGCTACTGTTGCTGCTGCTGCTGCTCCTGCTGTCTGTGTTGTTTCTGGTATGGTTTTTAGGAGTACTGAATCCGCGTGTGGAGCCCTTGACGGTGGAGCATTTGGAGCATGCAGCAGCAACACCAGCAGCAGCGGCTGCACCAGCTGTACCAGCCATATCAGTATAAGCCGAGGTCCAGCGCAGGTACAGGGCCCGCGGCTGGAAGTTAGCTGCGGCGAACATCAGCACCGTCACTACATAATGTCATACGTGGATACCGCCGTACGGGGTCTTGGGAATTATACATACATGCATACATGTGCTATAGGACACTGGCCTGCGTGGGGGTATGCACTCCAGCCCTGCTGCTAGCAACAATATATTCCCTTGCCGTACGCTCAAATCTTTTGTGTTACATGCATAATGTTATCAAATATCTCCTCTTGTAAGTTCCGTCATTGGTTGGCAGCACTGCTGGCATATGGCATCTAGCAGTCCGTGTGGCTGTGATATTGTGATACCCGCATGCACTTACATACGGACATACATACATACATACCGAAACCTGCACGCACATACGGACATGCATACATACTGGAACCTGCACGTACATACGGACATACATACATACATACATACCTGGATCCATGCCACGCGCACATACACGCAATCGCATACACTCACCCAGAGGTGGCAACACCGCTGAAATGGCGAGGGGTCCCTCCTCCGCATCCCGCACCACCTGGAAGGCAGCTTCCCGCAGCTCCTGAAGCACCTCTTCGTTAACCCCAGCAGGGGCTGTCAGGCGCCACGGCAGTGGCAGCGGCATCTTCTGACCGAGCGGCGGCGGCCGGGGCTGCACCAATGCCAGCATCACCAGCGCGTCCGCCAGCTGCGGCCGTGTCAGAGCCGCCGCGGCCTCCTCCAACAACTTCTCGATGTCGGCGTTTCCTGAAATGGTTTTACGAGAGTTTGCCTCACATTGCACCAGGCCCAACTGCAGGTCCAACAGCTAATGTCGGGCGGGTAATACTGAAGAATGTCGCAGTAAGCCAAATCACCTTCCGGGTTTGTAGGGCTTATTTCCCTTTAGTTGGGTCGTACTCCTCCTTTATATGCTACATCCGTACACACAGATTAAAGCACAGGGCCATTAACCTTAACGAAACATGTGCATTGCAGTTTGGTGCCCAGTGCAGATCATTTCCTCACCTAGCACACGCCCGGCTGCAACCCCACACCGCAACCCCACACCTGGCTCTATCCGCGCCGCCACTGCAAGAGCCCCCACAGCTTCCTCACACCGCCCCAACGCCAGCAGCGCCTGACCCTCCCTGTAGTGTCCCTTGGCCCAGGAGGGGTGTTCAGACGTCAGCACCGCCGCGTCTTCCAGCGCCTCCACTGCCCGCCCCGAACGGATCGCGGCCAGGGACCGGTTGGCTCGCAGCGCCCGGCGCAGCACCGCAGCGGCAGGGCACGGCGGTACACTGTCCAGAGCAGCGCCGTACCAGGCCCTCGCGTCGCGGATGTTGCCGTCGGCCAGGGCGGTGTCCCCGCGGAGCTTTAGGTACTCGGCCTTGAGACGCCTGCGGGTGCTCTCCGGCGCGGACAAATCGTACAGATCGTATAGGTCGTACAGATATACGTATTGTTGTGCGTTAAACCATATGCTGTGCGGTGCAATCACACACCGTACACTCACTGTTTCGCACAATTGCCTGTGTGCTAGTGTTTTTGCTTGCCCTATGGCCTAGGCCTTCACTGTTAGTTCAGGTGCGATTTGCGCTGTAGTGTTTAATATTTTTACAAATGTCAAGAGGTCAATAATAAATGGACTTAGGAAAAGGGGTTTAACCGTACTGGCCTACGTGGCGTCGTACGAGCGTGCAAAGTAATTGCGTTCGTGCACAACCGCAGCAGCTGCAGGGAAAGCAACCGAGGTCTTGCCGCAACACCTAATGATGGAGTGCCGCATGCAGCAGTAGCAGAAGCACACGCAGACGGGGGACTACTGGATGTGGGCGACCATCGCGGAGTGCGTGAGGTCGTTAGTATGCAAGGACTGGCGGGCCCGCAAGGCGTGAAGGCAGCCTGGCAGGGCCGTACATATCACGTCATGCTAGGGTTGTGTAGTGTTGTGATCCTTCTGTAGTAATATCCTTGCGTCTATTTGCATGTTGGGGATCCATCCGCACGGTGCATGTTTCGACATACATACATACGCACATGTTTCGACATGCATACGTATGCCAATGTACTCACAGACACTTACCGCAGATCTGTGGCATTTAGGCTGTGCTTTTCGGACGCACTCGAGGCGTGCAGTTGGGGACAAATGTAGGGCGGCAGTGGAGGGGATGACTCCCTCGGTGTGGCAGACTTGACTGGCGCCATAGGCTGGCGGCAGCTCGGGGTGACAGCGCTACCTATCTCTTGCGCCGTTTCCGTTCCCAGTACACCGTTCTCGGTACTTAATCTCTGCAGGAACGCTCCTAAAGAGCAAGAAAACGCTTCAAATGCTGTCGCTCAACAATTCTACGGAATGCTGCACCCCCCTTCTGCTCTTAGGGTTTTTAGGAGTGCATGAAATTGCTTCCTAAAGCGGCCGCAGGACGCGTGCTGGAAGGTATCGGGTCATTCGACCCAGACGAGACGTCGGGACCTAGACGGTCCAGGAGTGAAACGCGGACGCGGCCGAACCGAGAAGGACTCCCCAGCGGCCGCAGCGGCCAAGTGAGGCTTACCATTTATGTACACGCCGGACCGATGTCAAATGAGGGGTGAGCAAGGTTTGAGATGAGCGGATGTCCGATGTGCAGCAGGGCTCTGTGGCAGCGCTTGCTGTCCAGGTTACTTACTGACGCGAGGCCCATAATTGCGGCTGAAACGAGTTCTAACAAATTCTGTATAACATTGTAACAGGTTACATTTTTCAAAGATTAATTACCGCACTAGTTGGCACCAGCAGCGACTTGTCGGATCAGTCGTATCTGTTGAGTTATTAATTGGCGGGCTACTGTTGCTGCTGCTAGTGTTGGGGACGAGGTCTGTGTGGGCCAGCGAATCCACTCTGCCCTTCGGAAACTCCTTCCCCTCCGGCCCTTTGACCAGCTTTGACCTTGCATCCTTCGGGACTGGGGTCATTAGCACGCAACGATTACATAATGCGTTGTCATTCTTTTCATGGCGGCCATAATAGTAGCAAAATGAATCAACAAACCACGCAGACGAATTGTCGCTTTTTTAAAACGCGCGTACACGAGCGACAGGATAATCAATTGATCATGATCATGGTGGGAACCTACGGATCCGCAGATAGGTTGTTCAGTAAGATACAATTTCGAAAAAGCTTACCTACCTAAGTCGGCGTCTTGATTTTACTGGCAATGGCCAGAGACAAAAAATCTGCGATTTCTTGTCCGTTCCCAAACGCAAATGCCGAAACGCAAAAAAGCCCACAAGGCGCGTGGCAGCAAAGTGGTCTTGAGGCCGTCCCAAACAGCGTGAATGCCTGCATTAGCTGTGTTCTGCGAGGTAACGGAGGCCAAAAGCCACCCGCTCTCTTCGTACGATCGTGCAGCACCAACCTCAACCTTACCCGCCGGCCGCCTTCATCAACTGTTATAAAACTCCATTGCCAACCCACAATCCCTAAACCCTTCCGGGAAAATCCGTCTCGGCTCTGAAAGCCGGCGCACTGTCGCAGGACACATGCCCAGGATAGGATCTATGTCCGCACATCCCTCATCTTTCCAACCCTTTTCATCTCAATTATGCTCGACTCGGACTAAAAACGGGACGGAACGCTTGTTAATGGCCGATGTTAATGGCCGAATGGCACAGCGAACTAAAAGAAAAGAGCGGCTCGCCTACAAAGTCTGCAGCTTAATGATATGGCGGCATTACCCGTTGGACGTTAGTGAACCTCCAGGCTTAATTAGGTGTTGCCTCCATCGTGAATTGATACCTACGGGCATTCGTATCTAACCTACACATACGGCCCATACTGCTCACGCGGCTATGAAAATGCCAAGAATAGGAAGGAAAGGATTTAAGATTAGAAACCTGGGCTATGTGCTGGTCTAGCATTTAAACAACGGAACCCACAGATGGCTTGTAAACCACATACCCCGCCTCGGGGGAAAAAAACAAACGCGCCGTAGATGGCGAAGGAAAAGTAGCCCAATTGAACAAACTCACCGCGCTAACCACATCCGAGAGTTCCCTTTTATTCTTCAGAACGACCCGATCCAACCAAACCGCTTTTTTTCTATCCGACTGCAAAAGCCAGGTACAGATGCGGTCACCAACGAAGTGAATTTGCGGCATTCCGCCCTTCGCTGACTCTCTTGTGGCGCGCCCTCCACCGCACCAGCAAAAGCGCGGGAAATGCTAAAAAATCCGTCTCAAAAACCTCGCACGGCAACAGGTTGTTTAGATCGCGGCACGGCGCAACACTGCTGCTGCTCCTATGCGGCTAACCGAAGTATTGTTCCTGGTCAATACGCGGCGCTAATCGCGCGTTCAGCGTGCGTGTTCTCCTCTTCCGTCAATATGCCCAAGTCGACCGAGCTGGCAACGGCAATCGCAACAGCTGCCGCTGCATCGGGCCCACAACACAGAGCGTCCGCGTCCTCATTGCCGTGCGCCTCGACGAGTCCCCTCCGTTCAACAAGCTGATGGTGTCGCGACTGATACCACACCGGGTCACGGACGTCGCAAAAGCCCTTAACTACGGCATCAAACTCTTGACCCATCTTGAGCGGCCGCTCTTCCTTTAAATTCATTGCCGTACAGAGACCCGCATTGGTCGGTACTGCCACTGTTGCTGCCGCGCCTGCCGTACCCGGCTGTCGTACTGGCACGTAGGTAATGCGAATATGGGCCGTCAAGTCTGGGGCCTGCGGCGCCGCCGCTGCCTCTGCAGCCCGTACAGCCCTGTTGACGATGGCTACGTCACCATCACCGTCACCAGCAGCGGCAATAGCAGCAGCGGAGGCGGCTCCACCGCTAGGATCATCACCCCCGACCGACGTCGACATGCATAGCACGCCTCCTTCAATATCTCCAGCACGGACATGCCCGTCTTTGAGTTGATGCGGGCGAGCACTGCTGCCGCCGCTGTCGCCTTGCTCTCCGCTGGCCCCAGACCCGCCGAGTGCAAACCTGGCCGCCGCCGCCGTTGCCGCTGCCGCTGTGCCCTCCGCTGTCGTGACGACGGCGCCGCCGTTACCGTTCGAAGCCGTAACCCCGTGTCGGAGCCCACGGCCCTCTCCTCCACCTCTCTCGTGAGCTTCGCGCTCCTCCGCAGCTTCTAACCCCAACAGCTGCCGACGTACCTCCGAAGACTGCAGCTCATGAGCATCGTCGTGGCGCGTGCTGTCGTCAGCATCGTCGCCGTCGAGAGCGCCCAGTAGCATGTTCAGCGGCCGAGTGCAGGCATCGAGGGAGGTCATGCTAGCGGGGCTGGTCAGCCAAGACGCAAGTATAGAGCAATTAAGCGGCGAGCCACACAGTGTGCGTGGCGTGGCCAGGGCCCGAAAAATGTCGGTACTTCGGGCACTTGTGGGGCACTTCTGATGCGACGCTGGGTCCAGCTGGTGGCCGCCGCTGGCAGCAGCAACAGCAGCAGCAGTAGCGGCGGGCCCGCCCGCTGTTGCTGCTGACGCCGTCGTCGGCGGGGGAACGGCTGTAGCACAGGCCCGTGGTGGCGCTGCAAAGGCATGTGAGCGGGAGGTGGTGTAGGCGCTGACGGGCGTGAAGGCAAAGTTCAGGGAAGTTCCGGCGGCGGTCTTGGGAGTGGCGTCAAGGCTGGGGGCCCCGCCGATAGCAGCGGCGCCAGAGGCTGTAGCGGTGGAAGGCGCGCCGGCGGCGCTGCGGCTGCCAGGCGCACGGCTGCTGCCAGGCGCTCGACGTGCCTCGCTGCACGGCGGAGAAAACAGCCCAGCGGTGAGGGAAGAAAGGTCCAAAAGATCGGAGTCATCACACACATAGACTCCTCCTCCTCCTCCTCCCATGGCAGCGGCGTCGACGGCGTCCTCCCGTGCCGTACCAGCGCCCGCGGGCTCATCGACCGCCGGCACTGCTGCCTGCGGCTGCGGTGGCTGTGGCTGCAGTGCCGGCAAACCAGCGGCGGTGCTGACATGCTTCACGGCGTCATGTAATGTTCCAACACCACGTCCTGTCGAGGCGGTGACGGCAGTGACGGCAGCGGCGACGTTGGCAAACTCGCAATCCTTCTCCTTCCCAACTCCAGGGTTCTGCGCCTGTCCCTGCTGTTGCAGTACTGCCGACGGCTGTAGTACAGCATCACTGTCGGCGGCGGCAGTAGCGGCGTCGCGGGCATCGCCTGGCCCTAGCGAAACTGCAGCACCCGCGCCCACCGCTGCCGCTGATATTGGTGGCTGTAGCGGCAGCGGCCCCAAGCTGGGACTGACGTTCGAGTCGTACACTGCTGCTGCAACTGCTGTTGCGAGGTTGCGGGGGCCTTGGCTGAGACCAGTAGCGTCAGTCTCTACGGGGCCTGTGGGAGCTGGGTAGTCTGCCAAGTCAGGCGGCGGCGGTGGCTTCAGCGGTAGCGACAGGGCCAGCGACAGGCCGGATGTACTGGGCGCCGCTACGGCCAGCGCGGAGATCTGGTCGCCTACCGGATGCTGCTGCTGGTGGTGGGGGTGATGGTGATGGTGGTGGGGGTGATCGCCCTGCAGGGGTATGTATGTATGTATGTAAGGGAAAAGGATGGGGAAGAGGACAGGTTAAGAAAGGCGACGACGGAGAAGAAGGGGAAGAAAAAGGAAAGGGATGCTATAATATATATATTATATACATGCGCAATCGTACGTGCAATCGAGTGGTGTATGTGTGCCGATGTTCGAGCACCTCTCGTTCGAGCGCTGCAGCAAGGCGCCGCACACACACATAATACCTCGTCGCATTACTCCGTGCGAGGCCTCTAGCTCCTTTACTGTATCCTAATTAAGCCCCTGGGGCCCATAAGGCCCCTAGGCTGCAGACACCATAAATCATCAGCAGCAGCAGCACCACCACCATTCTTCGCCTGGTAAGAACACGAACATCACCACCACGGCTACCTTTATCGCTCCTTCGACCTACCCACCTTCTCGAGGACCATGTGGGCAGGTAAAAGCATCCCTCCCTTTTCGGACTTGGGTTGCCGTGGCGGCGGCGGCGGCATCAAATGCTGCTTGGCAGTAGCCGCGCCGTGACCATGTCTGCCGACGGGTTCCGGGCTGCAGCCACCTCCGAGGGCAGCGGCAGTAGCGATGTTACCGCCAACGGCGGCGCCGCGGCTTTCAACACACTCCTCAACCTCAATGCCGCCGCCGCCGCCACCGCCGCCCGTCACCACATCGGCGCCCGTCAACGCCGTGACCTGGGTGCGTACGGCGCCGATACTCTGGCTGTAGCATTGATGCACATTGGAGCAGTAGCTGACCTGTGCTGCCGTCTGGGTACGCGCAGCCGACGTGGCAGGTACGACACGGCTGTGCATGGTGCTCATCGTGTCATTGGCAGCAGCGGCTCCACCACCACCGCCGCCGCCACCGCCACCGTTGTTGCATTCACCACCCTCCGCAGCCACATGGCCGGAAGTTGTACGGCGGATCTTGCTGAGACCGCCGCCGCCGCCGGTGGTGGCCTGCCAGACGTACCGGCCAGGCATGAGCGGCTCCGCCCCCGTCGGCGGCAGGAAAGACCCTATCCCGCCGCCGCCGCTGCTGGCTGCGGGGCCTTGGCGGGAGGAACGGATCTGAACGCTGGAAGCTTCCAAATGACTTCCGCCCATTGCCCCGACGGCGGAGGACGGGCATTCGGCGGCAGCTGATCCCGGGGCCAGCGGCGGCGGCGGCATCATGGAGCCCATGGCGACGGGGTATCCATGGTACGGCGCGCCAGGATACGGCATGGCGTGAGGCATAAGATGGTACGGCAACCAGCCGTACATGTCGTAGCCGCCGCCGGAAGGCGGCGGTGCCATCTGGTGGTAGTAGTACGGGTGGTGCGGCGGTAGGCCGTACGACGGCGGCGGGCAGTAGCCGTACGGCGGGTAGTGTGCATTCGTGTTGGCGTACGGATATGGAGAGCACAAGGGCGGCTGATAAGGCCCAGTCGCGGCCCCGGTGGAAGGCGCGTGGGACATAGCGACCGTGGCGGCAGCGGCGTCAGGTAGACTGCCGTACGGCGGCGGGGGCCATGGCGGGTACGACATGGGGGGATAGGTGGCACCTCGGTGCGCGGCAACGTCGAGGTGGGAGCTCGGCCCTGACATCGCGGCGACGGCCTGGTGGTACGACAGTACGGCACAAATGGTAAGAGGGGCGACGACTTATATAGACATTGAACCCTAACTTTGTAAGAGTACGACACCCTCGCACTGGCAGTCAAGCCATGCTTGCCTTATCCGTCAACGCAAGAGCTATCACTCCAGGGAACGCAACTGCCCCTTGACAGTGCACTGCGAAGTACGTGTCAACCAAAATCCCCCATTGCATATGCGAAACAATACACACGCACTTACGGCATGGGCCCGCCCTGTTTCATATCCGTCCCGCGCTGCTCATACCCCGCCACACACACACACAAACCCAACTGTACTTCAGCGCCTGCCGTACCGTCGTACATGGTCCGACGGCCCGAACCTAGCTATGTCACACATACAAAGCTCCCGTACGACACGTCGTACATTACCTGTTGGTCGCCGCGCTGGGGTTGTGACGGCTGCGACACTGCCTGCTGCCCGCCAGGGGCTTGCTGCTGGCGGTGTTGCTGTTGTTGTTGCTGTTGTTGTTGCTGTTGTTGTTGTTGTTGTTGCTGCTGCCGTGCCGCACCTGCCTTTGCAACCAACGAGGGTATTTGGAGGTGCGGCAGCTCCAGGATTGCGAACAGCTCGTGGGCGCTTGCGGGCGATAGACCTCCACCCTCGTACACCGATGCACCAACGCCTGCTCCAGTGGCCGCTACCGGTCCCGGAAGAGCAGCAGCACCAGCAGCAGCAGCGGCGGCATCAACCGACTCAACGCCGCCGTCGTTCGGCTGCTGATTCAAGGGGTCGGCGCCCTTGTTGTTGTTCGGCTTCTTGGGAGAAGTCAACCCTTCCGGAAGCTTTGTCCGAATGGGCGGTAGACCTGAGCCAACATCGCTTCCGGGATCTGGCCACCAACGTATCGCAGCATCCGGGCAAGCTGCCGTACTTTGATGCGCGCTGGCGCGGTTCGGCGCCTGCTGTAGCAGCTGCTGCTGCTGCTGCTGGGAGAGGTGGGAATGTTGGGACTTAGCCGGTGGCGGCGGCGGAAGTGAATGTTGTGGGGATGGTGGGGATTTCGGTTGTTGGACTTTAGAGCACAGCTGCTGCTGGTCAAGCTGTGACACGGAGGAATAGGAGGGTTGTTGAGGGAAAAGCATGAGCGATATTGGCAGGCAGGGAGCTGGTGGGTGCTCTATGTTGGCGCTGGGGTCGGTGGAGAAGGCGGCGGGCTGCAGGAGAGGCGGCGGCAGCGGCAGCGACGAGCCGGCGGCTCCACTCGTGTCCACTCCGCCGTACACTGCAAGTGAAGGGTCCTCCTTGGAGTCAACCACGGCGCGACGGCATCCAACGGCGCCCTCTTCCTTAAGGCAGTGAGGTACGACGGCGGCAGCGGCGCCGCCGCCGCTGCCGCCGCCGTCGGCAGTAATGTTAGCCACGTTGATTGCCGGAGAAGCCGTTGGTGCCCTGATTGCCAACTGCACGGTACCTGCAGTACCGCCGCCGGTAGCGGCCGATGGTACGGCGTTCGACAGCGTCAACCCTTCCGCTGCCGCCGCCATAACGGCCGCTGAAGTTGCTTCCGCGCCGCCGGAAGGAGTGATCAAGTCACCAGCGGCGGCGCCGCCACCGCCGTCGGCGTCTGTCGGAAGATCTACGAGCAAATCGTCCACATCACTTTGATGCCATTCATGGAAGAAAGCCCGAGTGGGTGACAACGCAGCGGCGTCGCAGGCGATCTGCTCCAATACTGGGCCAGGTCCTCCAGGCGCAGACAGGCCCCCTGGAGCCGGCGCAGACGTCATGGCGCCGGCGGCGTCGACGGCAGCGGCTACTGAAGCGCCAACCGCCGCTGTTGCGGCCATAGCTGGACCAGCTGCAGCCGCCGCGGTGGCGACATCAGTGGGTATGGCCATAGAAATTGGGAACGGATGGCTTGAATAGGCGCCAGCCATCGACAGCCCCAGTGCATGCGGAACGGTGTTACTGTTGATATACGGCTGGAAGTGGTGCTGCAAGTTGTGAGGGCAGGAGGATGCGGCGGCGATGGGAAGGTAAACGCCGCCGCCGCCGCCGGCCCCGCCATCACTGCTGTTATCCCCCACGTGGTACCCGGCGGCTGCGTAACCAGTCATAAGATTTTTGCTGTCTCTGATACCGGAGGTTACAGTGGCTGGGAAGCAGGCCGCAGCGGCGGCGGCGGCAGCCCCCGTTCCGGGTGCAGCGGTCTGCCGGCTGGTGGCCAAACTGCTTGCGCCGCTCACGCTGGGCACGCACACGTACGGCGCCGCATAGGCACCGCCGTACTCCCCTAGATGTACGGAAGACGTCTGGCCACTGCTGCAAGCTGCGCGCGCGGTGGCCTGGCGCTTGGCGGCGGGTGCTGGCGGCGCCGGAGTGGAGTGCTTCGTGGGGGTGGAACCGCGTGGCTTAGAAGTGCTGCCGCCGCCGCCGCCGGTGGAGGCGGTGCGTTGCAGGGCTGGGAGCCGCAGAACGATGCCGCCGCCGATGCTTCGAGCGGGACCTGCTCCGTGTGTTGAGTACTGTGGCAAGCCTCCGCTTGAGAAGCTGACTACCGGCCCCGACGCGGCGGCAGCGACGGGCGGCAAAGGTCCACCGTTCGATCGGCATGCGGCGGTGGCGGCGGCAGCCGAGGTGGCCGGTCCACCATGACGAAGGGCGCTCATGGAGCTACCGCTGACCACGAACCGGCCGCTGCCGTTTTGCTGTTGTAGCAGCTGCTGGGGTTGTTGCTGCCCGGGCAACGGCAGGGGAGCGGTGCAGGTGCTGGCGGAGGGTTTGCAGACGCGAGGGGGGGAGCTACCACCTGCGGCGCCGCCATCACCGGCGTGCGAGCCAGCGCCGGGCATCACCGCCGCCGCCGCTGCTGCTGCCGCGGCAGAGGAGCCGGCGGCGGCCTGCAGCGCCGCCAGTCCCGCCAGCGCACCGCTCGCGCCTGTGAAGAGAATCCCCGCGCCGCCGCCGGAGCCGAAGACGTACGGCAGGAGGCCACGGGGATCGGCGCCGGTGGTGACGGCGGCGCGGGATGGCTGTGAGGTGATGCTCAGGTCAACGGGCTGACCGGCGCCGCCGGTGACGGTGAGGCGGGATCTGAGCGCGGATAGCGACATGGAGAGAGACTCGGATGGTGCAGCGCCGTCACTCTCCGAGTCGGAGCCCGAAACTCGCACGCTAGCTGAACTTGCCTGTACAGGCAATGGGCGCAGTTATGCATGGAAGGTGCAGAAGCCGGGGCCGAATGTAATGAAATTAAAGATCCGCTGGGAGGAAAATAGCAAAATACTAAATCCCAATACAAAAAGCGAGGCGAAGGGAAAGCGGTGGGATGAAGCGCCAGAACAGCTGTTTGACTGTTGGGATCGAGGGCACGTGATTTATATGGAATTTGAAATTTACTTATAGGGAGAGAACAACCGCTGGGCAAGGTTTTCGACATGTCTGACTGCGATTTCACTTAAAAAAGGTTGTCAAGGATTGCGCCAGTACCGTAACTTTATTCATATATACAATAACTCTGCCACTTGTGTCCACTCATTTTTCGCCGTTGGGGCCATGAAGGAAGTCGGTTTGTAGCGTCCACCCGGTCCATTGCCTCCATTTCCATGTCAAGGAGCTTTCTGTGCGTCGGCTCCGAGACCGTCGGACCATGCACGACCAGCGCCCTCTCGCCCTTGCCCGCCCCGAAGCTTCATGGTTTTACCTTGCGTGCAGCGCGATACTTTCGGAAGTAGTTTCGGACTTGCTCGGTGCTCCGTAAACCTGCAACACAAGACGACGCCACGCACATGTCACCAGCAGCTAGGAGTGTATGCATGGCAGGGGGCAGGGGGGAAGAGTGCGCCAGGATGCCATAGATATTCTTTAACAGGTTCTGACTGGTCTGGGAGGCGGTGCAGCATAGGCCTGTTTCGGCAAGGATTTGAGCTGGCCAGGTGCGCGCATTTCAACAAGGTTTTTGCATCTGAGGTCATATTGAGTTGGACTGGTGGAGTGAATTCCTCTCCGGCTTACATTTTGCGTGGGTGCGCACTTCCTGCAAACTCGGCATCTCGTCGGGGCGCCAGCAAATAGGCGCGTTGGCTTCGAACCACCTGTGAAAAGCAAAGGAAGCGTCGCGTTGAGGAAAGCTTTCGGCGTTGCTGAAATTAAGGTCCTTTCGCGGCGTTTGGCAATCACGAATGACATTATTATGTCGATGTGCACGTCGCCTTCTCTTTCGGCGTAGACGAGGAGACATGCATGCTCACGGGTGGCATAACAAGGACTAATCTACCGGAATACGCTATGATGTTTAACAGAATGCATTATAGGTAGCTTGGCGGAGCTGCGAGTTGAGGTTTGCAGTCTGCGTCCTAGCTGAGCCGCTGACTTTGCGCTGACCGCACAACTCACTGAGCGAGCTCCGCCTGTGAGGGCCTGCAGCCATCTTCACTTAATCTGGTTCTCCACCAATTGTTAAACTCGGCCCAATAGCCGATGGGCCTGCGAGCCTCGCCTTCACCGGCCTGCGAGCACGATAACATGGCAAACACCGAGTCGGCCAAACGACTTTGCTCTTCCAGACCGCAAGCGGTTAGGAGTCAGTACAATATCCTATTGTAAATCGAGGAACGTTAATGCTTCTCATGGTCCAGTGTAGGCGCAGTTGCAGCAGCTGCCTGCCGGCTGCTGCTGCCGATTGCTGCTGCGCTTGCTCACCCCGGCAGAGCGCGCCGGCCGATTGACATGCATAATCCTTCAAATGTAATACGGATGTGACGGATGAAGGAGCGGAGTCAAAGGAAGAGTCAGGCTGGAGGAGTAGCCATGGTCGACTTGCCTATCGGTCAGTGTCAGTCAATGTCAGTCAAGTGTCTTAATCTTTACTACGGCTTACATAGGTGCTGGTGACTTGCAAACTATCCTTGTTCTAGCTACATCAGACGTATTTGCTGCGAGTAAGGCAGATAGACTGTACAATTCAAAGTCAATGGATCCAAAATGCGCCGATTGACCGACACTTTTGAGCCCGATGTTTAATTTTCTTGGCCCCTAGTAAATGTTATGGGCTTACAGACTTCCGACGCGTGTACCTCCACAGCAGTGCTAAGGATCTGAACTTTCCAGCTTTAGCACAACTCAATCGCGGAATTGGTTACATATAAAGAATTTTACAGTCTATATATTAGGACGATGGCAGAAAATGCAAAGTTACATAATCTTGGCTGTCGTTATTGGGAATTTGGGTTCACAATCGCATAGCTAATAGCCACGTGAACTGCCGCAGTACAACGTAATAGGGTATACTGCAGATGCGAAAGACACAATTATCCTTTCAATGCCTCCCATTGTTCCAGAACAGCCTTCTTCTGGCACGCTCTATTTAGGAACCACTAATCAACTGCTAACAGAACCAAGCATTGCCATTGCATAATGAATGCTAGCAGCCCATAACTTGCGCACCTGACCTGCTTATAACAAGCAAACTTTAATTACTAAATATTAGAAGGTTATCAGGCTAATAAGGGATAGACAATAAATCATACACAAGATGATTACGACTGCGATATCGCAAAATAATAAACGCCAGACCACACTGATAAGCGGGATGTGGTCGGTGTATCGCAACCTGCTAATTTAGGGTGCATTTCCAGTGCGGATTAAGGCCAGGGATTAACCCTCTGTCCTCCATCGATACCTGCTCAAACGGCTAAGTTGTTGGCAAACTTACCTCGCCTTTTCAACCTTTGGTTCCCTTATGGAACAAAACTATGTGGTAAGCTCGTACCAAGGACTTCCGTGCCCTAATCCCTGGCCTTAATCCGCACTGGAAATGCACCCTTAGTATGTACCTTCGGAGCCGAGTTAGCACTTAACAGTCAATCTGCATGCCACAATTTTCAGACTAGATACGATATCTGAGAAGATACCACGATGACCCCAAAGCCACATTTGAGCCTTTCATGGGGCTGATATGGATACTCAAGGACGAGCTTAATAAGGACATGCTTGCTTAGGCCATTATTTCGCACACGACGCTACCGCAAGTTTCCGAGTGCCCTGAACTTGACGCCGACCACCCAGCTGCAAGTTCCCAGCAGTGCCCTTTCCTCTACCGTGCCTCGCCACGGCCCTGTCCAGGGCTCACAAAACCACTGTCCTGCCACCACACACCTTGTCACTCCTATCGCTTCGAGTGCCCTAGTCACGCCCCGAGGATTTGCAGTACACACGAAAAATTGCAAAGCGTGGACATTAACATACAAGAGGGGCTGTCAATCATTTTCGTGCCGGGCACATGTACAGTCGGACATAAGAGAGTCATGTCCAATTTATCAACAGAAGCGCTACCCTATCCGTTGGTCCTCTCCACCCAGTAAGAACCTCTTATTCCAAAACTGCCATCGCAGCCATCGTGGGCTGGTCCCAGATGCTTGCACCATGCGGTAGTCACCAGCCTCCTTCCCCGAGCAGCAACAGCCATCTACTTGACCTCGACGGCAGCTAGTCCCAAAAGACTTCCGGGACGCCCTCGTCATCGTTGTCCGAGTCATCCTCCACCATCTCCATCTCATCGCCTTCATCGATGCACATCATGCCACCGATGCCACGTCCGTTGGCAGCGTACCATTCACGCATGTGCTGTTGCTCCTGCTGCTGCTGCTCTTGGTTCTGCTCCACCTGCTTGACGGCCTCGACAAGCGACCCATCTGGCTTGTGCCGACTTGCCGTCGCCGCGCCTCCCGGAGGCATCAGCCATTCGCCCGCGCGCATTGGTACAACAGGAAGCGGCGGTGCGGGAATCAGTAGCGAGTTCGGTGAAACCAAGTCAGCGCACTTCGTAGCCCGGACACGCAGCAGCCGGTGCCGGCCCTGATGTCGATCCCGGAGCAAGAGCTGCTGCTGCTCCTGCTGTGCAAGAGCGGTACTGTTCCATGCGAGGTACCCGGACCGAACCGTGAACGAAGCACCGCTGCTGTGACAGGCAGCGCCATGGGGCTTTGCGTCCGACCCATACGGCATCGTATTTGTGGGCATCGAGTCGCAGGAGGGAGGCCGCCATTGGGATCGCTGCTGAGAGGCCGGCGCGCACGCCATGGCTTGTTGCTGCTCGAGTTTGGGTAACCGTTCAGCCCAACCATCGTGCGGCTGTTGCTCCGCGCCCCTGTGATGCGGCAGAAAGGTGTTGGGCCGTTGTCGCCAAAATGGCATCCCGGTCTGCTGCGGCTGCTGCCTCCAACAGCCCCCTTCCAGGTCCTCCTGATCCTCATCGATTTCGGAGCCGTCGTCCCCTGAACCTGCAATATGCTCCAGACCCTGCTCTTCCGCCACAACCTTGTCCTCCCCCTCCACCTGCCGCACATGCTGCTTGCTGCACATGCTGCTGGTGCCGCGGTCTGTGGCCGACGATTCATCGCTCCAGCGCTTCTCCTTCCCTCCAGCTTGCTGATTCCACATAACGCCGCCGGCAATGGCCTGCGCTGCCGCCCCTCCCGCTAGACTCCGACCCTCTGTGTAGTCGGCGGCCATGGACAACCTCTCATGCAGGGCGCCCCGCTCTGCGTCTGCTGCCATATTAATGGAGTCCAGGAGCGGTACACTGCACATGTGCGGTGGGTATGCCGGTGTCTGATGATGTTCCGTTGCGGATCGCGCTGCTGAGAAGGAAAGTCCATCATCTGCCAGGGGTGGCTTGCTGAGCTGAAATTGTGTCCCACTGGTACTAGAGCTGCCAAGCAGCGTCCAGTCACGCGGTTCCATATTGGCGCCCACGACACCCGTACATGGCACTTGCCGCTGGCCGCCCGCTCGCCACGCCTCGCTGCTGCTGCTGCCGCCCCCGCTGCTGCCACGAAAGTCTCCGACAGCAACCATACCGTTGGAAAGGGAGGTACTAGGTAACTCACCGCCGCCGACGCGGCTGCTGCACTGCGGCAATGGCAGCAGCGGGTGGTTCCAGGTGCTGGCATACATCACCGATTGCATTTGAATTCGAGCTTGGATCTGTTGCTGGCCTTGCGCTTTGGCGATCAGCATGTTGTGCTGCGCGATGAGGGCAGCAGGGTCCATCGGCGCGTCTTCCTCAGATGCGGTGTTGTTGATGCGAGCGCTGCAGTGGTGACGGTCTGGATGGGAAGCGCCGATGTGGGACGTGTCGCCGCTGGCGCCGCCACCGCTAGTAGCGGCGCCTCCATGGCTATGTCCATCGGCAGCGTGCTCGTTTTGTTGTTCCTGTCACGAAAGGGCATGAGGTGGAGAGATAGGATTTATGTATCGCGTTATCTAATCTGGGTCAGGCCGGTTCCGGCATATTTGGGTAACATGCAGTTGTGGCCATAAGTTGCGTTTTCGGGCCTCTAATCGCCAGTGCATGGCGGGCAGGTGATGACTGTAACCTGCTGGTGTGGAGAACCCGTAGCATGCTTTTGGCAATGCATGTGCTTGCCGAGCGAATGCCTCAGGTCCATGTTCGTTTTTAATTGCTGGAAGCTGGCTGTTTGACAGATGGTACCCCACCTTGCGCGCAGCCCGATACCGGCGAAAGTAGTCACGGACGGCCTCCGTAGACCGGAGGCATTTTGCATGTAGCCGTGTCTCCTGCAGCCATAGTCGGTTGGTCCCCGAATAATTTCCTGTCTGCCAAGTATCTGCTGTTTATGATTGCAACTGCCGCACACTGGAACGTACCGTGAAGCTTGGTGTGTCTTGAGGCCAAACGCGCGTTGCGTTCAGTTCATACCATTGCACGATGCTTGGCTTTCCAGGACGTTTACCAAGGCGATCAAGCTCCTGCCTCCACCAGTTGTTAAATTCACTCCTGCGAAGTTAATGGTTTGTCAGAGAAACCTTTGCTGAGGTTGGACCTACTGGTATGAAGTTAGGGCAACTTCATGAATGTCCTTTCATTTCTGTCCTGTCTGTCCTGTCCAAATGTAAGGTCCTCACCAGAACCACACCGGCCTCCGCGAAGTTGTCTCTCTGTCGATGGCCAATTTTCGATGCCTACGGTCAGACAAGGTCTTCTGGATCTTCTGAAAATTCCCAAGCTCATCAAAACCGTCCTCATCAGAGGATGAAGAACAATCACACGAACGTAAGCGGCGACGGCTAGACTCCGTCTTCATTCCTCACCAAAACCTAAAACCGCAACGGATCAGGAAAGGCCATTTCATGCACATCGTCTTGCAACATCCAGTTATACGTATCACATGTCACGACACGGTTTAATAAAGTATCATGTACTACGCAAAAAATGTCTGTATGCCGTACACCGCACCTCAGCCGTTCTGGTTTTGACGGCTTCCAAAACGTTGGCTAGTACTTGTACATCATGTTAAGGATAGCTTTAGGAAGTTTCTGAGTAAGACCCATACTGTAACAAGGGCAAGATGTATCTCCGACAGGATATTGGCGCAGGACTGAACAGAGTCCTACTCTTACACATTTAGGAACAGCCGGGAAAGCCTCAAGAAATCGATTTGTTTATTAATCGATTTATATATCAGTCAAATCCTTTCTGATTTGACTTATATGGGCCACAAGCGATCTGGTAAAAGATCTTGAAAGTCACGGTGTTACTCGCCATAATGGTAGCTGGGCACCTTATGTGCAGGGGATCTTAGATTCAGCCGGTAACTACAAGAATAATTTTTCCCAAGGCGAGTCTTGCCGTATATGTTTAAAAATGCCAAAAGAGGACAGAGAAGCAGCGCCATTGAACCACAAGCAATGGCCCGCGGTTCGCAGCCCGTCCTAAACCTATTGATTCTGCGGACTAGCACGCGTAGGTATGGCAACTATCTCCGAACATCAGCCCCATTGCTTCGTCTCGGCCAGGTACTCAAACAGCGCCGGTGCGTTTTCCGCAGTGATGCCCGGCACCTTACGGAACATGTCGTAGACACTGCGCACTCCGTCAGCGCCTTTCAACTGAGCCAACAAATCGCATTGGGACAGGACGAGGAATGACATGTTATAATTAGAATCTCAAAAGGATTTCGAGTTAGAATACAGCTTGGCAAATAGCATCATGGCGTAGCGGAACGCAGGCCGTTGCATTCCGGTCCCCAGCATAATTGGTTACATCGGCACGCTGACGCAGATTGTTGATACGCACATAGCCCTCCGTCCAAAACGAACAAGCTCATCACTGGCCCAGGCGCTGCCCAGCTCCTGACACACCTTCAGTTGCAGAATGCCAGGCCACCCGTCGCTGCCAATGTCGGAACCGATATCAGAAGCCAGGAGGCACATGGGGAAGCGAGCCAAAGCATCGCCCCCGCTGAACTTCTTGTACCTAAGTTTACATGCGGAGGAGGGAAAGAGCGCAAATAGGGACCGGCCGAGGAATGACGCCCTGTGAAACGTGTTGCACGCGCGGCGAATGAAGTTTGGCAAGCTGAAGGAACTTGGACCTTGCAGCTTGCATGGATTCTTCCCACCTCACGTGTCATATAACACTATTGCCCTCGCTTCAACGATGCTCCTTTCTGGCTCACCCCAACCCAGCCCAGGCCCGAGGCATCCCGCGCCTGTCCTGCCCCACCTCTTCCTGCTCTTCTTGCTGTTCTCCAAGGTTGTACGAAGGTAGGCGTCCACTTCGTTGGGGGTCAGCAGCGGCGGCCGCCCGTCAGGAGTGGGCAGCGCAGCGGCCAGCAGCAGTCGGAGCACCTCTTCGTGCGTCTGTGGATGACCGTGTGAAGAGGTCGCGGTCGTGTGGAAGGAGGATGAGGGGTTGGTAGGAATGGATGTGATGCACAAGCACACTCCCCTTTTCGAACTCCTTTCCTCGCGCTGCTTTTCTACCTGCGCATGCGAGTCCACGGTATAGGCAGACCCCAACACCCTGCATACATGCCAAACCACCCCAAACTTGTAACTAGCTTACCCCCCGTCTTGCTTCGTTGGAAAGGAGGGACGCAAGAGGGTCGCTAACCTGCGTATGTGAATCCACTGCAGTGACAAGCAGATTGTCCACCGCCACCAGCCACAGCCTACTACCAGGGCCGAGACGGCGAGCCTTGACCAGCTCTGCCAGCCGTGTTGCCAAAGTGGCGGCGAAGTCGGCAGCCTCCACCGCTAGGCAGGCGAGGACCAGCACACGGGCTAGAAGCGACAGAACCTGCACGACAATAAGACGGGAGACAGGGGAGAAGCAGACGCCAAGACGGGCGGAAGGTATGCCTTGCTGTTGGTAGATTGGTGGCAGCGATCAGGAAGTGATGAGAAAGCACTGTATCCAGACAGATTCCTGGTGCAGAATGCGGCAGCGGAAACAGGAAAACATCTAACGAATGCAGGCACTTAGGTAAATGTATCGTTCCAATCCCAGCTGAAACGTAAGCTCGGCCGGAATGCTGTTTCCTTCACCACCGATAGCGGACGAAGCCTGCGTGGTCCTGGAGGGATGTGTGAATGCTGGGAAGAATCCCTTTCGTCAACGGATGACAGACAAGGCCGCATGCAGTGCTCGCAGCTCAAATCAAACGGCGCGCTTCAGGTGCTGGCCATGCAACACCTGTAGCCTCTTCAGCTCACTTTCCTTTCCTCTCCTTCCTCTCCCCCTTCGGCACCAATGCATTTTGCGCACGAGGTCTCCGCATACAGACACAGCCCACCTTGGTCGCCGCGAGGAAGTCCCCTCGGGCCAGCCTCTCCAGGGCAAACGTCTGTGGACAGATGGCGAGGAAGGGGCCAGACAAGGGCGATAGCCAGGGTGCCATGATAGGACGATATCCAAGGAAGGCGAGCTGAGCTGAGCGCTGAGCTGAGCTGAGCTGAGCTGAGCTGAGCTGAGCCCCCCAAAAAACATGACGTAAATCGATGTACCCTGTCCCTAGCAGGGCTTCGCTTCCCAGAAGGGTAAGCTACGCGCTCGTGTCACACTCGTGTCGCGACAGCCACTGGCCAGCAGCCTACCTGTAACAGCCTCCGGCCGACCTCATTGCTGCGGAGTGCTTGATAGATCCTGGGGGAAAACGTATGCCATGGCGATCAGGAAGGGACACGTAAATGGAAAACGCCGAAAAAAGGGGGAAATTAACGGATGAACGTCATGACTGACACAGGACATTAAACTATCATGTATCATACTTGTTTGAAGAATGGATGGGGTTGCGAGCTGTGCCACGGAAAGGGATGCGCCGGGGGGAAACTTGTCGAAGCTGGAAATCACCGCACGGGGCAAGGCGAAGAGAGACACGCAACGTGCACGGTGCATTAAGGTATTCTCGCGCCCTTTCTATCCGCTAACACGCCTTCAAGCCCCGGGCCTGCAACCCACTTTGTCTTCGTGGCTTGATCAGGAAACTCCACCTCGACATCGTCGACAATGGCGTTGGCGTCGGGGCCCACCTGCGTGGTTGCGGCGCCGTCAGCGGCGGCAGAACCGCCACCGCCGCCGGCTCCCGCCGCAGCTCCTCCTCCGCCCGCTGCCGTACCGGCGCCCGCCACCGCCGCCGCTGCCGCCGCCACCGTCGCCATGTAGTGATCCAGCTGGACGGCCGCCATGATGGGCAGCAGGTCGTGGAGTACCGTACGGTCGGGATCCGGATACCTTCAATTGACGCAAAACGGTTACAATAACGGTAAACAAGGTTAAGATCTTTTGGCAACCAGAGTCATGCCGCAGACCGCATTCGCTGCATTCGCCGACGGCATCAGGCAAAAATGGAAGTCGTTAATGCTACCATTCGCACCTGTAAGACCTGTCCCGCATCATCGTACGACATTCCACCGCCAGCTGCATGAGTTGCAGTACAAGGACCAGGTCCGGCACATCTCGTGGCAGCCGTTCTGCTGCAACCACTTCGGACTGCGGGGCAGGGACAGCGCGGGATGCCTCCAAAATAATGAAATCGGCTCATACATATGCAAAGATGCAACATGACGTATCTCGCGCAAGGAGCAACAGGGGTCTCATGCTTCTCATGCCAGGCCAGCGCACCTGTAGCAATGCCAGCGCCTGGGCCGCCAGCAGGTGCAGAGCGGACGGATCTCTCAGCACTAGCCCGGCGTCCCCCAGCACACGTAGAGGCTCCACAACGCCCCCCGCGCCGCCGCCATGCCCGCCCGCGCCCGCACTCTCCGCCTCATCGCGTATGTCCCTGAGGGCGCGCAGAGATACGGGAATAAGGCTATGCCGCCGCCTCAATGCAAACAGCATGGAATACTAAAAAAACGATGGCAACTAAAATTATACCAGTCCGCAGGGTTTTCCTACTTCACTGAACCGCTAGCAAGTAGCAACGGATACACCATCGGACAGACCTGGAAAATCGACCTGAGGCCCCTGGCAGCGCTCCACCGGCACCACGGCGGCGCTTGCCGCCACCGGAGCCCTGGCCGTCCGCCTCCTCGGCTGCCTGATATGACGAAACCAGTGCACCGCATGCGGGTAGGGGAAAAAAACAAACGCAAGAATCAAAGGATCAATCCGCCGACGGCTTGATCAGCAGGAAGATGTGTATTGTGTACGGATTTGTTGAGGGTTGAACCTGAGGGTGAGAAAGACGAGCCAGGGAGGGATTCCCACAACACATAAGAGCGGCACCACGGGTCCCCCGTTACGGCATCACGGGCTAAAACGCCGTTCCTGTATGCAATCCACCCATCCACACACCTCAACTATCTCAGCAAAGAAGCTGCCCAGCTTCTCCAGGTGCTTGTCGCTGAGGCCACCGTTGCGAATGCCCGCGTCCAGCGTCCACGCCAGCTCGTGGCACCTGTCGCATATGGCGGCACCGCAGGGGGCTAGTCAAGATACACGACAATGTTTTGCTGCCCTGTTAACGAGCATGTACATCATAAGCGGCTGCCGCCAACCTGCTGCTGCTCTGAAGTCCACCACTAGCGTCATTACGTGCCTAGTATAAAATATGAAGGGGGTTACTGCCGACGATGACGTAAACAGATAGCAGAAACACACACAGCGAGTTGAAGTAATATCCCCGAGAGAGATTTGGAGAAGCGATTGTTTTCGTAGGTGACATCTCTTGGGTGGTTGGCATACGCCTCGTCCTCATCATCCTCATCTTCATATGGTGCCGCCACACTCAGCTGCGCACCTGTCCCTGGCCGCCACGGGGTTATTGTCGTCATGGAGGGCCATCAGGAGCTGCGCACGCAGCGCCGCATAGGAGCACTCACGAACTCCCACGTACAAGCCCTCGGCGTCACGGAACTTAACAGTGCATAGCTCCACAATCTGGAAGTGGTTGGTTGCACGGAAAGCGTAGTTTCGAAAATAAATATCTCACGAAGATAAATATCAGACACGTTCTTGTGCCTTCATCCAGTGACTTCTACAATGCCATGACGCCAATGTTGGCCATGCTTCTCTCCGACCATGCCACTCACCTGGTTGTAGATCTTGGGGCTGTTTCCCACCATGCCCTTGAGCGCCTGCGTGATCCGGGAGCCCTTACGCAGGATCTTGCGGGTGATGCCCACCGGCGCACCGCCGGGGCCGCCAGGGCCACCGCCAGGACCCCCCAGCAGGTGCGACCCCGCCACTCCCGCAGCCGCCGCTGCCGCCGCGGCGCCAGCACCGCCGCGGTACCTGACTCCGCCGGCGCCGCGGCCGCCGCCGCCGCCGCGACTGCCGGAACCCACACCCGCTAGGGAGTCCGGGTCAGCGGTAGAGCCCGCGGGGCCGGAGGACGGAGTGGCGGCGGTGAGCGTGACGGCAAGGCGCTGTGCCGCCGCCAGTACGGCAGGCAGGAACTCGTCCGCCGCCAAAGCGCGCATGTACGTGGCGGTTTCATACTTGTAGGCGCCTACCAGCGGCAGTGCATCGTTTTGCAGCAAGTTCTTGTCGTATTCCCAGACCTGCCATAAGGACCAGGATTGACGGGAAGGTCAAGGCGGCCATGGCATCCAGACTATGTCAAAGAGTATACACTAGACAACGTGCAGGTGGACACGCGAGCCCTCCCTGGCCGGGCAATGGCACCTTGGCAATCCTGACAAGCAGCCGTAGAGAAGACCTCGAATATGGACGCAACAGCCATTGCATCCGCCACACGGATCCCTTGCTGGAGCTCATGAAGGGCACACCCGCCCAGCTATCCAGCCAATCGCATGACCAGGGCGGTATCGGTCCTATCGGCCTCTCTGCCACCTCCTTACCCTTCTTCCTCAGCTTCCACCACCACCACCACCACCACCTCCGCCTCTAACCCTCCCAAACCTTCCTGGCGATAAAGCTCACCGCCTCTCCCAGGAACCAGCCAGGACCGCCCTTAGGTCCACCCATAATCCGCCAAGATCCCCATCCCACTCCTCACAAACCCAATCCCACATATTCTGCCACGACCGACCTGTCGCTGCACCCCCGGCGGCAGGATCTTGAACACCTCGGTGTCCGCTGCCAGTTGCTTCAGGTGCTGTGCGGGGACCCTCTCCAGGCGCTCCATGACCGCCAAGGGGACCTGAGGTGCAGATTGGTTGAAGGGACCCGCAGGCCCTCAGGCGCGCACGTCAGGAGGATTCTGCCTCAATAGGCAACTCAAATCCCTCCCGCACAGCGGTTCTGCACGATTCTGCCGCGCATTCCTTCGGCCCACTGCGCCACTTTTCACATGACCCAAAATCTACATCCCCGCCAGGCAGCCATTTCGTCTTTTGCATGTACCCACCCTGGGGCTGTCGAGTGGCCGACCCTCGAAGTAACAGCAGCTTCCCGCCAAATGTCGCTCCCTAGCCAGTTTTATGCCATATGCATTTTGCATGTAATTAACATGATACGTGCAAGTGAATATCAATATGCACGACGACCGCCAAACTCCTGCCAAACTCCTGCCTTGCTATCTGGCCTTGCTATCTGCGGAGCTCGTTTGCCGCGTCGACGAGCCAAACAACTTTTGCCTGCACAGCCTCAGCTCCAGAACCCAGTCCTTCCCACTCACCTCGCGCATGTCCGCCATGCCCAGGTAGGTGAAGGACGCCGCCAGCAGTCGCTCCAAACGAGCCTTATCGGCGCGGCTGTCCAGAGCCGCTACACGGGCTAGAAGACGCTCCTTGGCGCGCTGGAGGACTGCACGGTGGGCCTGGGATGGCACCGGAGGAGATAGAAGCAAGGAACCGGCGGATCAGGTATCACCTCAAATTCGAAGATGCAGGAAAATGAGAGGACGCATTGGAAAACCCACCTGGCCCCGACTAGGACTAGGACTAAGTAGGCGAGGGACAGGGAAAAGGAGAGTGAGAGTGGAACAAGATGAGAACCCTACATACGCAGCCCATGGTGGGAGAGGCCGAACAGGGTAGAATGGCGGTAGTCGGGCCTGGACAAGGGCAAGGTGATTTGGGTCACGATTGGCCTGCCGGAAATGGGAAACTGCGTGGCGTGTGGGTTCCGCTGCACCTCACTAACCGCCCGCGGCCAGGTACATACGTGTTGGACATGCGGGGGCATGGCCAGACATTGAATGGACCATCACATTGCCCCCTCTTGGGTTTCACCAGCTCGCCGAGTGGTCCACCCAGCTCACTCACAAGGCACAACACACCAAACCAGCCAGCCAACTCAGCCTCACCTCTGACCGCGTGACGTCCATAATCTCAAGCATGCCCAATAGACATCGTACAAGCGGGTACGGCATGAGGCAGGCCTGAAGCATGGCCAACGCGCATTCATTTGGACACAGCCAAAGACGTTTGTGCTACTGCTATGGCGTTGTCACTTTATTTGAGCGCTGCATGCCGCAAGCGCAGGGGAACACCACAATGCATGCTCCATAATGTAAGGCCAATCCATGCAATGTCACAATGCGATGGCCCTTGAGCCTCAACATACTACGACACAATGGGAGCGCTGCATCATTTTCCCAAAAACTCGGCCATATAGACGGCCTGGCAGTGGTCCATGCCTGTCAAGGGCCCTCCCTTGTGATGCATCATTAATGCCCACCCCGCACCTCCTGCACTTGAGCAATACCCTGGGGACCTGCCGCAGCCAGCATGTCGTGGACCATGTCCTTGCCCTCGCCACCGATGGGGGGCCCGCGGCAGGCCCCCGGAGAGTCATCGGTACCGGGACCGCCGCGAGTTGGCGAAGTCGCCATTGCGCTAGTGCTGGATGCTGGATGGTGTCGCTGCTAAAACACTGAACCTGCAACCTCCGTCGAGATGCCGGGGTGAGGTGGCTAATCGCCTGTACGCCACGAAGGTAGTTGTGCTGAGACTTAACGCACGCGTAAACCGCTGAAGTTAGCCTGCTCTTCCAGGGCAGGTGGTTGGAGTCCCCAAACTGGGCCCTCGCGACACGGAAGAGCCGTATACGCGCTCTCCCTCCCGACCGCCGCGGTGGCAGCCCTGTTAATGTCGTGGGCGCAGTCCCTGGGCTACACCCGGTGCAACTGCGCCCGCGCTCCCACGTTCAAGACGTTCCACAGCAGCTTGGTATTCAGCCGCTTCGCGCCGGAGTTCGCGCACCACGGTTGCGAGTGCTTCCGGGTTGACTCCGGCGTCCAGGAGTTCTAGCAGAATGGCAAGAGTATCCTTGTCAAGCCCGGTATCCAGTAGCTGCGAGAGTTCCAGCGCAGCCTGGAACGCCTTTGGGGGTAATGTGGTACTGTCCTGCTTGCTGCCGCCTGACTTATAGCTGGTTCTGCCTGCTTCCATGACCCCCGGCTGAGCGGTGACCGGTGACTTCCAGGGCAGAGCTCAGGCCGAATGCCAACCGCTTAGGATGGCGCGTATTTGAACGATGCTCTACTTTCTGGGCCGTAGATCATGGAAAGTGTGGCTGCATGCAAAGGAAAGAATAATATCACTGCGATTGAAAGTAATGGTTTTTTGCATGTGCATCTGAGCTTGTTTTGTCACATTGTGTTACAAGCTCGCGAGGGCTCGTAAGGCCCAGACGAGCCAGGAGGCTCATGGACCGCGACTTCTTGCGTAGTCAAAAAGAAGGATGAAACACCAAAGGAAAGGAAAAAATCAAAAAAGGAGTTTATGAAGAGAAAACAGGAACAAGATAAGCGACCTCAGGCTTACTGCTCGGCTATCAGCGTGCGTCGCCTCGTCCTTCTACTGCATTATTATTGCCACAGACCCTACACCAGCGTCGTTGGGTCGTCTAACCTCCAAAGACCACGCCCTAAGCGAAACCGCAGCACTGATGATTTTTCAGGGTTGTAGCAAGTCGTGTGTTTCGGCGTTCCCATCCTATGGGTATGCCGGCACATCTTAACCCCTGGTTTCGGTTTTACGACACAAATTCCCGGGGTGTAGTAATAAGACGTGGATTCTACCAGTCATCGCTCCTTTAAAATGAACCGGACTCGACGAAATGAAATTGACCTTCCCCTCTCCATCTAGGTCCGGGTGCAGCGCCGGGAAGCGCCCCTAAGCATCTGACACCCCTTAGGATCATGGCACACCAGTTGGTGGCAGTACATTCAGAACGCAGTGCAAGACATATCTCGCGTAAAACATTGTGAAACGCAGTCCCCTTCGCAAGTGTAATCCTGTTCCAAAAACGATTCTCCTTTCATCAGGGAGGGAACAACCCTGGTATAGCCGACGGGTGTGAGTGCCACGCTCCTTGCTCAGAGACCGCTCAACGGCACAGCCGAGACTTGTTTTCCCGCTCGCTGTAACGAGGCGGCTCTTCTGATGTTGTGCATATCAGCACGCTCCAACCGATGACCTGCTGAGAGTCGCGGTCGGCAATACAGTTGCTGCAACTACAGTACTGTAGTTACACTAGTGTAGTGGGCCGGCTTCAATTTGCCACTCAGCGTACACTGGTTAGAGTAAGATATGTGCCGTTTCACCCCACAAGCGATTGGCTCAAAGTCCTTTCTTGGTAGGATACCTTCCGGCTCATGTGTGAAGCCTTCCTGGAGCGGTCCAACCGACTTTTCCATGATCGCGTTATTCCCCATGTCACGCCATATGACGTGCTAACAGACATAAGAAATGCGGATGGATCACAGCCAAACGACTAACGACAGATGAACGACAACCTAACATCCTCAAATTACAACGGAAAGCGCCTCATACGCTACCCAAAGTCTCAAATAAATCAACACGCGGTTCACCTTACTACTTTCGGTTGGCTTGGCCACCTGCGGATAGCGGCTAACTCGGTCGTGGCACATGATTTGTGCGCTCCAGATGTTTTGGCGTGACACCCACCACCCCACAACCAAAATTCCAGGAAGTAGTTTGCTGTTTAAGGTAACTTCTGTGGGGCGAGATGACCTAATTTGGAAACAGGCTACTCAGCGGTTGGCGGTTGCGGCGGCTAATTCAGCTGCTGGTGATGCTGCGGGAGGAGGAGGCGGGTGTACGGCGGCGGTGGCGGCATGTAAGTGGGTTCACCTCACAATAGCTCTCACCCATGCTCGTTATTCCTTCTCTGTCTGTCTGTCTGTCGCTCTCCCTTTCCTTCCCCGACCCTGGGGAGGGTGGGAAACACATTTGAATCACATTCCGTGCATGTCCCCTCTGCCGCTGTGGGGTTGCCAATGTGAACTCCGTACCCCCGATGTCGCGACTCATTCCGCCATCATTTTCCAAATTCGCCTTGTGAGAGACCTATCAGAAAGTCAGATGTAAACAGAGACGTTAAAAAGCCGGGGTCAGATCGGAAGCGCAGCTGTGTGACGGTGGTTCATGGCGATATACGCCGGGACGTAAGCAGGCCGCACGAAGGGAGCAGCGGAACATTGTACGACATGTACGAAGGCAGCGAAGGAAAGGGGACATGCAGATGTGAAAACGAGGTCCGAATTACGAACACAAACTCCCCGGGCATATGTTACATACATCGCAGGGCACGGCCCCGCTTTCTTAAGAGGTGTGCCTTAGGCACATTAATATCTACCTCCTCTTTCCTGAACTGCACCGATTCCGAGAAAACCAAGTACGGCAGTTCCCTAGTGTACATCCTCTGAGGCATCACAAGCTTGACGAAAAAGGTAAATGTAGGTGGTAAGAAACCAGGTTCGAACCAGTTTGCTTATCTCCGACCTGCCTACCGGAAACGATAGACGACCAAAATGAAACGGCAATATTGCATTTCCAACGAAATTGTGCGATTTACACTGTAGAGAAAGAGAGAAGCATGAGGGGGCTTCGGTGTCGTATTATATCAAACATGATAGAAAAGGAAGCCGATCATAAAGAAGCCTTCCACCGCCGCTGCCATCGTACCACGTCCGGTTTAGCACTGCCGTACCGCCGTACAGGGTAAGGAACGGCGGGGTGAAATGTACAAACAGGAGATGACATCTGAGAGGTTGCACACGCACGGAAAGTCATCCTCCCCTCAGATATTCCTCTCCAAAACGACATCAACGTCATCATCAACTACTTCCTAAAGCACACGGGTAGGGATGATCACACTGTTGGGTCTTGTCAACAGTGCAATGTAAGAAACCTAAGAACGTGTTTCCTCCGAGACGGACAGACAGACGGACGGACAGCACGTCTTTCAACACATACAGACTCAACGCGATCACCTCAACGACCACGAACACCAACGACATAACGGGCTACCAACCGAGCAGCCGATATTAATATATTGCATGGCCAGCGGTGGGCTGTACAGCCACCTCATCACCAGTGTTAGGACCAGCAATCCAAGATACCAACTGAACAGGTAGGAACCACCCCTCCTCAGCCCTCACCCATCAACCCAAACCCTTCTCATCAGTACCCATCACCACATCTTGGTTGGCAACCTATCCAAACGGCAACACATGAAGTCCAAACCTGCCGTACGGCCGCCGTACATTTAGACCCGAATGGTTGAACCACAGCCACCAGAGGAATTCATAAGAACCGTATGGGCATTTAGCGGGCGGCTGCGCAGCAAAATGCTCTCAAAAACATATCCTACAGACACGAGCACGACTGCTCATTCTTCAAAATTCCCAACCAGCAAAACTGTATCAGGACGCTGTTGTCCAATTGCTGTTGTCCAATTGCACCGGCGAAAAGTAAAGCAGCCTTACAGAACGGCCTAGGGGGGGCTCCTTAGAAAACCCTTTTTGCGCGGCAGGCGGCAGGGCGATAACAATGGACAGGGACAGGTAAGGACGGGGCAGAACAACCGTGGAGCCAAAATTTCCCTGCCGTCACGGCCACCTCCGGCCCGGTCCCCTGGCCGTGTCCCTGCCCCAGCGCGTTGACCAAGCCGGGGACGACCACCCTGGCAGTGCGGACGTGCAGCTGCTCCACCTCCACATCAATGCGCTGCACGTGCACACGCCTGCAAGATGCCACAGCGATCATGAAAAGAGGTGTGCGTGAATATGAACAAACAAAAGCCCTAAAACCCGTGAAAGCAATAAAAAGACGGTGAAAAGAAGTGGGGAGATGTTTCTCAGTGTGGTAAGGATTATGATGTAGTGTTTCCCGGACATGTACGGATGTTGGTGTACGGGTGTTGGGGAAGCGTATTGATGGACCCACACACATGAACATACATACGGACAAACATACGAGTTCGCTACGAATATGGCCCACAGTGTTGTGCGGGAGACATTAGAAGAACCGGGTGTCATCCCCTTTGGTGTCCCCTTCGGTTATCCCCTTTCGTTAAGTACAATCTTACACTCACGGAGCTTCGCTCCTGTTTTGATATATAGTAACAGAATTATTACGAAAATCAACCAGTCGCTGGACAAACATACGAGTTCATAAAGGCCCACAGTGTTGTGCAGGAGACACTTCTTGGAGTGTTGCACTCGACCTGATCAGGGCCCACTGTAACAATCGCAGTCAACTTAACGAGGGGCTGTGTAACCAACGGACCGGAATGCAACGCTGGCCTCTACACCAACGGACTCAACCGTGGAATCACGGACGGTCCTAGTGAAGCCAGAGGTCCACATGGGATATACAAACCTGACGCTCTACACCACCATTACATTCGCAACAGTACCACTACTGGACATTGCTGCACAAGTAACCTGAACCGAAAGGTTGGAAGGCACAGGTTGTTGAAGTGCTGCCTAGACTACTGGTACGGACAGCCCTAGCTAGCAGGAAGGTCCAGACGCCCTCTAGTCGGCAGCAGAATTCATCGACAAGAGGCACAACAACACCGCATACTAGCGGAACATCTCGCCAAAGCTGGGGGACAGATACGCTACACCAAGCAAGAGGCCGTCAGCCTAGGGTTTCAGGGGCACTTTTCGGAAAGACCTACAGCCCTTGCCGGTCAAACGCGAGTGAGCTGTCTGCTGCTGTCTGCACGATCACACTGTAATCCTAAACAATACGTAATAACTCGGCCCCAAAACGAAAAAGAGATGGACCATGTGCGAGCCTGGAAGACAAGGGAGAGCAAGTCAAACACCAAACCGGTGGCGGGCAGTGCAAAGGCAACGGTAAACCCATGACTTCTCCACTCCTGCCCCCTTAATACACGCCTTGGGTCCAGCTGAGGCGTATTATTATTATAAATTATTATTATTAAATATTAATATTATTATCATTATTATTATTATATTATATTCATAAAAAGCGGCGGGCAGAGAACCACCCAACGCCCCACCTCAAGCCGGCTGCCCATGACATGAACCACTGCATGTACAGCTTACAGCCCACAGAACCACGTGTGC